TGAGTTTTTGTGTAGAAAGCTCAGTGTTGCGGTTCAGAGATGTTTTTCGAGGTGTGATGTTCATATTAAATATCACTGTTCACCTGCATCAATGTTCATCCAAAGTGTGAGCATTTATGTAAAAAGTTTTATTTACACACCTTATGCAAGCTGTTGACTAATATTGCTTTTGCCAATGCTGCTTGCTAATTTATGATTTATGCCATTGTAAATAAATTATTTTTTATTGTTGTTGATTGATGTGTAGTTACTGATTGACTTGGTCTACAATTCATGTCCATGTCCCATAAATGACAGATGGCAAGACATTTAACTAAGGTTTCCAGAATGTAATTATTCAGTTGTACACAAAACCACAGATAAAAGTGAATTGTAATGAAAGGAGACTGAACAAATTCTCAAATCAAATCAGTTAGCCAAATGTCCAACTAACTGTAAGACAGTGCATTCGGAAAGTATTCAGACCCCTTGACTTTTTCCTCAATTTGTTACGTTACAGCCTTATTCTAAAATGGATAATAGTTTTTTTCCCCTCATCAATCTACACACAATACCACATCAAAGCAAAAACTGGTTTTTATAAACTTTTGCAAAATTTTTTTTTTTTTTTTTTTTAAACGGTAATATCACATTTACTTAACAATTCAGACCCTTTACTCAGTACTTTGTTGAAGCACCTTTGGCAGTGATTACAGCCTTGAGTCTTCTTGGGTATGACACTACAAGCTTGGCACAACTGTATTTGGGAAGTTTCTCCCATTCTTCTCTGTAGATCCTCTCAAGCTCTGGCAAGTTGGTTGGGGAGCGTCGCTGCACAGCTATTTTCAGGTCTTTCCAGAGCTGTTAGATCGGGTTCAAGTCCGGGCTCAGGCTGAGCCGCTCAAGGACATCCAGAGACTTGTCCCGGAGCCACTCCTGCGTTGTCTTGGCTATGTGCTTAGGGTCGTTGTCCTGTTGGAAGGTGAACCTTTGCCCCAGTCTGAGGTCCTGAGTGCTCTGGAGAAGGTTTTCATCAAGGATCTCTGTACTTTGCTCCGTTCATCTTTGCCTCGATCCTGACTAGTCTCCCACTCCTTGCCGCTGAAAAAAATCCCCACAGCATGATGCTGCCACCATGCTTCACCATAGGAATGGTGCCAGGTTTCCTCCAGATGTGACGCTTGGCATTCAGGCCAAAGAGTTCAATCTTGGTTTCATCAGACCAGAGAATCTTGTTTCTCATGGTCTGAGTCCTTTAGGAGCATTTTGGCGAACTCCAAGCGGGCTGTCGTGCCTTTTACTGAGGAGTGGCTTCCGTCTGGCGACTCTACCATAAAGGCCTGATTTGGTGGAGTGATGCAGAGATCTCCACAGAGGAACTCTAGAGCTCTGTCAGAGTGACCATCGGGTTCTTGGTCACCTCCCTGACCAAGGCCCTTCTCCCCCGATTGCTCAGTTTGGCCGGGCGGCCAGCTCTAGGAAGAGTCTTTGTGGTTCCAAACTTCTTCCATTTAAGAATGATGGAGGCCACTGTGTTCTTGGGGACCTTCAATGCTGCAGAATTTTTTTGGTGACCTTCCTCAGATCTGTGCCTCGACACAATCCTGTCTCGGAGCTCTATAGACAATTCCTTCGACCTCATGGCTTGGTTTTTGTTCTGACATGCACTGTCAACTGTGGGACCTTTATATAAACAGGTGTGTGCCTTTCCAAATCATGTCAAATCAATTGAATTACCACAGGTGGACTCCAAGTTGTAGAAACATCTCAAGGATGATCAATGGAAACAGGATGCACCTGAGCTCAATTTCGAGTCTCATAGCAAAGGGTCTGAATTGTTATGCAAATAAGGTATTTTTAGTTAATATTTTTCATTTGCAAAAATTCTAAAAACCTGTTTTCGCTTTGTTATGGGGTATTGTGTGTAGATTGATGAGGATTTTTATTTATTTAATCAATTTTAGAATAAGGCTGTAACATAACAAAATGGGAAAGCAGTCAAGGGGTCTGAATACTTTCACGAATGCACAGGATTACGACATGGTGTCATTGCAACTTAATGTAAAGTGTGACCAAAGTTAGTCATATTTCCCAAATACAGTTGAAATCATACTACCCCAATTTTCAAGGTTATCATAGACCTTGAATGAATACATTATTTGTGCTTGACATACATCACCACATGGTTGGGCCATCCCGTGGAATGCCTTCCATTATCATTAAATAAAGTAAAGCACAGACACCCCAAAAAACTAAGTACTTGAAAGTGTTTTTACTTTACACCACTGGAAATGACATACCACCCAGCAAAGCTGATAAATGCTACTACATCAATATAAAAAATGTATTTAGTGAACATGTTTCCGAATGCAACACAATCACGCGTGAATTGGGAGGATGTTATCACTGGCAGGTGCCAGATGCAGGAGCAAACCGACAAGTGATCACAAGTCTGCAGTGACCATGTAACAGCTGTATGGTCAAGTACTGGGCTTTGTACAATAAGCTGATTCTAGATCGGGTTTTAGGGGCAACTCTCCACCGTATGGCCATACGACACTTCCGCCCCAGTAAAATCGAACCAGTGAGGGGGCTCACTCAGTCAGACGCTGCAGAAGCCTAAAACCCGGGTTGTGGTAAACAACAACTCAGATTCTCATAATGTGCGATGACGATGTTTTTAGCGGCCGTCAAATGGGATTTTAGTAGGAATTAAGGGCCCTGCTATTGCTTAAAATCGTCAGGTTCGTAAGTAAAATGTGTTAGTTAACGTTAGATATTTTCATTCACAGCTACAACGCGAGCTACAAGCCTGCCACCAGCAGATCATCAGCCGCTCACCAGAGCTAGCCGCAGTGTTTAGTAGGCTAGCTAGCTAACGTAACGGTAGACAATTCCAATTCTGTGGGGATTGTATTGAAAACAGGTTGACGTCGGTAAATGCTAACTAGCCAGTCACTGTTGTTTTTTACCAACATGTCCTTTTTTATTCAATGTCAAGACTGGTTTAATTTGTTCGTTTTCATGTCTAGATGTCTAGTTACAGTTAGAGAACCCAAGGGGGTTTACAGTTTCCCCTGCTTTGGGTTCTCAGCTGAATGTATCGACCACAGCTGGCTATAGCTACAGATTGTTACACCAGATAATTTGATTTAAGAAATATTTTTGGTATCCATTACTGGGAGTTACCGGTTAGGTACTGTTTGGTGTAACACATAATTTTCGACCAACCTTAACTTGGCAATACTAGCTAACTATCTTCGTTCTCGATTTGGTCAAACATGTAGGTTTGTGTTTGAATTTAGAAAATCCTCCTTTATTAAAATAAATAATTGTTTTGTTCCATAAAGAAATCGAACAATGTGTACGCTGCCATCTTGTCTATTTCAAATATTCTCTCATTGATTTAGACAGGTGAGTGTCATCATGACATGCCGCACTTTGGGGTGGACCCACCTGTCTCTATCAATGAGAGAAGGAGAGGGTTCGTTTATCTGGGCCGTGTTACCCCGTTGGGAGGAGTTTGAACCGGGTGAAAAGTGATTGCATTCGTTTTGGAACCGAGCTGCCTCCCGTGAGCCAGGTGCTCCGCTCTGGCTGAAGGTGAAGTTGACTCAAAACAAAAGCAGGATTCTGCCTTTTCACATCCAAAAATGATTGCATTTGATAAACGCTTTATCTGCCTTCCCAATGAAAATGTATGTTTCTGGACGATGCACCATGCTGCCTTGTTGACAACATGACCGATTGGTGCAGATTACTGTTTGATTTGAGAAGGGTGCGCCTCCCTCCCCGCTTTCGCCCAATGATGTTACGGGCCATTGCCCGGTTCAACCCGGGCCATTGCCCGGTTCAACCCGGGCCAGCGTAATAGAACTCCCTCGATATTTAAAATAGACAAGATGGCGGTGTACACATTGTTGGATTACTTCATGGAGCCAAACAATTATTTTAATAACGGAGCATTTTCTAAATTCTAATGCACCACCTGTAACTGGACACAGACATTTTAGAAGATGCATGTTTGGCCTAATCGAGAACAAAGATAGTATCGCCAAGTTAAAGTTGTTCAAAAATTATCTGCTACACTAAACAGTACCTAACATGTAACTCCCAGTAATGGATACAACAAATCTTTGGTTAAATCACATTATCTGGTGAAACAATCTGTAGCTAATCTGGCTCCATGTGAACTACAATCCCGACACTCTGTTTTAACGTTTAGAAACTTTAATGATCCTCACTTGCGATATGGTTTTGGTAACATAAATATACTTTCACATCAAAATAATTTCACAAATGAAAAATATACACTTACTACATACTGTTTTAATTTACACCACTATTCTGGCGTCCTCTTCCTTTACACAGCAATGTTCAGAGATGCTTTGATAGCTAATTAGAACAGGTGGTCGCCTCTGTCTTCCGTAAACAAGTGCTGTAACGTGAAAAAAAGGATTGTGTGGGAACCCTAACCCTGTACAGCTTATGACAATGATGACATCTAGCTAGAGGGTATGGAGGGCGGTGAAAACATGAAATATGTCTGAAATGTATGATACTTTTTTTCTTAATTGAAGGGGAGTCCAAGGGAACCATGTCAACACCACTTCGTCATCTGCCCATGTCTGCCATTTTCTTTCTGCTTGACTCAAAACACCAACATCCTCCACCACCTGCCAAGTAGTGATGGTGAGATCCTGCAGCAAATCTAGCTAGCTGAAGGCGTGAGAGAGTCAACGAAACCAGCAGCCTCAAGCTCAGAATCAGATGCTGGCAGAGCACAAGTGTTTGCGAGATAAACAGAGGCAGTGCTGCTTACAGCAACACTGATAAGCCAATGCAGAAACCATATGCCCATATTTTCTACATTTTATTGGGCCTGGCTTGCAGCCTGACTCCATTTTTTACTGGATGAAATGTGCATATTATAGTGTAAGTGGTGTCAGCAATTAAATGCAGTGACTGGACTTTTAAACCTACACTTGTGAATTCAGCCAGCTCAACAACAACTAAACACAATGGCTTCCGGTGACCACAAAGAGACAGAGAATGAACTGTCAGAACCCCTTGAAGCGGATCATGAGTTATTGAGTCAGTATGAGGATGAGGGCCCTGCTGGCAGTAACTTAAAGTCCAAAAGTTTGCCCACTCTAAATGACTCAGGCCAGCAAAGCAAGGCCTTGTTGACCAAGTCTATGCAGCAGCAGGCGTCAATAACAGAGGACAAGAGTGCTGAATTCATCCAACTCCCACAGAGGATCAACCTGAACCAACCTCTACCTGAATCCCCCACCAGGACTAATGTTAACTATACCCCTTCCAGGTCTAGTGTGGTGGGGATGAGTAGTTCATTTAACACAGAGACGCAGGTCAGCAAACCCAGGCGTAAAAACCCAACGAGGCAAGGCATCATCGCCTCGAGGCTACCCCTGATGCGTTTACCCACTAGGAAATACATGAGTGCGATTCTCGAAGACTCTCGCTGTTTTTTATTCTGCATGTGCTACCTGACATTCATCCAGTCACTGATGGTGTCTGGCTACCTTAGCAGTGTCATCACCACCATAGAGAAGAGGTACAGCCTCCGGAGCTCTGAGTCCGGTCTGCTCGTCAGCTGCTTTGACATAGGCAGTCTGCTGGTGGTGGTTTTCATCAGTTACTTCGGAGGCCGAGGGCAGAGGCCCAGATGGTTAGCCGTGGGTGCGGTGTTCATAGCTGTCGGAGCAGCCCTCTTCTCCTTGCCTCACTTCATCTCCCCTCCGTACCAAATCCTGGAGGTGAACTCATCCCGGGGCAACGAGGGCCTGTGTATGAACAACAACGGCAGTGGCAAGGACTTTCTGGATGTGTCCTCCTGCCCCAGAGACCAGGAGGGTAATGAACACAACCTGTATGTGGCCCTGTTCATCATTGCACAGATCCTGGTGGGCATGGGGTCGACGCCCATCTACACCCTGGGACCCACCTACCTGGACGACAACGTCAAGAAGGAGAATGCCTCGCTTTATCTTGGTAAGTAACTGTGTGTGTCTGTCTGTCTCATGGGGTTTGAAAGATGTGAAGATTACACCAACCAAAGTTAATAAACTACTAGGACATGAAGGAAGGTAGCTCAGCTAGCAAATAGGTACTGATCAGGCCCAGGGCTCCAGACCAACATTTTCCTCTGGTGCCACTAAGTTTTTCAGTTGGTTGCAGCATCCCATGATTTGGTTGCACCATTATTTTTTTGCATATCACACAATTAAAAGGTATCATCTTATAAAGTAATTCACAGTGCTTTATTATAAAGTGTAATAGACTCTGGGCTTGAAAAACTTTTTTTGCTACTTGTCCGAAAGCTCAAGTCACTGTAACACCATGAGACAAAATGGTGACTGGAAATTGTGTTGTATGACTCAAGGAACCACTTCACAAAATAACATTTATTATTATCACAGTTCGATGGAAGGCTGCTGGTCCCTGATCCCATGCATTATGTTTCCTGCCGGTGTGGCCTTGAGCAAGGCACTTAAGCCCCCACAAAGTAAAATACTACACTGATAGGCTACTGTATAAAACACGTGGTCCATCAACCCTCCATCTGGAGAGCTACTGGGTGTGCAGGCTTTTGATCCAACCCTGCTCAAACACTACAGTCCGCTTATCAAGGTCCTGTTGAGCAGCTGATTTTTTTGTTTTTTTTACAATGTGTTAGAGCAGGGCTGGAGCAAAAGCCTGCACACCCATTAGCTCTCCTGGACTCTCCTGGAGAATGGTTGTCCACCCTGCAACATTACAATTACAACCAAATACTTTTTATGTCTTTATGAAATAATTCCCTCATTCAATGAACCAGGGATCAAATGGCTTAGGTGGACGATGTAGCTACTAACTAAGACATGTTTGTCTAGTTGTAAGGCTAAAATATTCAGTGTTCAGGGTAGATCTTGACGGCATAGGAGTTACTTGTAAATTAGGCTATTCTAATAATATGTTTTTACTTTGTCAGAATTACATGGCCAGTATTGAATAGAGGAGAATCCTAGCTTTCCAACGGTGTCAGAATTATTTCTTAATACCCAATTTTGAGCGCTTGAGAGACGGTTCTACAACCGGAGTATGCAGCATTGGTTTCATCAACTGTGCACCCTTATCAACTGCGTGTTGGCCATTTGCGGTTATACACGAGTACCGTTGGAAAGTTATTTTAGGACATCGGACATGACAATTACATTAATACATGCTAATAGTTAACTTGCAAGATTACCAGCCAAACTACACAATGTTTTGAATTGGCTATCTAGTTAGTCTGTTGTACAGTATATCATTATTTTACCTGCTGCACAATGTCTTCTCTCTCTCTCTCTCTCTCAACGGCCCACTGGCACATACGCAGGTGATGCACACACCATGACCTTTCCAGGATTTTCATTGCTGACCAAAAATTTGCTATAACTGAGCAAATAACTCACTAACTAGCAATGCATATCAACAAATGTGCCCACACACTAGGATCGCTTTGAACTAAAAAACGCATCTCGTAAATGCATGATTGAAAGACCGCTCGTGGCTGCCAATGCAGAACTACAATAATTATACTCCGATGCGCTCTGCAGAGATTGGGACTACTGCCCAACACATCACATCCGGAGGACACTTTGATCCAATTCTGATCGGAATAGCCTAATTGTTTGATATTGTGATTATTACGTGATTTTGTTTTTACTTGTCCATTCGGACAACTTAAATCTATAATCTGCTTGTCCAACAAATGTTGTCTTCTTGCAAGCTGACAAGCGTTAATGTCGAGCCATGAGACTACTGAGATGGTATTGAAGAAATAAGTTGTTTCATCTTTTCATGTTGTGATTCAAAATATTTTAATGTGAAACCTAATCCAGTGATTGTCATGCATTTTGGGTAGACAATTATGCTATTGTTATATTTTACTGTTAAAATAGGGCTCCAGAATTTGTAAATATGTTATTTGCCTCTTCAGCCGCTAGTGGGCGCTAGATCTTCAGTATCATCTAGGCTTAATGTGCTCAGCTGGTAATTCACTCGTGTCCCCAACGACTGGTTCGTACATAAAACATCCTACACTAAGGCTGCAAAGGCATTGGTTTCCTCCATAACGAGCTTTTAATGGCATGCCGCCAGAAGAAAACGTACTGTCTTAATATAACTACATTTTTCAGATGTTGTACACTGCGTTCAGCCAATCGGGTTGCAGCAGTCTGTTTACCCCCCGCTGAATGCGGGGCGTAACATCATGAAGTAGCATTAGCCACTCTAGCTGCCTCTGCCTATACACAAGGCCTTACAATACACGTGTCTATTACAAAATTGGCTACTTAAACTTTGACTTCAGTGATTCAATCAATCCTTGTCCCTTTCTACTGTCATCCTAGATATTTTCGTTCCAGTGGTCTGAAACAACGTAAACCTAATTAAGGCCTTAACACTGAAAATCAAAGAATAGTTATGAAACAGGCTTGTATTCTGTGGTGGCCTGGTGCCTGCCTCTGTTACACTCAGAGAAAAAAACCTACACAAAGGGATTAGCTCCTAGGGTTTGTCCCAAATGGCACCCTATTTCTTATATTCTCCTCAACCCTGTCTCTAATGATGTTCTTGTGGAAGGCCAGTTCACAAAGGATTTGGGGCTTTGATCATGCGGTCAGTCTTTTGGTGCCAGCCAGCAGTATGGCAGCTGGTTACACACTGGCCAGGATGTGAGGGGATTGCCCATCAGGGCTCACCCGCCTGGCTGGAACACATGAGGTCTGTCCCAAATGACACCCCTCAGGGCACTGTTCAAAAGTAGTACACTACATAGGGAATAGGGTGTCATTTGAAACACAGCCTAGAGTGGACAACACTAATGGTCCTTGACAGATCTCTGGTCAGTATAGCCTCAGTCAGACAGTTATTCTGTGAGGACGGGACATGACTGTTGGGTAATGGAGCAACGGTTTATTAATTGTATGTTCATGGAGTTCCAGGAAGAGCCATTTATAAGCTTTGGAAATGAGAGAATGGACCTATAGTTAGTCCAAAAAAGGCTAGATAACCAATGTTATTTTCCTGATTTAAGAGGGTGCCTAGTATCCTATAATCTCAGATTATATACACAGTATAATCTAAGTGTATGAGATTTTGTATGAGATTTTGTTGTGTGGACATGTCTGACCAACAAAATGCAATATTCTCTGGGACTGCACTACTAATAATATAAGAACAAAAAGGGTGGACTGACATCATCCTGAAACCAAATCTTATTTTACTCTGAACGTTATGTTATTTAAAGAGGCACAAATGAAAACTGACCCAAATTCACAGAGAAGATGGGGTGGTCCATGAGAGATGAATACTGAAAAATTATTATTAGACAGAATAAAAGATTATGCCTCTCAGCACCGCAAATAGATGCATGGCAATTCAAGGAGACCAAATACAATAAGAAACATGTCTATTTTATATACAGTGCCTAGTGAACGTCTACACACCCCTTGCACAGTTTTTGCCACATTTTTATGCCTTAAAATTAATTATATTATGAAAAGGGATTACGTTGGATTTTATTCCTACTGATCTAAACAACCTGCTCCACATTTTCACAGTAAAAAAAAAAAGATGTAATTTTTTTTCTAAATGTAACAAAAAAAATGAAGATGTCTTGGTTGCGTGTCTTCACACCCCAGAGATAATACTTGGTGGAAGGACCTTTGGCCGCAATTACCGCTATGAATCAGTTTGAATAAGATTCTACCAACTGCACAACTCTTAGGGCAACATACATTGAGTTTACAAAACATTAGGAACACATTCCTAATATTGAGTTGCATCCCCTTTTGCCCTCAGAACAGCCTCAATTCATCGGGGCATGGACTACAAGGTGTCGAAAGCGTTCCACAGGGATGCTGGCCCATATTGACTCCTATGCTTCCCACAGTTGTCAAGTTGACTATCAAATCAAATTTTATTTGCCACATGCGCCGAATACAACAGGTGTAGACATTACAGTGAAATGCTTACTTACAAGCCCTTAACCAACAATGCATTTTTTAAAGATTTTGTTTTTTAAGTGTTAAGTAAAAAGAATAAAAGCAAATAACTAAAGAGCAGCAGTAAAATAAAAATAACAGTAAGGAGGCTATATACAGGGGGTTACCGGTGCAGAGTCAATGTGCGGGGGCACCAGCTAGTCGAGGGAATTTAGGTAATATGTACATGTGGGTAGAGTTAAAGTGACTATGCATGAATAATAGACAGAGTAGAGCAGCGTAAAAGAGGGGGGTGGGGGTGGGGGGGCAGTGCAAATAGTCTGGGTAGCAATGATTAGCTGTTAAGGAGTCTTTTGGCTTGGGGGTAGAAGCTGTTGAGAAGCCTTTTGGACCTAGACTTGGCACTCCGGTACCACTTGCCGTGCGGTAGCAGAGCGAACAGTCTGACTAGGGTGGCTGGAGTCTTTGACAATTTTGAGGGCCTTCCTCTGACACCACCTGGTATAGAGGTCCTGGATGGCAGGAAGCTTGGCCCCAGTGATGTACTGGGCCGTACGCACTACCCTCTGTAGTGCATTGCGGTCGGAGGCCGAGCATTTGCCATACCAGGCGGTGATGCAACCAGTCAGGATGCTCTCGATGGTGCAGCTGTATAACCTTTTGAGGATCTGAGGACCCATGCCAAATATTTTCAGTCTCCTGAGGGGGAATAGGCTTTGTCGTGCCCTCTTCACAACTGTCTTGGTGTGTTTGGACCATGATAGTTCGTTGGTGATGTGGACACCAAGGAACTTGAAGTTCTCAACCTTTTCCACTACAGCCCCGTCGACGAGAATGGGGGCGTGCTTAGTCCTCTTTTTTTTTTCCTGTAGTCCACAATCATCTCCTTTGTCTTGATCACGTTGAGGGAGAGGTTGTTATCCTGGCACCACACGGCCAGGTCTCGGACCTCCTCGCTATAGGCTGTCTCATCGTTGTCGGTGATCAGGCCTACCGCTGTTGTGTCGTCAGCAAACTTAATAATGGTTTTGGAGTCGTGCCTGGCCATGCAGTCATGGTGGAACAGGTAGTACAGGAGTGGACTGAGCATGCACCCCTGAGGGGCCCCCGTGTTGTGGATCAGCGTGGCAGATGTGTTGTTACCTACCCTTACCACCTGGGGGCGGTCCAGGATCCAGTTTCAGAGGGAGGTGTTTAGTCCCAGGATCCTTAGCTTAGTGATGAGCTTTGAGGGCACTATGGTGTTGAACGCTGAGCTGTATTCAGTGAACAGCATTCTCACGTAGGTGTTCCTCTTGTCCAGTTGGGAAAGGACAGTGTGGAGTGCAATAGAGAGTGCATCATCTGTGGATCTGTTGGGGTGGTATGCAAATTGGAGTGGGTCTAGGGTTTCTGGGATAATGGTGTTGATGTGAGCCATGACCAGCCTTTCAAAGCACTTCATGGCTACAGACGTGAGTGCTACGGGTCAGGAGTGATTTAGGCAGGTTATCTTAGAGCCCTTGGGCACAGGGACTATGGTGGTCTGCTTGAAACATGTTGGTATTACAGACTGTCAGGGACATGTTGAAAATGTCTGTGAAGACACTTGCCAGTTGGTCAGCACATGCTCGGAGTACACGTCCTGGTAAACCGTCTGGCCCTGCGGCCTTGTGAATGTTGACCTACTTAAAAGTCTTACTCACATCGGCTATGGAGCGCGTGATCACATAGTCATCCGGAACAGCTGATGCTCTCATGCATGCTTCAGTGTTGCTTGCCTCGAAGCGAGCATAGAAGTGATTTAGCTCGTCTGGTAGGCTTGTGTCACTGGGCAGCTCGCGGCTGTGCTTCCTTTTGTAGTCTGTAATAGCTTTCAAGCCCTGCCACATCCTACGAGTGTCAGAGCCGGTGTAGTACGATTAAATCTTAGTCCGGTATTAACTCTTTGTCTGTTTGATGGTTCGTCAGAGGGCATAGCGGAATTTCTTATAAGCGTCCGGGTTAGAGTCCCGCTCCTTGAAAGCGGAAGCTCTACCCTTTAGCTCAGTGCGGATGTTGCCTGTAATCCATGGCTTCTGGTTGGGGTATGTATGAACGGTCACTGTGGGGACGACGTCATCGATGCACTTATTGATGAAGCCAGTGACTGATGTGGTGTACTCCTCAATGCTATCTGAAGAATCCCGGAACATATTCCAGTCTGTGCTAGCAAAACAGTCCTGTAGCTTAGCATGTACATCATCTGACCACTTTTTTATTAACCGAGTCACTGATGCTTCCTGCGTTAGTTTTTGCTTATAAGCAGGAATCAGGAGGATAGCGTTATGGTCAGATTTACCAAATGGAGGGTGAGGGAGAGCTTTGTATGCGTCTCTGTGTGTGGAGTAAAGGTGGTCTAGAGTTTTTTTTCTCTTCTGGTTGCACATTTAACATGCTGGTAGAAATTAGGTAGAACGGATTTAAGTTTCCCTGCGTTAAAGTCCCCAGCCACTAGGAGCGCTGCCTCTGGATGAGCGTTTTCCTGTTTACTTATGGCTTTATACAGCTCATTGAGTGCAATCTTAATGCCAGCATCGGTTTGTGGTGGTAGATAGACAGCCACGACAAATATAGATGAAAAGTATCTTGGTAAATAGTGTGGTCTACAGCTTATCATGACACTCTACCTCAGGCGAGCAAAACCTCAAGACTTCCTTAGTATTAGATTTTGTGTACCAACTGTTGTTTACAAATATACACAGACTGCCACCCCTTGTCTTACCGGAGTCAGCCGTTCTATCCTGCCGATGTAGCGTATATCCCGTCAGCTGTGTGTTGTCCATGTCGTCGTTCAGCCACGACTCGGTGAAACATAAGATATTAGTTTTTAATGTTTTGGGCCTTGTCGGGTGTCTGTAGGATATCCTTTGCGTCCGGCTCGTTGAAGAAAAAGCTTCGTCCAATACGAGGTGAGTAATCGCTGTCCTGATATCCAGAAGCTCTTTTTGGTCATAAGAGACGGTGGCAGAAACATTATGTACAGAATAAATTACAAATAACGCGAAAAAACACACATAATAGTACAATTGGTTAGAGGGCTGTAAAACGGCACCCATCTTCTCCGGCGCCACTTCTGATGACTAGATGTCCTTTGGGTGGTGGACCATTCTTGATACACACGGGAAACTGTTGAATGTGAACAACCCAGCAGCGTTGCAGTTCTTGACACACTCAAACCGGTGCGCCTGGCACCTACTACCATACCCTGTTCAAAGGCACTTAAATCTTTTGTCTTGCCCATTCACCCTCTGAATGTCCATGTCTCAATTGTCTCAAGGCTTAAAAATCTTTATTTAACCTGTCTCCTCCCCTTTATCTACACTGATTGAAGTGGATTTAACAGGTCACATCAATAAGGGATCATAGCTTTCACCTGGATTGACCTTGTCAGTCTGTCATGGAAAGAGCAGGTGTTCCTAATGTTTTATACACATAATCCCTTTTTTCTTTTTTCATTGTTTTAGTCAAAATTGCTCAAGCAATTGGGAATCATTGATGGACACCAATATTCAAACCGTGTCTGATTTTCAAGCAAATTCAACATAGGACTGAGACTGACCACTCAGGAACACTCAACACATCTTGGAAAACCATTCTGGTGTGACTTTTGCATTAAATATTGTGTAATTGTCCCACTGAAAATACATCTCTATTCCATGGTTCGGTATTCAGATGACTGAGGCAGGTATTCTTCTAACTTTTTACCTGGGCTTTGCTCCTTTCATATATATTGTTTAGTCCCTGCCGGTGACAAGTATACCCATAACATAATGCTGCCACCACAATACTTGAAAATGCGCTCTCTTAATCTGTTAAAGAACATTGGTTATCTAGCCAAAGACACACCAGAATGGTTTTCCAAGATGTGTTGAGTGGTACAGTCTCAGTCCTGACTTCAATCTGCTTGAAAATCAGAGATGAGGTTTGATTGATTATGGCTGTCCATCAATGATTGGCATCCAAATTTACTGAGCTTGAGCAATTTTGACAAAAATAATGGATATACAGTATGTTACCGTAAGAGTTGTGCAGAGTTGGTAGAATCTTATTCAAAAGGATTTATAGCTGTAATTGCTGCCAAAGGCGCTTCCACCAAGTATTAACTCTGGGGTGTGAAGACGCAACCAAGACATTTTCGATTTCAATTTTGTATAAATTAGATTTGAATTGTAAGGCAGCAAAATGCAAGGGATGTGTAGACATTCACTAGGCACTTCACATAAAGCTATTTTGATTTTCAATTGCACTTTGTAGGCCTAGGCTGACATTTGTGCAAGATACTTGAAGATGTATGAAGCATGCATGGTTAACAGTAGGCCTATAGCAGGGATCATCAACTATATACAACCGCGAGCCAATTTCTTTCTTGAGCGGATGGTCAGGGGGCCGGAACATAATTGTAAATATATATACATACATACATACATACATACATACATACATACATACATACATACATACATACATACATACATACATACATACATACATACATACATACATACATACATACATACATACATACATACATAGCTGTGGAAAAAATTAAGAGACCACTGCAAATGTTTCTTAAATCAGCAACTCTACATGTATGACAGCCATTCCATTCCAGTGTCTGTTGAATTCCAACACACACACCTCATTCTACTGAATTAGGTACTGATTAGGTGATCACATGAACCAAATCTTATTTAACTGATAATTTTGCAGTGGTCTCTTAATTTTTTTCCGCAGCTGTATATATACAGCTCTGGAAAAAATTAAGAGACCACTGCAAAATTATCAGTTTCTCTGGTTTTACTATTTATAGGTATGTGTTTGGGTAAAATTAACATTTTTGTTTTATTCTATAAACTACTGACAACATTTCTCCCAAATTCCAAATAAAAATATTGTCATTTAGAGCATTTATTTGCAGAAAATGACAATGGTCAAAATAACAAAGATGCAGTGTTGTCAGACCTCGAATAATGAAAAGGAAATAAGTTCATGTTCATTTTTAAACAACAAAATACTAATGTTTTAACTTAGGAAGAGTTCAGAAATCAATATTTGGTGGAATAACCCAGATTTTCAATCACAGCTTTCATGCGTCTTGGCATGCTCTCCACCAGTCTTTCACATTGATGTTGGGTGACTTTATGCCACTCCTGACGCAAATATTCAAGCAGCTCGGCTTTGTTTGATGGCTTGTGACCATCCATCTTCCTCTTTTACATTTTTAGTCATTTAGCAGACGCTCTTATCCAGAACGACTTACAGTTAGTGAGTGCATACATTATTTTTTTTCATACTGGCCCCACAACCCTGGCGTTGCAAACGCCATGCTCTACCAACTGAGCTACATCCCTGCCAGCCATTCCCTCCCCTACCCTGGACAACGCTGGCTAATTGTGCGCCACCCCATGGGTCTCCCGGTCGCGGCCGGCTACGACAGAGCTTGGATGATCACATTCCAGAAGTTTTCAATGGGGTTCAGGTCTGGAGATTGGGCTGGCCATGACAGGGTCTTGATTTGGTGGTCCTCCATCCACACCTTGATTGACCTGGCTGTTTGGCATGGCGTATTGTCCTGCTGGGAAAACCAATCCTCAGAGTTGGGGAACAATGTCAGAGCAAAAGGAAGCAAGTTTTCTTCCAGGACAACCTTGTATGTGGCTTGATTAATGTGTCCTTCACAAAGACAAATCTGCCCTATTCCAGCCTTGCTGAAGCACCCCCAGATCATTACCGATCCTCCACCAAATTTCACAGTGGGTGCGAGACACTGTGGCTTGTAGGCCTCTCCAGGTCTCCATCTAACCATTAGACGACCAGGTGTTGGGCAAAGCTGAAAATTGGACTCATCAGAGAAGATGACCTTACTCCAGTCCTCTACGGTCCAATCCTTATGGTATTTTGCAAACCTCAGCCTAGATCTTATTTGCTTCTCATTGATGAAGGGCTTTTTTCTAGCTTTTCACAACTTCAGCCCTGCCCCTTGGAGCCTGTTCCGAACCGTCCTCGCCGTGGACTTCACCCCAGCTGCCGTTTGCCATTATTTTTGTAGGTCACTTGATGTCATCCTACGGTTGTTGAGTGACATTCGAATGAGTTTGCGGTCATCCCGGTCAGTAGAGAGTCGTTTTCGCCCTCTGCCAGTCTGTAGCTTTGTTGTCCCCAATGTCTGCTGCTTGACCTTGTTCTTATGAACCGCCGTCTTTGAAATTTTAAGGATGGAAGCAACCTGACGCTCTCTGTATCCCTCTGCCAGTAAAGCCAGAATTGAACCCTTTTCCTCACTCAAAACTTTCCTTTTCAACTCTTTTGGCATGGTCAATAGTTATTTTTTTGATTATTACTTTTGAGTTACTATTAGCACTGTTCTTGCCATTCAGCTGGTCCTATTGCAAGAGGATAGTGATGACCACAGCAGTGGTTTTTATACCTTTCCTCGTTAAATAAGATTTGGTTCAGGTGATCACCTAATCAGTACCTAATTCAGTAGAATGAGGTGTGCCTGTGTTGGAATTCAACAGACACTGGAATGGAATGGCTGTCCTACATGTAGAGATGCTGATTTAAGAAAAATGTGCAGTGGTCTCTTAATTTTTTCCAGATCTGTATGTGTGTGTGTGTGTATATATATATATATATATATATATATATATATATATATATATATATATATATATATATATATATATATATATATATATATATTTGACTAAAACCTAATCATTTCAAACCTTGCTTACAGTATATGTAATTGTATACAATTGTATCTCTCTTTTTCATGCGTGGGAATACTTTGGAACAGATTTCCAAAATTAAAATCACTTGGAGCTGATTTGATGGTGTTTTTACAGTCTTTTATGTCCAACAATTAATCTTGGGGGGCCAAATAAAATCACCCGTGGACCACATTTGGGGAACCCTGCCTTATAGCATTATTGCATGTGTACAGTGTGCTGGATCGGATGACTTCACACATGAGCAAACCACTGCCACCTGGCTGAGTGTGGAGGGAGGAGCAGGTGTAACACAATCAGACCTAGTGCTTTCACGCCTCGGTTAGCCTGGTAAACCCTGGAGCATATGCTCTGGTTTCTATGGAAATAAGGGGGAGGGTAGAGGCTACAGTGCCTTCAGGAAGTATTCACACCCCTTGACTTCTTCCATATTTTGTTGTGTTACAGCCTGAATTTAAAATGGATACAATTTAGATTTTGTGTCACTGGCCTACAGACTATACCCCATAATTTCAAAGTGGAGTGAAAAGCTGAAATGTTGTGAGCCAATAAGTATTCAACCCCTTTATGTCAAGCCTAAATAAGTTCAGGAGTAAAGATGTGCTTAACAAGTTACATAATAAGTTGCATGGACTAATAGTGTTTTTAACATGATTTCTGAATTACTCTGTCATCTCTGTATCCCACACATACAATTATCTGTAAGGTCCCTCAGTCGAGCAGTGAATTTCAAACACAGATTCAACCACAAAGACCAGGGATGTTTTCCAATGTCTCGCAAAGAAGGGTACCTATTGGTAGGGTAAACATTTGTAAAGCAGACATTGAATATCCCGTTGAGCATGCTGAAGTTATTAATTACACACCCAGTCGCTACAAAGATACAGGCGTCCTTCCTAACTCAGTTGCCGGAGAGGAAGGAAACCGCTCAGGGATTTCACCATGAGGCCAATCAATGGTGACTTTAAAACAGTTTTTAATGGCTGTGATAGGAGAACCTGAGGATGGATCAACAACTTGTAGTTACTCCACAATACTAACCTAAATTACAGTGAAAGGAAGGAAGCCTGTAAAGAATAGAAATATCCCAAAACATGCATCCTGTTTGCAAAAAGGCACTAAAGTAAAACTGCAAAGAATGTGGCAAAGAAATGAACTTTGTCCTGAATACAAAGCGTTATGTTTGGGGCAAATCCAACACAGCACTGAGTACCACTCTTCATGTTTTCAAGCATGGTGGTGGCTGCATCATGTTATGGGTATGCTTGTCATCGGCAAGGACTAGGGAGTTTTTTTAGGATAAAAAGAAACGAATAGAGCTAAGCACAGGCAAAATCCTAGAGAAAAACCTGGTTCAGTCTGCTTTCCAACAGACACTGGGAGACACAGTCACCTTTCAGCATGACAATAACCTAAAACACAAGGCCAAATATACACTGGAGTTGCTTACCAAGATGACATTGAATGTTCCTGAGTGGCCTAGTTATAGTTTTGACTTAAATCGGCTTGAAAATCTATGGCAAGACTTGAAAATGGCTGTCTAGTAACAACCATATTGACAGAGCTTGAACAATAAAAAAAAAAAAGAATAATCCAGGTGTGCAAAGCTCTTAGAGACTTACCCAGAAAGGCTCACTGCTATAATCACTGCCAACGGTGATTTTAACATGTACTGACTCAGGGGTCTGACTATTTATGTAATCAAGATATATTAGCTCAAGCTCTGTCAAGTTGGTTGTTGATCATTGCTAGACAGCCATTTTCAAATCTTGCCATAGATTTTCAAGCCGATTTTAAGTCAAAACTATAACCTCAGGAACAGAGTATTTTGTGTAGATCGTTGACAAAAAATGACAGTTAAATCAAGGGGTGTCAATACTTTCTGAAGGCACTGTAGGCCTATACTATGTACATTTATGAGGTTTGTTCAAGATTAGTCCTCCCGGCAGGCTCTGATGTAAAACCATACGTGTGGTCATACAGGCATTTCTGTATCAGTTGGTGCGATCGGCTGGCCTTGTCTGTGGGAAAGATAGCAGGTCGGTTGTAAGTAGACAGTGCTGTGTCAGCAGGTTGCCATGACGATGCAGTCATCCCACATTTCATTGTGCCTGTCCCTGCCACCTGTGTCTCCCTCCCTCCCGCAAGGTCACATGGTCCAAATTGATCCAGCTGCCAAGTTGACGCTCAAGTCACTTTCCTGTAACGTATGGGCCAGGCCCATTACTCCTGCATCAATCTCCTTTGAGTACAGGACACTAACAGTAACACACCTAATTTCACCCGTCTGAGCTCATTTACTCAGGGCTGTAGAGACATAACAGCTCCCTAAGAACAAATCTTCGCTGTCTGATGACAACCTTGGAAGTCTTTTTTTAATTTTTTTACATGTATTGAAAGCAGTAACTTCCAATGTAATCTGAACAGTTCATGACTCTAGGACCAAGAACATTTATTCAAAATAGCTTCTGAATTGTCATAATTGTATGTTAGTTAATAGGAAAATATGGCAGTGTTTTCTGTTTTGGAGAGAAGAGGTTTTCATCCGACAGCTACGATATGTAATTAGGCAATGCATTAATGGTAATAATGGACTGTTTGACTGAATGACTAGCTGGTTCACCAGTTTGTTCCCCATTTGAAAATAAATGAGCCACACTCTCAGTGCAGTACAACCAGTTCAAAACCCGTACATGTCTCTGAATCTCCCTTGGTCTGGGTGACAGATAGAAGAGCAGTTGGTGAACTGGGTCGCTTGCCGTCGCCCTGTGCTCTATTGAACTTTATCTACAAACATGCACAGCTGCAGACCGCCCGGTGGGTGCTGTAAATCAGCCAGTGATGTGTGATCTCCATTGTCCCTAGTCTAGCAGGTCAATGGAAATGGGTGGTCAGTGTAGCTGCAGCAAAGATAGCCTAGCGTTCTGTTCATGCTCCCTTCTGTATGTGCCAGCCATCCGATCTGCATGCTGAGTACTCAGCAGCATGTCCCTCTCACAGGTCATAATGTTGACCTTATTAAAGATCATGTTTGGTGAATTTGTGGAAAGATACAATAGCTGATTTTGATTTAAATTGTTATTGATATAGGAGCTATTAGCTACAACCTAGCACATTGTTTTGGTTGGAAACAGTAGGAAGTCTTTGTGGCTTTTTGTTTTTGCTGTGACCTCAACACAGCAGCTTACTGAAACCGGACGTGACTAAGATGGCTAATGCACTGGAAGAACAACCGTGCCTATTGAAAGTCTGCACACCTCTTGCACAGTCTTCACATTTTGCTGCTTTAAAATCAAATCTAAAAATGTTTGAAATTAGAGTGTTTTTCTACTGATGTACATAATTTACTCCACATTTCCAAAGTGAAAGAAAAATTATCAAAAAGGGGCTTAAGTGATGGGAGTGGAAATTACAGAACATTTTAGAGGCCCCCATCTTGGCTGTGTAGAGAAATGTTTGCATTTTTAAAGCTAATATCCTGCAATTCTACACAGTTTGCTATGCAGCTGAGAGAAAATGTTGCATTTTTAAAGGTGATTCCCTGCAATTCTACATATTCTGGCATGGAGCTGAGAGAACTGTTCTGGTTTAAAGCAAATTTCCTGCAATTCTGTGCATTTTGCCATGGCTAATACTCTGTGTTGTTTCTTGCTCAGACATAATAACAAAATCAATACTGCTAAATTCACTGTTCTTTGGAATTTCAATTGTCCCTGACTGTCTAGCTTTTATTTTGGTGATTGTTAGTTCTCAAAGATTATATGTTTTTAAAATATATAGGTACATTATCTTTCCTACATACTTTATATCTGGTTTTAGTTGTTTTAAGTTTACACTGAAAGTGTTTCTCAAAAACTGTTTGGATTTAGGCTTTTTTAAATCTTTTTTTTTTTGTTTGGACTTAGGCATCCCGAAAAACTGCTTAGGCAACCTGCCCAAGGATTTCAATGTCAGAAAAATCCCTGCACTCCAATCTACTCGCCTGTATGACAAAGTGAAAAGAATTAAGCCTGTGTAAAAAAATAAAAATAACATCCACTTCAAATCCACTGCAACAAGGCTGTTTAGTAATACTGCAAGACATGGCAAAGAAATTAACTAAATTGGCCTAAATTAAAAACCTACATGCTTGGGTTACATCCAATACAACACAAAATTAAACCCTGTGTATTTTCAAGTATTGTGGTGGCAGCATCATGTTATGGGTATGCTTGTCACCAGCAGGGACTGGGGATTTTGTCAGGGGTCAAAATAAATATGAAAGGAGCAAAGCCCAGGTAAAAAGTATTCTGAAAACCTAACCCTGGGAATATTGCTGTCCATCAATGATTGGCAACCAATCTTGAGCAATTTTGACAAAAACAATGGATAAATGTTGCCTTAAGAGTTTTCCAAAGTGAGTAGAATCTTATTCAAAATTATTGACAAAGGTGCTTCTATCAAGTATTCGGCTAAGTCTGGGGTGTGAAGACATACGCAATCAAGACATGTTATTTATTTTATATATTTACAGTGGGGGGAAAAAAGTATTTAGTCAGCCACCAATTGTGCAAGTTCTCCCACTTAAAAAGATGAGAGGCCTGTAATTTTCATCATAGGTACACGTCAACTATGACAGACAAAATTAGATTTTTTTTCTCCAGAAAATCACATTGTAGGATTTTTAATGAATTTATTTGCAAATTATGGTGGAAAATAAGTATTTGGTCAATAACAAAAGTTTCTCAATACTTTGTTATATACCCTTTGTTGGCAATGACACAGGTCAAACGTTTTCTGTAAGTCTTCACAAGGTTTTCACACACTGTTGCTGGTATTTTGGCCCATTCCTCCATGCAGATCTCCTCTAGAGCAGTGATGTTTTGGGGCTGTCGCTGGGCAACACAGACTTTCAACTCCCTCCAAAGATTTTCTATGGGGTTGAGATCTGGAGACTGGCTAGGCCACTCCAGGACCTTGAAATGCTTATTACGAAGCCACTCCTTCGTTGCCCAGACGGTGTGTTTGGGATCATTGTCATGCTGAAAGACCCAGCCACGTTTCATCTTCAATGCCCTTGCTGATGGAAGGAGGTTTTCACTCAAAATCTCACGATACATGGCCCCATTCATTCTTTCCTTTACACGGATCAGTCGTCCTGGTCCCTTTGCAGAAAAACAGCCCCAAAGCATGATGTTTCCACCCCCATGCTTCACAGTAGGTATGGTGTACTCCTGAGTGGCGCAGTGGTCTAAGGCACTGCATCGCAGTGCTAACTGTGCCACTAGAGATCCTGGTTCGAATCCAGGCTCTGTCGCCGCCGGCCGCGACCGGGAGACTCATGGGCGGCGCACAATTGGCCCAGCGTCGTCCAGGGTAGGGGAGGGAATGGCCGGCAGGGATGTAGCTCAGTTGATAGAGCATGGCGTTTGCAACGCCAGGGTTGTGGGTTCGATTCCCACGGGGGGGCCAGTATATTAAAAAAAAGATGTATTCACTAACTGTAAGTCGCTCTGGATAAGAGCGTCTGCTAAATGACTAAATTTTTTTTTTTAAATGTGTTCTTTGGATGCAACTCAGCATTCTTTGTCCTCCAAACACGACGAGTTGAGTTTTTACCAAAAAGTTCTATTTTGGTTTCATCTGACCATATGACATTCTCCCAATCCTCTTCTGGATCATCCAAATGCACTCTAGCAAACTTCAGACGGGCCTGGACATGTACTGGCTTAAGCAGGGGGACACGTCTTGCACTGCAGGATTTGAGTCCCTGGCGGCGTAGTGTGTTACTGATGGTAGGCTTTGTTACTTTGGTCCCAGCTCTCTGCAGGTCATTCACTAGGTCCCCCCGTGTGGTTCTGGGATTTTTGCTCACCGTTCTTGTGATCATTTTGACCCCACGGGGTGAGATCTTGCGTGGAGCCCCAGATCGAGGGAGATTATCAGTGGTCTTGTATGTCTTCCATTTCCTAATAATTGCTCCCACAGTTGATTTCTTCAAACCAAGCTGCTTACCTATTGCAGATTCAGTCTTCCCAGCCTGGTGCAGGTCTACAATTTTGTTTCTGGTGTCCTTTGACAGCTCTTTGGTCTTGGCCATAGTGGAGTTTGGAGTGTGACTGTTTGAGGTTGTGGACAGGTGTCTTTTATACTGATAACAAGTTCAAACAGGTGCCATTAATACAGGTAACGAGTGGAGGACAGAGGAGCCTCTTAAAGAAGAAGTTACAGGTCTGTGAGAGCCAGAAATCTTGCTTGTTTGTAGGTGACCAAATACTTATTTTCCACCATAATTTGCAAATAAATTCATTAAAAATCCTACAATGTGATTTTCTGGAATTTCTTTTCTCAATTTGTCTGTCATAGTTGACGTGTACCTATGATGAAAATTACAGGCCTCTCATCTTTTTAAGTGGGAGAACTTGCACAATTGGTGGCTGACTAAATACTTTTTTCCCCACTGTATTTTTAAATGTTTGTATTTTTTTACAGGGGTGCATGATTTCTTTTAAGCCTAATTTAGATATTTTTCTGCTTATAATTTCCGACATTTTGGTAGGCTATTTGTTAGTCACCTTGTCTATAATTAGATACATGCAGCTTCTCTTCTGTCATTAATGCCCTAGAAGACTAAATAAACTCTTGCTTACCAGAACAATGTCATAAATCGATGAATGCTTCAATCTAGTTGACATCGGTAAGATGGGAAAGATCTTCCGTGCAAAATTGATTTGACCGGTATAAGGAAATTAAAAGCAGTGTAAACACTCCAAAGAAACTCAGACCCCCAAAACGAACCGAACGGAGACCATCTCGAGAGGTGGTCTGAGTTTGGTTCTGTGGTCCGTTTCTCTTTTTTAGGGCAATGTGAACACAAAGCTCCCCAGGTTCGCTTGTCATTATTCCCGCAGCACACACTAGACTACTGCAACACCGTTTCCCCTGTCAAAACCCCACAGTGGTGCCACGAGAGAAGATGATGATGATGATGTGCAGGTTTGCGGAAATTAATATTGATTAGCAATTGTTAAGGATGCACAGAAATTCCAAAATGGGTGGAGTTTTTAGTTCAGATTATTTGTTTGAAATATGTGATCTATAGGCTAAGAGATTGTTGGGTTTGAATAGTGTGAGAAGACAATATATTTAGTGAGAATCACAACATAGGGTACAGCATCTATTCTCGCTCTTAAAGGGGCAGTAGTCTACCTTGGGTGTACAATTTTCAATTACAGCATTATTAATTCTGCAGTTATTCTATTGCTATTTATTCTGTTACCAATCAAATGTACATGTTAATATCTTCTGATTACAATGATTATGTCTCATATTTTAACTAAATGCAATCTATTAGCTTCCAAAATGTAGGCAGGTATATCTAACTGTCCGATAACACATTCTGATTGAATGGCACTTTGTAAAAACCTGCATGTTGGAAAACGATTTTGGTTCCTTTCTATAAAAAAAAAGCAATGTGAATACAAAGATGACTCGGTCCACAGAAAAAATAGTTGAGTCCTCATTCAAAAGCAAGGGCAGTGTGAATACAAAGATAACTGAGTTATTTAGCTCCCCCCCACAGAGTTCACTTTAAAGATGACTGAGATCACCCTTAGATGCCTCACATCACTTAGTCAGGGGTAAAACATAGGCTTACGCCCCAAATTGCACCCTATTCCTTATAGTTCACTACCTTTGATCATTAGGGCTCTGGTCAAGAGGAGTGAACTACAGTGGGGAGAACAAGTATTTGATACACTGCCGATTTTGCAGGTTTTCCTACTTACAAAGCATGTAGAGGTCTGTAATTTTTATCATAGGGACACTTCAACTGTGAGAGATGGAATCTAAAACAAAAATCCAGAAAATCACATTTGTATGATTTTTTAAGTAATTCATTTGCATTTTATTGCATGACATAAGTATTTGATACATCAGAAAAGCAGAACTTAATATTTGGTACAGAAACCTTTGTTTGCAATTACAGAGATCATACGTTTCCTGTAGTTCTTGACCAGGTTTGCACACACTGCAGCAGGGATTTTGGCCCACTCCTCCATACAGACCTTCTCTAGATCCTTCAGGTTTCGGGGCTGTCGCTGGGCAATACGGTCTTTCAGCTCCCTCCAAAGATGTTCTATTGGGTTCAGGTCTGGAGACTGGCTAGGCCACTCCAGGACCTTGAGATGCTTCTTACGGAGGCACTCCTTAGTTGCCCTGGCTGTGTGTTTCGGGTCGTTGTCATGCTGGAAGACCCAGCCACGACCCATCTTCAATACTCTTACTGAGGGAAGGAGGTTGTTGGCCAAGATCTCGCGATACATGGCCCCATCCATCCTCCCCTCAATACGGTGCAGTCGTCCTGTCCCCTTTGCAGAAAAGCATCCCCAAAGAATGATGTTTCCACTTCCATGCTTCACAGTTGGGATGGTGTTCTTGGGGTTGTACTCATCCTTCTTCTTCCTCCAAACACGGCGAGTGGAGTTTAGACCAAAAAGCTCAATTTTTGTCTCATCAGACCACACGACCTTCTCCCATTCCTCCTCTGGATCATCCAGATGGTCATTGGCAAACTTCAGATGGGCCTGGACATGCCCTGGCTTGAGCAGGGGGACCTTGCGTGCGCTGCAGGATTTTAATCCATGACGGCGTAGTGTGTTACTAATGGTTTTCTTTGAGACTGTGGTCCCAGCTCTCTTCAGGTTATTGACCAGGTCCTGCCGTGTAGTTCTGGGCTGATCCCTCACCTTCCTCATGATCATTGATGCCCCACAAGGTGAGATCTTGCATGGAGCCCCAGACCGAGGGTGATTGACCGTCATCTTGAACTTCTTCCATTTTCTAATAATTGCGCCAACAGTTGTTGCCTTCTCACCAAGCTGCTTGCCTATTGACCTGTAGCCCATCCCAGCCTTGTGCAGGTCTACAATTTTATCCCTGATGTCCTTACACAGCTCTCTGGTCTTGGCCATTGTGGAGATGTTGGAGTCTGTTTGATTGAGTGTGTGGACAGGTGTCTTTTATACAGGTAACGAGTTCAAACAGGTGCAGTTAATACAGGTAATGAGTGGAGAACAGGAGGGCTTCTTAAAGAAAAACTAACAGGTCTGTGAGAGCTGTAATTCTTACTGGTTGGTAGGTGATCAAATACTTATGTCATGCAATAAAATGCAAATTAATTACTTACAATTCATACAATGTGATTTTCTGGATTTTTGTTTTAGATTCCGTCTCTCACAGTTGAAGTGTACCTATGATAAAAATTACAGACCTCTACATGCTTTGTAAGTAGGAAAACCTGCAAAATCGGCAGTGTATCCCCACTGTATATCGAGGATATGGTGCCATTTGGGATGCATCCATGCTCTTGATTCTCCATTCTGTTTGCATCCAATGATCCATTCTCTAGGCATCCATATTCTTCTAACCCATTAATTTGTGTATTTGTCCTGACGCCTCACATCTGTCTCTCTCTCTGCAGCCGTCATGTATGTGATGGGAGCCCTGGGTCCGGCTGCTGGGTATCTGCTGGGAGGAGTTCTCATCGGCTTCTACGTCGACCCCAAGACTGTGGTCAACATAGATCAGAGCGACCCTCGCTTTATTGGCAACTGGTAATGTTCCTTACATTTCACTGAATATGTTATATGATGAGATTGAATAGAAATGTTAGCAATTTACATGTTTGGTTGCCAAGGCCTAATATGTTAAATATGGTTGGATTGATTGGAGATGTTAGAAATGTACATGGTATGTACATGTTAGCTTGTCAAATGTTGTGGGACTTTAGGCCAATAGTTTGTGGGAACATCAATGTTCCATGGTGTGTTTAATGTGGGGCTTGTGTGTTGTGTGAATGTGCTATTGAACTCAATGCAGATGATAGGCTAGATATGGGATAATTGTCTTAGACACACAGTGTTGTATACAAAATAAACACTGTACATTACACTCAACATACAGTGGGGAGAACAAGTATTTGATATCCAATTTAATTTTAGATTCCGTCTCTCACAGTTGAAGTGTACCTATGATAAAAATTACAGACCTCTACATGCTTTGTAAGTAGGAAAACCTGCAAAATCGGCAGTGTATCAAATACTTGTTCTCCCCACTGTATATTCGATTTGTAACTATGCTAAACCCTCCCCTAATTTTGTAACTAAGCTAAACCCTTCCTGCTCTCAGGTGGAGCGGCTTCCTGCTCTGTTCTATCGCTATGCTGCTGGTCATCTTCCCCATGTTCACCTTCCCCAAGAAGCTGCCTCCCAGAAACAAGAAGAAGAAGAAGAGGAAAAAGATCAGCCTGGACAACGTGTCCAGTGATGATGAGATCACCAAGGAGAAGACCAACAGCAAGAGCCAGACGGTTACATCATCCATGGGCTTTGGGAAAGACATCAAAGGTATGCTATACAGAAAGCATCCTATTCTCTACGTCAGGGCTGTTCCATCCTGGTCCTGGAGGGCTGAAACACTTCTAGTTTTCATCCTCTCCTTCTAATAAGAGACTAATTCAGACCTGGGACACCAATTAACTACCAGGTAGAAACAAACACTACTTGTGTTTCAGCCCTCCAGGACCAGAATTGAACAGCCCTGCTCTATGTAGTGCACGGCTTTTGACAAGAGCCCTATGGGTCCTTGTCAAAAGCAGTGCACTATATATAGCTAATGGGGTGCAATTTGGGACGCTCACTGAGGCTATTAGAAGCAGGGTTATCTTACTGACTCTTGCCTCTCATATACTATCACTGATACTGATGATAGTCTATCAGCGCTCGACATGGTTTGTTGCTGCCACAGACAGCTATATACAGCTAGAGCTGAACTGCTGTCACACTAAAACAACTGAATTACACAATGTAATCACAGCCCATTGCCTTAGTTTTATGTTCTAATAAAGTCCACTTTATTAAGGTACTACTGTATGGGGGTTTCATACTAATCTGGGCAGGTGAAATGTAGTTCCTATTAAGGTTATCCATAATCCTTTATCTTCCTGGTGAGCAGATGTGCCCTTGGATAACTCCATAATATAATTGGACCTTCAGCCTTTGCTGAGTCTGTCTGTCTGTGATGCTCATTTTGTTAACGTGCTGTGTTTTCTCTTTATATTTCTCCCCCTCTCTCATCCCTCTCTCCATCCCTCTCTCTCATCCCTCTCTCCTTCCCTCTCTCTCCATCTCTCTCTCCCTGTCTTTCTCTCCCTCCGTGTCCCTGTGTAGAGCTGCCTAAGGCTGCAGTGAGGATCCTGAGTAATGTCACCTTCCTGTTTGTGAGCCTGTCCTACACTGCAGAGAGCGCCATTGTCACCGCCTTCATCACCTTCATACCCAAGTTCATAGAGTCGCAGTTCGGCATCCCCGCGTCCAGCGCTAGTATCTACACAGGTAAAGACACATCTAGTATCTACACAGGTAAAGATACATATATCTACACAGGTAAAGACACACCTAGTATCTACACAGGTAAAGACACACCTAGTATCTACACAGGTAAAGATACATATATCTACACAGGTAAAGACACACCTAGTATCTACACAGGTAAAGACACACCTAGTATCTACACAGGTAAAGACACACCTAGTATCTACACAGGTAAAGATACATATATCTACACAGGTAAAGACACACCTAGTATCTACACAGGTAAAGACACACCTAGGATCTACACAGGTAAAGATACATACAGTGGGGGAAAAAAGTATTTAGTCAGCCACCAATTGTGCAAGTTCTCCCACTTAAAAAGATGAGAGGCCTGTAATTTTCATCATAGGTACACGTCAACTATGACAGACAAATTGAGAAAAGAAATTCCAGAAAATCACATTGTAGGATTTTTAATGAATTTATTTGCAAATTATGGTGGAAAATAAGTATTTGGTCACCTACAAACAAGCAAGATTTCTGGCTCTCACAGACCTGTAACTTCTTCTTTAAGAGGCTCCTCTGTCCTCCACTCGTTACCTGTATTAATGGCACCTGTTTGAAGTTGTTATCAGTATAAAAGACACCTGTCCACAACCTCAAACAGTCACACTCCAAACTCCACTATGGCCAAGACCAAAGAGCTGTCAAAGGACACCAGAAACAAAATTGTAGACCTGCACCAGGCTGGGAAGACTGAATCTGCAATAGGTAAGCAGCTTGGTTTGAAGAAATCAACTGTGGGAGCAATTATTAGGAAATGGAAGACATACAAGACCACTGATAATCTCCCTCGATCTGGGGCTCCACGCAAGATCTCACCCCGTGGGGTCAAAATGATCACAAGAACGGTGAGCAAAAATCCCAGAACCACACGGGGGGACCTAGTGAATGACCTGCAGAGAGCTGGGACCAAAGTAACAAAGCCTACCATCAGTAACACACTACGCTGCCAGGGACTCAAATCCTGCAGTGCCAGACGTGTCCCCCTGCTTAAGCCAGTACATGTCCAGGCCTGTCTGAAGTTTGCTAGAGTGCATTTGGATGATCCAGAAGAGGATTGGGAGAATGTCATATGGTCAGATGAAACCAAAATAGAACTTTTTGGTAAAAACTCAACTCGTCGTGTTTGGGGGACAAAGAATGCTGAGTTGCATCCAAAGAACACCATACCTACTGTGAAGCATGGGGGTGGAAATATCATGCTTTGGGGCTGTTTTTCTGCAAAGGGACCAGGACGACTGATCCGTGTAAAGGAAAGAATGAATGGGGCCATGTATCGTGAGATTTTGAGTGAAAACCTCCTTCCATCAGCAAGGGCATTGAAGATGAAACGTGGCTGGGTCTTTCAGCATGACAATGATCCCAAACACACCGCCGGGGCAACGAAGGAGTGGCTTCGTAAGAAGCATTTCAAGGTCCTGGAGTGGCCTAGCCAGTCTCCAGATCTCAACCCCATAGAAAATCTTTGGAGGGAGTTGAAAGTCCGTGTTGCCCAGCGACAGCCCCAAAACATCACTGCTCTAGAGGAGATCTGCATGGAGGAATGGGCCAAAATACCAGCAACAGTGTGTGAAAACCTTGTGAAGACTTACAGAAAACGTTTGACCTGTGTCATTGCCAACAAAGGGTATATAACAAAGTATTGAAAAACTTTTGTTATTGACCAAATACTTATTTTCCACCATAATTTGCAAATAAATTCATTAAAAATCCTACAATGTGATTTTCTGGATTTTTTTTCTTCTCATTTTGTCTGTCATAGTTGACGTGTACCTATGATGAAAATTACAGGCCTCTCTCATCTTTTTAAGTGGGAGAACTTGCACAATTGGTGGCTGACTAATACACTTTTTCTCCACTGTATATCTACACAGGTAAAGACACACCTCTAACATCCTTCTGTAACTGTATCCAATTTAACTGTTCACCTATACTAGAGTTGCACTCTGAAGCGCATAGCTTGGAACACAGGTCTGTTGGATCTAAATGACCTCCAGCTTCACCACAGAGATCAGTTAGAAGTCAGTTAGAGCCTTCACATTCCTCAAAAGCATCTCAGTCTGGGACACAGCCTGAAGTGGTCTGTATCTTTAAGACTACTCCACATCAGTGGGGCCACGGTGAGATTCACACTCTCACTACTCACTACTTGACCATGTCCCAGATGCCCCCTTTATTTGAGGAGCAGTGTTTGTATTATTCATGGATGCTGGCTGGGCCTCCACTCCATCACTGAGCATTAGTTGTACAGCAAGCTGCGGTAAAGCTCCATCACCACTCCCCTAGAAAGGAGAATCTACTCTACTTCTTGTGTACTTTGGACGGTGTGTTTGGAAGTGAACAGAAGGCCCGAGTAAATTCTGTTGTAGAATTACAAACGTGTAAATGCAAAACAGATTGCCGTGATCTAATCTATGCGTTCTAGAGACAACACCATTGACTGTCTTTCTCCTGCTGGCCCAGGTGTGATCATCGTGCCCAGTGCTGGGGTGGGTATAGTCCTGGGGGGCTACATCATTAAGAAGCTGAAGCTGGGAGCCAGAGAGTCAGCCAAGCTGGCCATGATCTGTAGTGGGGTGTCTCTGCTCTGCTTCTCTACTCTGTTCATAGTGGGCTGTGAGAGCATCAACCTGGGAGGCATCAACATACCATACACCACTGGGTAAGATGGAGACCGCCCTCCCTTCCTTCCTTCATATCCTCCTTCCTTTCTTTGCTTCACTCAATACTCCTCTCGGACTCATGTAATCCCCTGTCGATCTTGCCCTGTTTTTCTCATCCCCTCAAAATTCAGTTGATTATTTCTCTGCGAACATTCCAGCCTCCAAAAACCAATATCAAAGAATTAAGCAATGTGAGGAATTGTTTAGTTTGTACACTAAGCAGTGGGCGTGCGTTTGTGTGTTTCCCAGTAATGATGAGAAGGGGAGGTGAAGGTCATGATGAAAGACAGAAGGCCCCTGTGGCTGTCACCAGATTGAACAACTCTGATGCACGACACTGTTATCATCTAGAATTAGAGCCTGACCGATATGGGATTTATGGGTCCGATACCGATTTTAGGGAGGCAAAAGTAACTGATTACCGATATATCTGCCGATTTTATATTGTTTTTTTAGAGGTGGAATAAAAATCAGACAAATTGACACACATTGTAATCAAAAGTATTAACATAAACTCTAAATGATGATAATTTCTTAGATCAAATATTAAAATTAAAATGTATTTAAGAACATTGTATTTGTGGTTTGCCCACACATTTTATTTACTTAATCAAATACGCTGGCTGTGGCAAGCTGCTCACCGTCAAACCACCATGCCAAGTCTCTCACGTTGTGACCTAGAGCTAAATTATGTTCAATGAGCAGCTGGTAGAGCGCCCTCTTCAGGCAAACATTTAACATTTCTAGAAATGACCGCAAATGAGTTTATTATACACTGCTCAAAAAGATAAAGGGAACACTTAAACAATACAATGTAACTCCAAGTCAATCACACTTCTGTGAAATCAAACTGTCCACTTAGGAAGCAACACTGATTGACAATAAATGTCACATGCTGTTGTGCAAATGGAATAGACAACAGGTGGAAATTATAGGCAATTAGCAAGACACCCCCAATAAAGAAGTGGTTCTGCAGGTGGTGACCACAGACCACTTCTCAGTTCCTATGCTTCCTGGCTGATGTTTTGATCACTTTTGAATGCTGGCGGTGCTTTCACTCTAGTGGTAGCATGAGACGGAGTCTACAACCCACACAAGTGGCTCAGGTAGTGCAGCTCATCCAGGATGGCACATCAATGTGAGCTGTGGCAAGAAGGTTTGCTGTGTCTGTCAGCGTAGTGTCCAGAGCATGGAGGCGCTACCAGGAGACAGGCCAGTACATCAGGAGACGTGGAGGAGGCCGTAGGAGGGCAACAACCCAGCAGCAGGACCGCTACCTCCGCCTTTGTGCAAGGAGGAGCAGGAGGAGCACTGCCAGAGCCCTGCAAAATGACCTCCAGCAGGCCACAAATGTGCATGTGTCTGCTCAAACGGTCAGAAACAGACTCCATGAGGGTGGTATGAGGGCCCGACGTCCACAGGTGGGGGTTGTGCTTACAGCCCAACACCGTGCAGGACGTTTGGCATTTGCCAGAGAACACCAAGATTGGCAAATTCGCCACTGGCGCCCTGTGCTCTTCACAGATGAAAGCAGGTTCACACTGAGCACATGTGACAGACGCGACAGAGTCTGGAGACGCCGTGGAGAACGTTCTGCTGCCTGCAACATCCTCCAGCATGACCGGTTTGGCGGTGGGTCAGTCATGGTGTGGGGTGGCATTTCTTTGGGGGGCCGCACAGCCCTCCATGTGCTCGCCAGAGGTAGCCTGACTGCCATTAGGTACCAAGATGAGATCCTCAGACCCGTTGTGAGACCATATGCTGGTGCGGTTGGCCCTGGGTTCCTCCTAATGCAAGACAATGCTAGACCTCATGTGGTTGGAGTGTGTCAGCAGTTCCTGCAAGAGGAAGGCATTGATGCTATGGACTGGCCCGCCCGTTCCCCAGACCTGAATCCAATTGAGCACATCTGGGACATCATGTCTCGCTCCATCCACCAACGCCACGTTGCACCACAGACTGTCCAGGAGTTGGCAGATGCTTTAGTCCAGGTCTGGGAGGAGATCCCTCAGGAGACCATCCGCCACCTCATCAGGAGCATGCCCAGGCGTTGTAGGGAGGTCATACAGGCACGTGGAGGCCACACACACTACTGAGCCTAATTTTGACTTGTTTTAAGGACATTACATCAAAGTAGGATCAGCCTGTAGTGTGGTTTTCCACTTTAATTTTGAGTGTGACTCCAAATCCAGACCTCCATGGGTTGATCAATTTGATTTCCATTGATCATTTTTGTGTGATTTTGTTGTCAGCACATTCAACTATGTAAAGAAAAAAGTATTTAATAAGATTATTTCATTAATTCAGATCTAGGATGTGTTCTTTTAGTGTTCCCTTTATTTTTTTGAGCAGTGTATGTGTATAATATAGGGCGCTTTATCTGTGGAATAAAGACTGATACAAATATTTCAGTGAAAGGCTTATATCGGGCGATTTTAATATCAGTCAACCGATTTATCGGTGGGGCTCGATCTAGAATGAATTAACTCTCTGTTCTGCAGTCCTGGGGCCTTGTCTCCTCTCTTAGGTCCAACCACTGGTTCTGTCCCAAATGGCACCCTATTCCCATTTAGTGCACTACTTTTGACCAGGTCCCATTTGTCCCTGATCCAATTATGATTTGTTCATCCCTCCCTGATATATCTTCAATAATTGTTGTAATTGCCCTTGTTCTGGGCAATGTGTTTCGGTGCAACTAATATCAGTGTAAATGTGCCCATTGAATAGCAGCACGGTAAGATAGTCTGACTTAATATTATGTTTATTCAGTTTTAGGATAAAGCTGTGATCTGCCTCTTCCTTCCCCTCCCCCTCTCCCCTTCTTTCTCCCTCTCACTTCACCTCTTGCTTTCTCTCCCTCTTCCCTCTCCCTACACTCTCCTCCTCTGTTCCTCTTCCTATACTCTGCCCCTTAATCTCCCTCTCCATTCCTATTCTCTCTAAATGATCTCTCTCTCCCTCTCTCTTTTCAGTCCTACTCTGACTATGACGCATCGTAACCTGACTGGAGGGTGTAATGTGAACTGTGGCTGTAAGATCCATGAGTACGCTCCGGTCTGTGGCTCTGATGGCATCACCTACTTTAACCCCTGCCTGGCAGGCTGTAGCAGTGTGGGCAACGACAGCACAGGAGTGAGTCCCTCAGTCCCTCAAACACAGTGCGCTGAACGATCGGCAGACGTACGCCAGATCCACATTCGGTGCAATGTGTGCGAGCATTAAAGCTAGGGCCAGGAGTTCTTCTTGGCCATCTTGACTTGACCAGGAAAAACTATATTGTTAGGCCCTAGTTATAGCTTACTGTTCATTGAACAAACATTCGTTAAGCATCCATTTACAGTGTACAGTCCACATTGGTAGTACTTGAATAACACACTCCTAGTGGTACGCACAGTTGCTCCTTAGAAGTTCACATCCATAGTACAATAAGATGAGCTGAGAGTGATGCTTTGTGTCCGCCCCTTCCTTTGTCAGATCCGGAACTATTCGGACTGTGCGTGTGTCCAGAGCAGACAGGTCATCACCCCCTCCTCCAACGGCCAGGGCAACCAGCTGCAGCTTGTCATCGTCAAGACCTACCTGAACGAGAACGGCTACGCTGTGTCGGGGAAGTGTGACCGCACCTGCAGCACACTCATACCCTTCCTCATCTTCCTCTTCATCGTCACACTCATCACAGCCTGCGCACAGCCCTCCGCCATCATCGTCACTCTCAGGTATAGACCACCCAAAAGAAAACACACTTATAGACACACATATTGTAAGGTTAAGGTTGAGGTATGGACCCATTCCGGAACAAAACAAAATACACAAACAAGAAGTTATTGTGTGAAGTAGTAGTTGTATTGTGAGCGCTCTTCTTCTCTTCACTGTTTCATCCCTTCTTCCTCCTCTCCTCTAGGTCAGTAGAAGAGCAGGAGAGACCCTTTGCACTTGGGATGCAGTTTGTTCTCCTCAGGACCCTTGGTGAGGGATGCAGCTTGGCTAACCAGTGAAATACACTGATGAATACTGTAGAGTGCCATTCTGAGAGTTTATTTTTTTTAGTTTTAAGTGTGATCTGACTCGGTCTCCTCCATGAGGAGTAATGAAAGGAAAATGTAATTTGAGAAGACAGGCTCCCATTTCCTATCAGAGAGCATTACTAAGAGGAACAGAAAAGGAATCAAAACATTTTCTCTGCATCGAGACATGTATTGCTGATAGGGCTGTCAAAGTTAACGCGTTAATTACAGTTTCCTTTTTGAATTTTTCACACTGTTAATTTTGGAATGGTGGGCCACCACTGCTAAATGAATATAGGGGAAACACTGGAGCTGTCTCTCTTGAGATGCTGAAACCATCCACTCTGCGTTCAGCTTTGAGCAACAAAGTTGAAGGAAAACGTACAGAAAGTTTAACCATAAACATTTTCCCAGGCGTTTCTTAAGATAACAGCAAAAACTTAATTTCCACAGAAGTAGCTAGCCAGTTATGCTAACATTAGCTAGCTAGCTAACCAAACAAGAATGTTTACAATGCAATGGCTGAATGCCTCTAGATTCAACACAATGATTTTAATCAGAAAATAACTTCCTTTCCATTTACGTAAGGTTTTTGTTGTATTTCTCAGATTAAAGCAAATGATCCCAATTCTATTACAGTAGCAGCTTGTGACTAGTTCATGGTGGACATGGATAAGAAGTAGCCTAGGCTAGATACAATAGCTGTATGATATTTTACATCAACTTTTATATCAGACCAGGCTGAGTTTTCTTCCCCTATAATCAAAATATATTATACCTACAACCCAATGGAATGAAACATCATTAAATAGGGTCAAATTTGAACCATTTCTCAAATGTAAAAAAACAAACATGCGATTTAACTAGCTACATTTTTTATATCGTTTGACAGCCCTAATTGCTGATATTAAATATCTCAAGATCAAGTTGAAAACGTACTGTAATTAGGCTAAAGATATTAGGCTTTAGAAATGGGAATGTGTGTTTGGCTTCCTGCTCTGAAAGAAGATGTCCTTCCTTCCCCGCAGCCTACATCCTTATACCAATCTTACTTCTGCTGCTGTTCCTCTCCTCTCTCCCCAGCCTATATCCCTACTCCCATCTACTATTATAACTGTTCCTCTCCTCTCTCCCCAGCCTATATCCCTACTCCCATCTACTATTATAACTGTTCCTCTTCTCTCTCCCCAGCCTATATCCCTACTCCCATCTACTTTGGGGCAGTGATCGACACAACCTGTATGCTGTGGCAGCAGGACTGTGGCATCCACGGCTCCTGCTGGGAGTATGACGTCACTTCCTTCCGCTTCGTCTACTTCGGCCTGGCCGCCAGCCTCAAGTTCATTGGCTTCATCTTCATCTTCCTCACCTGGTACTCCATCAAGTACAAGGAAGAGCGTCTGGAGCGCTGGCTGAAACACCTCTCGCCCATGGACACAGTCAGCGACCTCATCTGCCACGCCGGGGGTCACAAGGGGCACGCCCGTACCCGCTCCTGTCCCGTAAATATACCACGCAACGAACCTCCCATCATCCCCATCCTCAACAGGGGCCTCAGCAGCCAGAGCTGCCCGGGGAACAGCCTGAAGAGCCTGAAAGCAATAACCCCGCCGGCCCCTCGCCCTCCCACTCGCTCTCTGGAACAGGTGTCTGCCCGCATCTGAGGGCTGGGTGATGTTTCCAACCAACTCCAGCCCTCCCTGCTAGCCTCAGTCTGCAATGTGTACCTTTCTCACTCTGGTTCTCACTTGTATAGTATCCACTCACTCACTCACTCACACACACACACACACACACACACACACACACACACACACGTCACTCAGACAAGCAGCGGTTGGTCAACATGTATACAGGAAGACACTGGGATGGATACCTCGGTTTAGCTAATCTCCTCTTCCCTCTACCTAGTGTGCTTGTGTGCTTTTTTTGTTTATTTTCATCATGGAAGTGAATGTGTATTATTATCCCTGCATATCATCTCTTTAGAAAATTGCAAGTATGATCGTAATGATGGTATTGTGGCATGGTGCTATGTGAAAATGACATGAATAATAGCCTTCATTGCTCAGTTGTATTGTTAATTCTAAGACCTCAGCAGGATAAGGTGATTGAGCTAAGAAGCTTGGCCGGCGAGCACAAACTAAATCCTGTACTATGCAAGGTCTTTCTTTTTGCCCTATTATACAATGGCAAGCAGTATTAAAGGCACACAGTGAGTGTTGCCTTCCCTTCCCATACAATGTACAAACGTCGTTCAGCATTGCCCCAGACCTGCGTGTAATGATGAGTGGTTGACTTGGAAAGGATATGTTTGAAACATTTGGAATTGGAACCTCTTCTCCTGTATTCTGTGGCAACCTCATAGACCAGCCCACAAATACATCCTTTGCCGTAGTTCTAGTTCAGACACACTTGGGGCTGCATCCCAAATGGTACCCAAATACCTATATAGTGTAATACCTTTGACAAGGGCTCATAGGTCTCTGGTCAAAAGTGGTGCACTACATGGGGGAATAGGGTGCCATTTGGGACACCAACTAATAACACTCATGATGACCCCCCCCCCCCCCCCCCCCCCCCCTCAGTGTTGCTTCATGTGCTATGGGCTTTACAGAACGAAGGCGTATTTTGCTTACCGGTCTCTAAGAAAACTTGTTTCACACAAAGCTCCTACTTTAATGCTGCAATATGTAACTTTTTCGGCGACTTGACAAAATTCATATTGAAATGCCAGTTATAGATCTGTCATTCTCATTGAAAGCAAGTCTAAGAAGCAGTATATCTGTTCTATGTGTGCTATTTCTATGTTTCCCGTTTTTAAGTTTCAATTTTGCGTCATTTACTTTCGGTTTTGTACACCAGCTGAAAATACAATATTTTTGGTTATGGAAAATATATTTCACAGCGGTTTAGATGGTACAATGATTCTCTAAACACTATACTTGCTCGTTTTGTCACATAAACTGACATTAGGTGAACTATTAGAATTTTAGCTACCAGAAAATGGCTCAGGTCAAAAGTAGTGCACTATATAGGGAATAGGGTGCCATTTGGCACACATACAATGTTTTAACCAACCAGAGCCCCTGCTGGCTCTGTGGTGGAGCAGACCAGACCATTGCTGCTGGTGCCAAGAGACTGCTGTGCTTCCCATGATCAGCTAAACCACACAGACAAAACACTCTTTCACATAAGTTAGTTAGTGTCAGTAGTTTAGTAGCTTGTGTCACGGGCCTCACCTCACCTTCGAGCGAAGCCTGGGAGTCTGAGGCTAGCAGTTTAGTTCAGTCTGTCTGTACCACACCAAGCATGAGTAAAAGGTATGGATGTGTAATTAATGGATTTAACAGCAGGGCGACTTCTCCCATGTACTGTGTAACTGAGCCGCATTTCCATTTTTAAACAATGCTCTTTAGTGAATTAGTATAAAGTCTAACTACTCAGTATGTCTACCATACAGCATGTGCACTGTCACAGTGATATCAATCATTGGCTTCTGAGGTTGTTTGTTTTGCCTTTTGGTGTAACCCTTTTCGTTTCACCCTTTTTTACTAACTCAAAGGAAATCAGACTAATTGCTTAAACAGTGCTAAGTCGAGCTTAGGGCTGTGAGTTCCTAAACTCCCACAGCTCAGTAATCAGTAAGATTACATGGACATGGGGGGAACCTGATCCTAGATCAGCACTCCTACTTTAAGACTCATGGGCCTTCTGTATCAAGAGCTGGAGGGCAACAAGATTGTTGAAACATTCAAATAGTTTGTGGGTGTAACATGCAATATTCAAGGACATATTGCTGTTAGTTTCGCAGGGTGTTTGAGGACACCTGCTGGTCAGATGTGGTAAGCAATATTATAGAAAGACAAATTAAGCTTTGTGGTGTTTTCCAAAGCGAAATAACTATACAATTATTTGGTGGAATAATCTTATTTTCAGTTAATTCTAACACTTAAATGTTGGAAGTTAAATTATGCTTTTCTATGTACCTATGTTGAATTTGGGCAGTTGGAACAGCACTTACATGATACAATGTGGCTGTTGGGTTAGAGTTAATAGCATTAAAAGCTATGGTTTGTATTGCCTTTGGGATATTATACTGAACAAAAATATAAACACAACATCAAATCAAAATCAACAATGCAGTTCAGTTAAGAGTTAAGAAATATTTACTAAATAAACTAAAGTAAGAAATAAAATGACATGCAACAATTTCAACGATTTTACTGAGTTACAGTTCATATAAGGAAATCAGTCAATTTAAATAAATTCATTAGGCCCTAATCTATGGATTTCACATGACTGGGCAGGGGCACAGCCATGGGTAGTTCTGTGAGGTCATAGGCCCACCCACTGGGGAGCCAGGCCAATCAGAAATAGTTTTTCCCCATTAAAGGGCTTTATTACAGACAGAAATACTCCTCAGTTTCATCAGCTGCCCGGATGGCTGGTCTCAGACAATCCCGCAGGTGAAGAAGCCGGATGTGGAGGTCCTGGGCAGGCGTGGTTACACGTGGTCTGCGTTTGTGAGGCCGGTTGGACGTACTGCCAAATTCTCTAAAACGACATTGGTGGCTTATGGTAGAGAAATGAACATTAAATTATCTGGCAACAGCTCTGGTGGACATTCCTGCAGTCAGCATGTCAATTTCACGCTCCCTCAGAACTTGAGACATCTGTGGCATTGTGTTGTGTGGCAAAACTGCACATTTTAGAGTGACCTTTTATTGTCCCCAGTACAGGGTGCACCTGTGTAATGATCATGCTGTTTAATCAGCTTCTTGATATGCCACACCTGTAAGGTGGATAGTTTATCTTGGCAAAGGAGAAATGCTCACTAACAGGGATGTAAACAAATTTGTGCACAACATTTTAGAGAAATAAGCTTTTTGTGCATATTGAACGTTTCTGGGATCTTATTTCAGCTCATGAAACATGGGACCAACACTTTACATGTTGCGTTTATATTTTTGTTCAGTATATAACATGTTGCCGATAAAATGGAAAGGTACCATAGCTATTTATAATAAACTGAATGATTTAAGGGATTTTTAAATGATTAAACTGACATGGTCATCTAGAATAACATTGCAATGTATCTGCCAATAGTAGTGACAGACAGGCTAATTGATGCATGTAATAATTTTCAGTAATCAGTGGAAAAATACACTATTAAAGGATAGAAATCACATAATTCTTAGTCAAACATTCCATTTAATGTGAAAGAATAAGTAGGTTATGTAGAGAGCATTCGGGGGCAAATTAATTATATTTCTAGCTACATTTTGACTCAAGGATTCTCCTAACTTTAGTGTTATTGAATCTGTTAGTGAAAGGCTACAGTATTATGTTTCTCAGTGCCTACTTTTCCTAATAATTGATTACTACATCAGTGTTTATTTAACCTTTTATGCCATTTTTATTTGGTGATTCTGAAATGCTCTTGACTTCAAGTAATGACTCTCAATGATATGACTGACTGTGAAGAATTTAACTCTAGGACTTTCGGTTTACTTGCTGCCATCAATAGACCTTTTCAACCTATACCTACATTACCAGGATGTTTGCTGCAGAATTCCTATACTCTTGTGATACTCACCCTCAAACCTACTGTTCCTCTGGAGCGAGGAGCTCTCTCTTACCTCCCTGTGTAGTGCTGTCATCAGTCATTGTATGTGGCATAAAACGAGGACTTGACCTGGATGCTACGATAAAGACTATTTCAGGTAGATTGTAGTTGTATCTTCTTTATCAGTATTGTATTTATTTCAATTCAAATGACAGTGTTAAATGACAAGTTAATGCCTCAGCTATAGGGTTGACATCATAGAAAGAAACATGTAGATTGTTTGCTGACACTGTTTACAAATGCCTTGGATACTTGACCTCTGTCAATAAAAAATTTGAAAAATAAATAAATCCAGTGTATTGAATCGGGATTTCTGTCTGATGCAACAAAAAGCCTGGAAGGTAGTTAAAGAAGTGCTTGTTGGAGCCGGTAATAAACATAACATTTGGGATGCACACGCTGTGTTTCCCAAACTCGGTACTGCCCCCCCCCAGCAATTCAGCTGATTCAAATAACTAACTCATCATCAAGCTTTCATTATCTTAATCAACTGTGTAGTGCTAGGACAAAAACCAAAATGTGCATTCACTGGGGGGCCCCAGGACTGAGTTTGGGAAACCGTGCTCTAGACAAACCACAAGGTGGCAGAGTACATTTTACATTTTAGTCATTTAGCAGATGCTCTTATCCAGAGCGACTTACAGTGAGTGCATACATTTTTTTTTCATACTGGCCCCCCGTGGGAATCGAACCCACAACCCTGCCGTTGCAAGCGCCATGCTCTACCAACTGAGCTACACGGGGCCTGTAGGGATGTGATGATGAATGATACATTTTTAATGTGACCAACGAAAGCAGTCACACTTTATTGTTAAAATTATTATTATTCTTTAGAACTCTAGTTTCCGTACACTGTGTAAGCTAGAAACGTAATTCAAACTTTAAAACGTGCAGAATGGTCTGGATTGAGTTGCTTGTATACAACCTTTTGTTACATTTATACTTTTTTAAACTATTACTTTTTGTCTTTCTCTATTCACTTTAATGGGATTTATTCAAATCCTAAAGCTTCAATTGTTAAAAACTCCCATGACTTCCAACGTTCTATTCACTGTAAACAATGTAACTTTCTACCCCCTTTTTCGATCTTGTCTCATCGCTGCAACGAAGGTCGAGGCATGCGTCCCCTGAAACATGACCTACCAAACCGCGCTTCTTAACACCCGCCAGCCGCACCAACGTGTTAACACCCTTCAACTGACAACCGAGGTCAGCCTGCAGGCGTCCTGCCCGTCACAAGGAGTCGCTAGAGCAAATGAGTAAAGTAAAGCCCTCCTGGCCAAACCCTCCCCTAACCCGGACGACGCTGGGCCAATTGTGCGCTGTGCTATGGGACTCCCGATCACAGCCGGTTATGATACAGCCCGGGATCGAACCCGGGTCTGTAGTGATGCATCTAGCACCTTAGACCGCAGCGCCACTCGGGAGACCAACAATGTAACTTTTGACACAAATCAGTTACTTTGACCACTTTTCCAACAACATATGCAGAAACTTCGAGCGAATTAAGTCTTATTCTACTTCTATGCTATTCAAATCTGAAATCAAATCAAATGATACAGCTGTTTTAGTAACCACATCAACTTATTTTCTCTCAACTTTTTCAAACAACTGAAATGTTGACCAAAAAATCTGAACATAAATATATTCTACCAATCAAACTATATGTTGCCTTAAGAGTTCAGCAAAGTTGGTAGAATCCTATTCAAACTGATTCACAGCTGTAATTGCTGCCAAAAGAGAACGTATTTTGTAATTTGGGCAGTGCTTGACTTGGGCAGGAGCTCACTGGAGCTGAGTACCGGCACCTCAAATGTTCTACTGCTTGAGCTCCTGTTCCTCTTATAGAATGTTAGATCAAAAGTATTGTGGAGCTCTTGCACCTAAATATAAACAGTACCGGCACCCAAAACGAATACTTGACACTTATTTCAGTCCAAGTCAAGCACTGAATTTGGGTGAACTATTCCTTTAAGCTCCTATTTAATGGGAGTTATATTTGATAGGAGATGGTTTAAACTTTATGGGTTTTCAAGGACACTTTGGACAGCTGTAAATATGTAATATATGTTGTGGTTTTTTTCTGTATATAATACATTGAAACTTAATGTTGGAACATTGATCAAACTGGACAGTGGTGATTCACAGTGGTGCAAAAGTGTTTGCTGTCCCTAGCTCTTGAGAACCCAAGGGGTACCAAGGGGTTTACAGCCAGTCGCCCTCTTGGGTTCTCAGTTTAAGATCTGGACCACAGCTTGCTCCATTTGAATGACAATCCAGACGCTCTGTTTTAACGTTTATAAATGTCTCGCTCAGATTTGTTCCAAATGTTCCAAATATTTCCAAAACAGTATCGCGTGTGAGGCATATTTGCGTTTAGACAGAGCATTTTGCCAGCGTCGGGGGATTTACCTCAGTCACCAGCATATAGCCAAATATTTTTATAACTAGCAATCTGTGATATAGCTATGTGGAATGACACAATGTAAAGCAATGGCATTGGAGTTACTCTGTCCCCCAACCTGCAGTAACAAGATACCATTGCTGACGTAAGTGACGGAATGACGTTGCTTCCTTTCAACATGGCGCTGACAGGTTGCTTATAGAAGTCGGTGGGATTTCCTTTCTGGAATAAAGGATATTTTTATGTTTCTTCTTAGTGCTCCAATATTACCCTCTGCTAAAAAAATAAACAAGACTACAACAACACTATTCTGTCCTCGGGACAGCAGCTTTGAATACAGTTCCATCACATCATGTATGAGAGTAAAACGAGAAACATGTTTTTAACCCGAGCACTGGAGAAGATTTTAGCCGATAAGGAGGTGAAAAAAGCTCACCATTCCCAGTTGCGCAAAGCCTGTGAGGTGGCACTAGGTGAGTTTTATTGTGGCAATGTGTAAGTTTGGGGTGTCATCGTCATTTGTCATAGGCTACACACATCGTGCTACTGCACCAATGACTATCGGTTCGATACATTAAGTGCTTGGATACATTGTTGCAATTCGTTCATTGTAGTATCAATATGGGCTGCGTTCAAAACAAGTATTGCTTTTAAATCGCTGCAGAATCGAGATTCGATTCAAATGCTAGGCTTAAAACGAGTTTATCCCAAATCAAGCATGATCACTACCAGATATGTAGTTTGTTAGGAAATGTATGGTTGTTGTCATCTGGGGTGTAGCCTGGGAGAGCGCGCAGGTGTGAGAGGGTTCGTCCACTCCATTGTGACCACAGCAGTATCCCGTGATTGCCCTGTGCCTTCCAAAGCCGGTGTTTAGTTACGAATCCATGCTAAATAATTAGTTTGATATGTTGACCAGCGCAAGACTATTTGTATGCTGCCATCATCGCTTTAATAATATTGGCAGATTCATTGTTTATAAATAGGCAGATTCACACAGATGCGTAGATTGTATAGATTTTGATTTTATTCTTTAGGGAGAGAACATGGTAAAAATATAGTCTATTACAATATTTTAATTCAGGATTACCATTTGCAATTGATGCAATTATTCACTGATAGTTTGGTCCCACCCTTTGGAGACAGACAACAACATTACGGTGAATGATGTGGCTCAAGAAGGGTACTGTGGGCAGGACTGCTCAGTGGCAATGGGACAAGAGTTTGCTAAACAAAACTAGACAGGGGATGTATCCCAAATGGCACCATATTCCCTATAAAGTACATTACCTGTAACCAGAGCCCTATGGGCCCTGGTCAAAAGTATTGCACTATACGTGTGTGTGCGCGCGCATGTGCGGGTGCACCACTAACCCACTAATTGTGTCAACGGTTTTGGTCTCTAGTCTAAATAGGCTATGACCCCAAAAATGTCACAACTAGTGAACTGTCCACAGACAGCTCTGATCCATAATTCCTTCAAGTCAGTCTGTGGTAGTGCTAAAAAAACATCCCGTGCCAGGAGGTTTATGCTTGCCAGCCGTTGACAACAATAACGAATATGCAATTGCATATACACTGAACAAAAATATAAACACAACATGCAACAATTTCAAAGGTTTTACTGAGTTAAAGTTCATATAAGGAAATCAGTCAATTGGCATAAATTCATTAGGCCCTAATCTATGGATTTCACAGGACTGGGAATACAGATATGCATCTGTTGGTCACAGATACCTTAAAAAAAAGTAGGGGAATGGATAAAAAAAACCAGTCAGTATCTGGTGTGACCATCATTTGCCTCCTTAGCATAGGGTTGATCAGGCTGTTGATTGTGGCCTGTCGAATGTTGGACCACTCCTTTTCAATGGCAGTGCGAAGTTGCTGGATATTGGTGGGAACTGGAACACGCTGTTGTACACGTCAATCCAGAGCATCCCAAACATACTCAATGGATGATATGTCTGGTGAATATGCAGGCCATGGAAGAACTTGGACATTTTCAGCTTCCAGGAATTGTGTACAGATCCTTGCGACATGGGGCCGTGCATTATCATGCTAAAACATGAAGTGATGACAGCGGATGAATGGCACGACAATGAGCCTCAGGATCAGCAAACCGCTCGCCCACAAGACTCCATACAGGCTGTCATTCATCTGCCCGGTACAATTGAAACCGGGATTAATCCGTGAAGAGCACACTTCTCCAGTGTGCTAGTAGCCATTGAAGGTGAGCATTTGACCACTGAAGTCGGTTACCACACCGAACTGCAGTCAGGTCAAGACCCTGTTGAGGACAACGAGCACGCAGATGAGCTTTCCTGAGACGATTTCTGACAGTTTGTGCAGAAATTCTTCAGTTGTGCAAACCAACAATTTCATCAGCTGTCCGGGTGGCTGTTCTCAGGTGAAGAAGCCGGATGTGTAGTTCCTGGACTGGCATGGTTACATATAGACTGCGGTTGTGAGGCCGGTTGGACGTACTGCCAAATTCTCTAAAACGACATTGGATGCGGCTAATGGTAGAGAAATGAACATTCAATTCTCTGGTAACAGCTCTGGTGGATATTCCTGCAGTCAGCATGCCAATTGCACGCTCCCTCAAAACATGAGACATCTTTGGCATTGTGTTTTGTGACAAAACTGCACATTTTAGAGTTACCTTTTATTGTCCCCAGCACAAGGTGCACCTGTGTAATGGTCATGCTGTTTAATCAGCTTCTTGATATGCCACACCTGTCAGGTGGATGGATTATCTTGGCAAAGGAGAAATGTTCACTGACAAATTTGTGCACAACATTTTAGAGAAGTAAGCTTTTTGTGCATATGGAACATTTCTGGGATATTTTATTTCAGCTTATGAAATATGCGACCAACACTTTACATGTTGCATTTATATTTTTGTTCAGTATAATAGGTCAAACTCAAACGGTCTCCTGTGTTGCACCCGGCCGTCTCCATTGAAGTCAATGGGTCTGCAATGGGTGGGACCAGTTCTAGTAATTATATTTCTATGGTTGCACCTGCTTCTAAGCTTGGTAAACATCTGGAACACACTTATACAACACTAGATGTACCAGATGGTTTCTTGTGTCTCAGTTGTGTGTTGTTTAAGGAATAAATCTAGAGGGGAATCGAGAGAATGTGTAGGTTAGACAGTATCTTACCAAATGAGTTCAGCTTATTAGTCACTAGTCATTCCAGAACAGAAAGGCCAGTTTGTCAAGACCCAAGACTATTTGCTTACTAATTAATCAGTATGACACATGCATAGACTTACATATTTTATGCACACAACTTCACTGTTAGCTATGTAAGCAGCCAGCCTAACATGCATCATTGCTTATACCCTCCTAAGTATACTGTAGATCAAAAGTGAAATATTAATCTTTGTCCTGCTGAAGGAAAGACGTCCAAAGTACACATTTCCAGTCTAGATAATTAGGTAAAATTGTATCTCATTTTAATTGCCTCCTCAAGACTAGAAACCCCATTCAATAATTAATGTTGCCTATTATTTGAGACACTGATTTAATTAATTATTGTTCACCTGCAATGGTAATGAGAGGGTTAACAAGTTTGACGTCTTTGTTTGCATCCCACTTCGCACCCTATTGCTTATGTAGGGCACTACTTTTGACCAGGGCCCATAGGGTTTTGGTCAAAGTAGTGCACTATGGAATAGGGTGCCATTTGGGATGCAGCCCAGATAGAGTTGTTTGTGCTCCCCCTCTCCCCCTTCAGTTGATACAGTGCAAATGGCGGAGCTATGATGATGTGTTTTCAGTAGAGGCTGTCATCTTATCTCTAGACATCTAAAGCATGCTGATACAAAGCTGATGACGTATCACCTGAACAGAGAGCAGATGTAGTCTGCTTATTAGTATGAACTGTCTCTCCCCCTCTCCTAGTTTCAGAGACTTTATAATAAGGGAGCACTGTATCTATGCTAGAATGAAATATATGTTACCTGCATTGAACCCACTCAGCTTTGTTGTGGCCAGCCTGTAGATTCAAGAGAGCATTTATGTAGGCGCCATTTGGGATGCAGAATTAGTATTTTCCAACTTGATTGAACTAGAACAAAGGGTCACCACCGTTCATATGAGCACCCATAACCCCCTGCATCTGCAGTCTCAAATTATAATCATGCAGTACATTGGTCTGCTGGCTGCCATCCAAGATTAAACCTAGTGGATGATGACCATGACCCCAACCTCCCCTTCACTGGCTCCTGCTCCACCGATACTGGAATGTTTAATTAGCCGCATTAAACATCTGGATGATCTACTGCCTCTTAACTTGGAGTGAATGGTTTTTGGGGTAAAATGTGGTGCAGATTTTGGTGAAAGGATATTGATAAAAAACCACAGACTTTTTCTCAGATTGTTTACTGATTGCCTATCAGGTTGACAAGTCATGGGGTGCATTTGTTTCCTCTGAATTCCACCAAACACTAGGTTTGTTATTAAGTTCGTCTTCATTCTGTATTGATTGTGTCTGGTACACTGTTGAGCGGTCAGTGCCTCCCATTCCTTTGTAATGTAAATGATGGAGGAGGAGTGGAGGTTATCTCTGTATCTGGTCCCACAGTGTTGCTCTTATTATTTATCTGGCCCAGAGTGATACCCATCCTACAGGTCTTGATAGTATTCACTAGACACCAAACAGAAGAAAACCAACCAGTACAGGGACGGACCTATCAGAATTTGTCCAATAAGAAACTTTCTTTTTTTCTTTTTGCAAAATGTTTTGCTACGGTGTGCACTAATGAATACAACCCAGGTTGGTGGAGGCCAGGGGTGATGATGTCACTTATGGTGAGGCCATTAGTGATGATCTCATCATGACTCATGAAGTAATCATAAAATGGACAGTAGCTCCTATGAGGAGATAATATTATATTACAGAATTTGATGTTTTTCTGTCCTGTTCACAGAGCGTCTCAACTGTAATTGTATTGCCAGCAGACGTCAATATATGTATGGAGTATTCAATTTGGCAGGATCTTCTATGAAGGTCAAGGGCAGGAATGTATAGTCGTGGAGGACATGGGCTAATTTGACAAAGTGCCCATGCCTTCATGTAATGAAACCCTCTACTGCTGCGATATAACGTTGGCTGTTGATGTACTGACCTTGATTATTGTCCATGTAGCTATAGCGGCATTATACAGGCCATGCAGGGCCAATATCAAAGGGATTTGGTTAATTGTTTCTATCTATCTGTTTTCAGAGGAAATTAAAGAAGAAACAGAGAAGCGGAGGTAGGTTTACTTTGAGATGTAGTGCGTGTGCATGCAAGCGTGTATGTGTCAAATGTCATCTGTAGTAAAACATTTTATGTTTTGATGTCTCCTTCTCTTGGCTCCTGAGAACAACACTCTTCCTTTCTGAACATGTTATTGTTTTGTCCCCCAGTCCCCTGGTTGGTTGGTTGGTTGGTAAACCAGATAGGCTTGAAGTTCAATGCAGCTCAGTGACCCGCACACCTCCTGTTGGCTTCTGTGTGGAGGTTTCATCCCTGTCACACCTGAGGTCTCACATGTCTTAGTCACCACCCCTAGGCTCCAGGCTGGAACACTGACCAGACACACTGTGATTCCCAAATGAAAGCCTACCCCCTATATAGTACACAACTTTTGACCAGGGCCCATTTGGAATAGGGTGCCATTTGGGACACACACTGTAGCACAGCAGTCTATAAAGCTTTCATCACTTCTCACTCAATGTTAAAAACAAGACACTTTTTTTTGTTGTTGACAAAAACAAATGTGCTTTGGGGAGATTAACGCCTCTCGAGTCTGCGATAATATGCAATTAAAGTTGATTATAAAATGACTCGGTAAATCTGCTTCGTAGCCAGCCTAATTAAAGTTTGAGTAAATGAGGGTGGAGGGTGGAGGGTGGAGGGTGGAGGGTGGAGGGTGGAGGGTGGAGGGTGGAGGGTGGATGGAGCTGGGAAGTGTGATGAATAATGGCTCAGTAGACTGGACTCAGTAGTGATGGTCAGCTTCCCCAGCTACTGTAACTGACAATGACTACATCCTGATTCTCTACCCTTCTCCCGAAATGTGTGCACTCCTACACTCCCCCTCATGGATTTAAAAGCATTGGATTGATGTAAGCATTGGCTGTAGAGAGTTCCGTCATTGTTCCATAGGAGGAAGTGTTCAAGTGCACACTTCTGGAGAAGGGGAAAGAATTGGAATGCAGCTATTGTGTTTGTGACATTGTCCACCAAGCAGACACTGGTACTCCTCCCCTGTACTCCTCCCGACCCCTGTAACCAGTTTGCCATTGCTCACCGAGGCACAAATGTCCCATATTAGATGGTTGAGTTCCTCAGACATGTTGTTTGTTTGGCCTAATGTTTTAACCATTTAGTTGCCATTGTATTTCCCCCCCTCAGTCCCCCTCCTGGAGACGACAACACTGATTCCAGTGCTCTACCACCGGTCAAGTCCAAGGATACCGTCATAGAAGCAGACAAGTACTTCCTGCCGTTTGAGTTAGCCTGCCAGTCCAAATGTCCTCGCATTGTCATCACATCTCTAGATTGTTTACAGGTCAGTGGTAGGTTACACTACACGCATGCACACACACATACACACACATACACACCAAAACAAAAACAGCTTCATTAGATGTATGTCTAATCTTGGCAAATGGCAATGATCAAAATGTGTCTACAGTATTTATCTTTATTATTGTCCAATACAAACACCATTGAGGGTTAACCTGACTTTTCTTTCTCCAGAAACTCATTGCTTATGGCCACCTCACTGGAAACGCACCAGACAACACCACACCTGGTAAGAGGTTGATCGATAGAATCATCGAGACGATATGTGGCTGCTTTCAAGGCCCTCAGACAGACGAAGGTATTCAGCTGCAAATTATAAAGGTATGTGGTCTATGAGCTCCTGTCATCTCTTCCTCTCCTCCTCCAGACTGTGTGTGACAGACAGACCAGCCTTCCTCTCCTCTCCTCTCCTCTCCTCTCCTCTCCTCTCCTCTCCTCTCCTCTCCTCTCCTCTCCTCTCCTCTCCTCTCCTCTCCTCTCCTCTCCTTCCCTCCCTTCAGTGTTAATCTTGTGTCAGGCCTGACTGGCCTGTGTCTGTCTGTCGTCTTGCCACTGAGCAGATAACACACATCAATGGCGTGTTCAGGCCCTTCCTCTCAAGGTTGTGCCAAACTGGTCAATCTAACATTTGGCAGATACATAGTGAACATAATCCTCAGTTGTTGGTTTTTACTGTTCAATATTACTGCCCACTAAGCAATGGCATCAAAATCATGATTTTCAGGGACAGGAGGCACCCATAATTGATTTGTTAATGATAGGAATGATTGAAAATGGCCATTCTCATGTTGTTATAATGCTTTGTGTTTGGTCATAAAAAGCCTATCTTGTTAACTGTGAGCGGTAGTGACTGTTAGTTCGGTGCCATAGAAATATAATGAGTAGAATGGGTGTCCACATTCAAGTCAGTGATGCCATAATAGGTATACCAGCAGTCATTTAGGGTGTACCCATAGGAGTAAAGCATTCTATTTCTATGGGTGCTGTCACTCTGCAGGCTCTGCTGACATCGGTGACCTCTCAACACATCGAAATCCACGAGGGCACAGTGCTGCAGGCGGTCAGGACTTGCTACAACATATACCTGGCCAGCAAGAACCTCATCAACCAGACCACGGCCAAGGCCACCCTCACACAGATGCTCAATGTCATCTTTGCACGTATGGAGAACCAAGCAGTAAGCTCTCTCGCTCTCTCTCTCTGTCATAATTGGGCCATAGAAATAGAATGACTAGAACAGGTATCACCATTCAAGTCAATGTGCCATGATGGGTGTACCAGCGACCATATTGAGTGTACCCATGAGGGCCTTTTTACCCATTCTAGTAATTATATTTCTATGATTTTGGCATCAATGGAAAAGAAGCTGGAACATAATTATTAGATATTTCAAGTTTATTTTAACTCTCCGATGATATCTAGCATTCAAATCACAGGATACGTTGGTCTGGGTCGTCCAGAAAGCAAGTGCGTCAGGTAAAGTTTGCAGCTGGGAAGTGCGTTGCGTTCCGCTGCTTGGTGTTGAAGTGGCTGATGATATATGAATTCTCCCCTGGGTGTGTGTGCATCTTGGCATGACTCGTTTTCTGCTATCTTTGCCAAGTGGGATTTTCTTTCCAGTAAAGACGCGCAGGCCTGCCTATCTGCTGTCTGCCAACCCGACCAGGGAACCAACCCTGACTAAGCCCCCTGCATTACAGAGATACAGTATAGCATTCCCTAAAGTATGTTGCCATGGTCAGTGTTTGCATTGCTGCACTGAATGCCTTGACCTTTTATGAGCTGTGACATAGCCACTCGGCAGCCAGTTGAGTTCAACAGATGGGTATCATCATTTAAACCTAATCTCACAATGTCAGTCAGAAATCAAGAATGTAACAGTGTTTATCATTTATGAGTTGAAGAAACTGGATTCAGAAAAATGTGCTTAGTACCAACATTGTGATTGGTTTTCCTTATATTGACTTGTATGCAGAATACAGAATACCAGACCCCATGAAAAAAAAAAAAATGATGCCCAGTGCTGTTATTGTTTTTGTGCTTGGTTTGACAGTGCATGGTCTAAAATAGTTTGGCCTATCATTATGTTTTGTACAATCTAAGGCTAGGCATTTCAAGTAGGCATAAAGAGAAAACGTGTGTCTGTGTGTGTTTCCGTCTGTGTCCGTGTCTCTGTGTGTGTGTGTGTTCCCTTGTCTCACCAGCTCCAGGAGGCCAGACAGATGGAGAAGGAGCGTCTGAGACAGCAGCAGTCACCAGTCAGCCAACAGGGGCAGGAGCCTCCTGCATCGCCCCGACAGGACCAGGAGCCTCCTGCATCGCCCCGCCAGAACCAGGAGCCCCCTGCCTTGCCCCAGCAGAAACCTCCTGCCTCTCCTCATCTGGAGCCCCCTGCCTCCCCTAAACAGGAGCAGCACACCGCCTCACCCCCACCTCAGGAGGAGGCCACCAAGGTGCCTGAGCAGAACACTCGTGAGGACCTGGAGCCTGAGAAAGGCTCTGTGTTCTGCAGTGCTGAGAACGAGCAGACTGAGGCGGACCAGGCTACTGCAGCTGCTGCACAGGGTAAGTCTGTCTCTCTGTCTTATTCACTCACTCACTCTCTCTCTCTCTCTCTCTCTCTCTCTCTCTCTCTCTCTCTCTCTCTCTCTCTCTCTCTCTCTCTCTCTCTCTCTCTCAAAGGTCGTCTATTGTATGTCTCTATGGAAATCACTGTTCCATATTTCAGTGTGTGTAACCTTCATCACTGCATTGGATTAGGAGACGTAAAATCCATGCACATGAATTAGTATTCCTATACATTCTCTGCTGAGAGAGAGAGGTCTGCCATGGTAGCCCTTTACTCAGGTTGAAAATGGCAGATTCTGTCACAGATAAGCGCCTAAATTGGAACGCAGTGGCTGTACAGTAACATGCTATTTTTTGTTGTCTGAGTGAGAGTAATGCTGTAAGTTAAGATGACTCGATGTATTTTGAAAGATGAGACGTTGAGGATTATAATAAATACCGCTTTGATGTCATACAAGCAAGCCAAACACCCGTGAGTCCAAATGTGCACTTCACATTTCCATATCATAAAACTCATGTCATATACAGTGTCAACAATGTTTGATGTAGAGTTACAAGATGACATGGCATCATACCCTGGGTTGTTCTGAACGGAATGAGCCTATGTTTGTCTATTGTGAAGAACATTTGCAGCAGAACACACACCTGAGTGCACTCCTTTCTATGCAAACCGAAATTATTATCTATAAGGTCGTATTTTAGAAATTAGCTAGCCATGTTGGCAATAGCACAAGCTTTCAAATTACACTCACTTTACCCAGATTACGATTTATAATGGGCTGTTTTTGGATTGCGTAAACAACAACAGTAATTGTGTGATGGCCGGGATGCAGGGTTGTGTTCCAAACAAAACAACTACAAGTGTGTTTTCTCTAGCTCCTCAATGGCACAGCTAGGAGAACTAAAAATAAGCATCTTATAGCTGAAGACTCTTCTTTGATTCATAAAAGTACATTGAAATGACTTAGGAACTGTGCACACTTTGGAGAGGTGTGGCCACTTGGAGACACCAGTTAGTCCTCTCACTCAAACCCTTGTCATTGTTTTGTATTATGTTGCACCTACCCCACATTTTCCAGGAATATTCTTATCATGTTACTGAATGTATCCAGAGTATTTTCAGATTTCAATATCAACAAATATGGCGAAAAGCAGTGGTAGAAAAAGGACCCAATTGTCATACTTGAGTAAAATTGAAGATACCTTAATAGAAAATGACTAAATTAAAAGTAATCTAGTAAAATACTACTTGAGTAAAAGTCAAAGTATTTTGTTTTAAATATACTTAAGTATCAAAAGTAAATGTAATTGCTAAAATATACTTAAGTATCAAAAGTCAAAGTATAAATCATTTCAAATTCCTTATATTAAGCAAACCAGACGGTACAAGTTTAGTGTTTTTTTAATTTACCGATAGCCAGGGGCACAATCCAACACTCCGACATAATTTACAAATGAAAGCATTTGTGTTTAGTGAGTCCGCCATATCAGAGGCCATAGGGATGACCATAGAGGGATGTTATCTTGATAAGTGTGTGAAATGCACCATTTTCCTGTCCTGCTAAGCATTCAAAATTAGTACTTTTGGGTGTCAGGGAAAATGTATGGAGTAAAAAGTACATTATTTTCTTTAGGAATAGAGTGAAGTTAAAAATATAAATAGTAAAGTACAGATACCCAAAACAACTACTTAAGTAGTACTTTAAAGTATTTTTTAAAGTACAGTAAATGTAAAATGCACATAAAATCAACAGTGTAATGTTTGGATTCAGTCTTGTGTCAGGTGAGCTGTTGTGTTCTCAACTTTAGTCTAATAATTTTCCCATAATCTCCAAACTGTTCCCTTTCAATTTCTACCATGCTTATGCATATTCTTTTCATATTTCTTCTGTAAGAAACATTTCAATTTAGACCTATCCATATAGCCCAATTACCACAAGTGTAAAGGGTTAATAGAGCTCTTAGATGGCGGGAAGGAGGTAATATATGAATCCATCAGAATCCAAGGGCTGTGTTCTAAATGGCATCCTGTTCCCTTTATAGTGCACTACTTTTGAAGTAGTGCACTTAGAAGTAGTGCACTTAATATAGAATAGGCGATCTCTGAATATGGCGTACATTCTAGACTCCTTGGTCTGATCAGAGGCAGTTAAACTCTACAAGGGAGAGGTCCTTTATTGGGATTCATAATGAAATGGGCCTCAGAGACCTCTGCATTTTAATATGTTTTGTACACATATAGTCGTGCCGTGGTAGCAATAGTGGAGTGATGATAAAATAAATGGAATGTCTCACAAAGACTTATGTGCCTTGGTTTATATATATATATATTTTTAATGTTTTACTGTCACATACACAAGATAGATTCAGTGGCGCCCCAGGAGCAAATTTGATTTAAGTGCCTCGCTCAAGGGCACATCGACAGATTTTCACCTTGTCGGCTCGGGTATTCGAACCAGCAACCTTTCGGTTACCGGCCCAATGCTCTTACCGTTAGGCTACCAGCCGCCCTTAAGTCCTACAATTTACATTTAAATCCTCAGAATATTGTCCTCTACTGAAACTTTAAAGTAATTGTAATCTGATTTAAGAAAGTATGGTGAAGTGTATTTACATCGCTCTAGGTTTGTCACAACAAGATGCTGAGGGGATTGTTGAGGAAGGACCAGTCAACTATGAGGAGCAGGCTCAAGAGATGGTCCAGACCATTCTGCAGGAAGTTGTCAATACAGTTGTTGGAGGTAACATGCCATTTTCTTAACTTTATACTCTTATATAGTCTGCCTTGTCTGTAGAAGATTGGACTCACTGTAGTTACAGTGGGGGAAAAAAGTATTTAGTCAGCCACCAATTGTGCAAGTTCTCCCACTTAAAAAGATGAGAGAGGCCTGTAATTTTCATCATAGGTACACGTCAACCATGACAGACAAAATTAGGAAAAAAAATCCAGAAAATCACATTGTAGGATTTTTAATGAATTTATTTGCAAATTATGGTGGAAAATAAGTATTTGGTCAATAACAAAAGTTTCTCAATACTTTGTTATATACCCTTTGTTGGTAATGACACAGGTCAAACGTTTTCTGTAAGTCTTTCACACACTGTTGCTGGTATTTTGGCCCATTCCTCCATGCAGATCTCCTCTAGAGCAGTGATGTTTTGAGGCTGTCGCTGGGCAACACGGACTTTCAACTCCCTCCAAAGATTTTCTATGGGGTTGAGATCTGGAGACTGGCTAGGCCACTCCAGGACCTTGAAATGCTTCTTACGAAGCCACGTTGCCCGGGCGGTGTGTTTGGGATCATTGTCATGCTGAAAGACCCAGCCACGTTTCATCTTCAATGCCCTTGCTGATGGAAGGAGGTTTTCACTCAAAATCTCACGATACATGGCCCCATTCATTCTTTCCTTTACACGGATCAGTCGTCCTGGTCCCTTTGCAGAAAAACAGCCCCAAAGCATGATGTTTCCACCCCCATGCTTCACAGTAGGTATGGTGTTCTTTGGATCCAACTCAGCATTCTTTGTCCTCCAAACACGACGAGTTGAGTTTTTACCAAAAAGTTATATTTTGGTTTCATCTGACCATATGACATTCTCCCAATCCTCTTCTGGATCATCCAAATGCACTCTAGCAAACTTCAGACGGGCCTGGACATGTACTGGCTTAAGCAGGGGGACACGTCTGGCACTGCAGGATTTGAGTCCCTGGCGGCGTAGTGTGTTACTGATGGTAGGCTTTGTTACTTTGGTCCCAGCTCTCTGCAGGTCATTCACTAGGTCCCCCCATGTGGTTCTGGGATTTTTGCTCACCGTTCTTGTGATCATTTTGACCCCACGGGGTGAGATCTTGCGTGGAGCCCCAGATCGAGGGAGATTATCAGTGGTCTTGTATGTCTTCCATTTCCTAATAATTGCTCCTACAGTTGATTTCTTCAAACCAAGCTGCTTACCTATTGCAGATTCAGTCTTCCCAGCCTGGTGCAGGTCTACAATTTTGTTTCTGGTGTCCTTTGACAGCTCTTTGGTCTTGGCCATAGTGGAGTTTGGAGTGTGACTGTTTGAGGTTGTGGACAGGTGTATTTTATACTGATAACAAGTTCAAACAGGTGCCATTAATACAGGTAACGAGTGGAGGACAGAGGAGCCTCTTAAAGAAGAAGTTACAGTTCTGTGAGAGCCAGAAATCTTGCTTGTTTGTAGGTGACCAAATACTTATTTTCCACCATAATTTGCAAATAAATTCATAAAAAATCCTACAATGTGATTTTCTGGAAAAAAAAATCTCAATTTGTCTTTCATAGTTGACGTGTACCTATGATGAAAATTACAGGCCTCTCTCATCTTTTTAAGTGGGAGAACTTGCACAATTGGTGGCTGACTAAATACTTTTTTTCCCAACTGTATCTTTCTTTCTCATTCATTTTTAGCCCCACGGTTATGTTTTCTGAGATGATCCTTAGCTCTATTTTAGCTGACGGCCCTTTGTGTGTGCCTGCGTCCCTGTGTATTTGTATTTATTAAGGATCAGCAGCTACTCTTCCTGGGGTCCAACAAAATTAAGGCAGTTATACAATTTTTAAAACATTACAATACACTGACAACAGATTTCACAACACATTGTGTGTGCACTCAGGCCACTACTCTACTACCACATATCTACAATACAAAATCCATGTGTACATGTGTGTATAGTGCGTATGTTATCATGTGTGTATGCATTTGTCTGTGCCTATGTTTGTGTTGCTTCACAGTCCCCGCTGTTCCATAAGGTGTATTTTTATCTGTTTTTTAAATCTAATTTTACTGCTTGCATCAGTTACTTGATGTGGAATAGAGTTCCATGTAGTCATGGCTCTATGTAGTACTCTGCACCTCCCATAGTCTGTTCTGGACTTGGGGATTGTGAAGAGATCTCCGGTGGCATGTCTTGTGGTGTATGCATGGGTGTCCGAGCTGTGTGCCAGTAGTTCAAACAGACAGCTCGGTGCATTCAACATGTCAGTACCTCTCACAAATACAAGTAGTGATGAAGTCAATCTCTCCTCCACTTTGAGCCAGGAAAGATTGACATGCATATGTGTGTGTGCCTGCGTGTGTGTCTGCAGAATGCAGGGAGAGTGTGTGCAGCGCTACAGAGTGTGCAGACGATACGGCAGTCGCGGTGGAGGAGGAGGGCGGGCTGGGCAGGGACACAGAGAACGTCCATGCCAACGGTATCCCTGGCACGCCCATATCTACCGGCTTCACCCCCTCACTGACGGATGACAGGATCTCTGTCTCCTCTAACGACACTCAGGTGCCCACCCACACTGCTCCCCAACGTAGAACGGCATTGGCTGCATCCTAAATGGCAACCTATTCTCTATATAGTGCACTACTTTTGACCACAGCCCTTTGGGCCCTTTGGGATTCAGACATTGTCTATGGAGTATTAACAGATTCATTGATAAATCTAGGTCATAGTGGCATCAGTTTGGTGTATTAATGTACATTTGTGTATATGAAAATGTATACTTTTTTGTTAATATAAGATTAATCTGTGCGTTTTGTTTTCTAGGAATCTGGAGCTACGAGCAGTTCGTCTCCTGTTGCTAAGTTCTCCCATATCCTCCAGAAGGATGCCTTTCTAGTTCTCCGCTCTCTCTGTAAACTGTCTATGAAGCCACTGTCTGATGGACCTCCTGATCCTAAGTAAGCTCTCCTTCATACCCTGTCACACTTAGTTACTGTACGAATAGACCGGTAGGCTATGGCCACAGGAAATTACTGTGTGATTGAACATCTTGTTAAAACTTTACTTAAAGCCTACAGGTATAATAACTTAGCTTTATAACTTGTTATAAACTTTTTTTTATAATATCTTGTAATAAGGCTTATAATATGTTACGTCCCTCTATGCCAGGGCTGTTCAATTCTGGTCCTGGAGGGCTGAAACACAACTAGTGTTTGTTTCTACCTGGTAGTTAATTGGTTTCCCAGGTCTGAATTAGTCTCTTATTAGAAGGAGAGGATGAAAACTAGAAGTGTTTCAGCCCTCCAGGACCAGGATGGAACAGCCCTGCTCTATGCATAACATTGTCCACTGTCTCACTGTCTGTAAATCCGGATCATTATGAGATGATTGTGTGACATTATAAAGATGACATATATGCTCATGGCAAGTCTTAACATGTATTATATTTGGATGCTTTAAGTAAATGTTCTGTTTGTCTCTGTAGATCTCACGAGCTACGCTCCAAGGTGCTGTCCCTCCAGCTGCTGCTGTCCATCCTGCAGAACGCGGGGCCCATCTTCAAGACCAACGAGATGTTCATCAACGCCATCAAGCAGTACCTGTGTGTGGCGCTGTCGAAGAACGGCGTCTCCTCTGTCCCCGAGGTCTTCGAGCTCTCGCTCTCCATCTTCCTCACCCTCCTCTCCCACTTCAAGACTCACCTCAAGATGCAAATCGAGGTACTGTAACTGGCTCGAATCATTATGAATGCGTCCCAAATGGCCCCCTTTTCCCTTTGTAATGCCTTAATTTTTGCGTAGGGCTCTGGTCGAAAGTAGTGCACTACATAGGGAATAGGGTGCCATTTGGGACACACACAAGAATGAATACACAGTGCATATCAACACAACAAGATTACGTTAAATTATTGATTTGTGTTTGAATGGCTTTGTAATTACTGTGTAGTAAACTCTTTACAAAATGATTGTTAGCAGATATGGTGGAGTTTCATCACTGAGTTTTTTCCCTCAGGTGTTTTTCAAGGAGATCTTCCTCTACATTCTGGAGACGTCCACCAGCTCCTATGATCATAAATGGATGGTGATCCAGAGCCTCACCAAGATCTGTGCAGGTTGGTGTCTGGTCTGTCGACTATACTTCACACTACCAGGCCTTTGTCTATCTGTAAAACCCTGATGATGGGTTGAAGCACGTTGGCTGTTCCAATAAAAAAAACATTTTTTATCAAGTTCCATTGTCCTCCAAAAGTTGCTGAATTCCGTCTTCACTTCAGTTTGCTCCTCTGTTCATGTACCTTGAAGGGAGAGCGAGGTAGCGGCATTATTCCTTTCTCTTTGTTTTTCTGTCTCCCCGGCCCCAGATATGATAAAACCTCACACTACTGAGAATTTGACAGACTGACACTCACCTCTGTCTCTTGCTTCTCCTCACAGACGCCCAGAGTGTGGTGGATATCTATGTCAACTACGACTGTGACCTGAATGCTGCTAATATATTTGAGAGGCTGGTCAATTACCTATCGAAGATAGCACAGGGTAGAGTGGGGCATGAGCTTGGCACCACACCTTCTCAGGTAAGAGATGCTTCCAATGGACACTCACCCTCCATAGATCTCCTTTCCTCTTGTGTGTCCATTTGAATGTGTGTTCTTTTTGTTTGTAGGAGCTGAGCTTGAGGAAAAAGGGTCTGGAGTGTCTGGTGTCCATCCTCAAGTGTATGGTGGAGTGGAGCAATGATCAGTATGTGAACCCTAACTCTCAGACCAGTCTAGGTAAGATACCACTTACTTACTACTGTTGAATAAGAGCTGCTGTGTTTCCCCTGAGACCAAGCCATCCTCATTCACAACCAGAGCTACTGCATTAGCCATTCTTACTGATGCAAACCCTCTGAGGCGCGACCTTTAACTACACATCTGAGATCTCTCTCCAGCTCACACGGAACTACATTTTTGTTTATCGGTACATGTTTCACCACCATTACTGATCTGGATCTGTTTTGCCCTCCATCTTTGATCTTGTAAGGAAGAGCAGGTAGAGCAGGTAAATCCTGAAATGTATTCCTAGCCTTAGAAACCCATCGTTCCAGTTAGAGCCTGAGGTTGATCTTGATTATCAGTTTTAGCAGAAATCCCCCTGACTTAGTGTTAGGTAGTAGCTACCTTTCAGTTTGTTGTGTGGCCCTGTGTTTGTTAACCCGCTGTGAACACTGGTGTTCAGGCTTATAGCAGCAGACCTGGTACAGTAGTGAGCCCCTGAGATGATCCAGGTTGAGACTTCTAACAGTGTTTTATAAAGGAAAGGGTTATTCTTAATATTATGGGATGTCCCTATGTGCCGCCCCTCTCCTCTGTAGGCCAGGAAAAGCCTGTGGATCAGGAGCCCAGTGAGAGCACCAAGCCCCCAGAGAGCATCAACCACTACAGCAGCCTAAACTCTCTGGACTCCACCGCCTCCTCAGGCATCGGCTCCTACAGCACCCTCATGTCAGGAACGGACAACGCAGAGCAGTTCGAGGTCCTCAAGCAGCAGAAAGAGATCATCGAGCAAGGCATTGACCTGTAAGTGTGTTGGAGACTGGAAGTGTAGCCAGAGCAGCTATCAGTGGCCCAGAATGCTCAGTGTGGCTGTGTTTGAGAGCATCAATTCTGCTCAGTCCGACTGAGCAGACTGACTGATCTACAAATCATAATGATTAGTTATTTAGGATGCAAGGTGATTTGTAGATTAGTCAATCTGCTCAGTCTGTGATAAGTGACTGAGCAGAATTCATGCTCTCAAACATGCCTGTGTCATACAGATGCGTCATTTCCCCCTCTCTCTCTTCCTGTGCAGGTTCAACAAGAAGCCAAAGAGGGGCATCCAGTACCTGCAGGAGCAAGGGATGCTGGGTACCACACCAGAGGACCTAGCCCAGTTCCTGCACCAGGAGGAGAGGCTAGACTCTGTAAGCATCTGCTGAAATTACATGCAATCAATGAGACTAACTTCCTCTTAGCCTGTAAAAAGACCATCTTTATCGGATATAATATATATTTCTATGTACATATCTAGCTTGTGTTCTTCTTACTGATGTCCACAAATATATTGAATATACACTGTATTTGCATTGTGTTTGTGTATATTTAAATGCCTCTGAATGGACTTCCTTCTTCGCTTATCAGACTCAGGTTGGTGAGTTCATCGGGGATAACGAGCGCATTAATAAAGAGGTGATGTACGCCTACGTTGACCAGATGGATTTCCAAGGCAAGGACTTTGTCTCGGCTCTGCGTCTGTTCCTGGAGGGCTTCCGTCTGCCCGGAGAGGCCCAGAAGATAGATCGGCTCATGGAAAAATTTGCGGCCAGATATTTAGAATGTAACCAAGGGTGAGTCTCTATCTGCTTTCCATCTCAGTAGACAGGATGCATGGTCTGTGTCCCAAATGGCACCCTTTTCCCTTTATAGTGCACTACTTTTGACAAAGGAATAGGGTGCCATTTGGGATGCAATCCATGGTGTGACTTAATAGATGTAGGTTGTTCTAATGTTAGGCCAAGGCTGCAGATCCGAAGGTAACCGCCCCGTTCCCCTGGAAGCCTCTTCCCCAGAGCTGAAGATCCGAGTCACGTTCTGTTCATGTGTTTCTTTACCTCTACCTTACACACAAATGTTTGTGGTCACCCTCCCTTCACATTTCTCACTGTCAATCGGGAATGATAATTCTTCAAGTTTTACCCATATATCTGCATGCCAACCATTTGATCTCAATCAGTTTAATGAGAATTTGCATTTCGATCTTCTTGAGATGTAGAGTGTTGTTACTAAGATCTTGTAAGCCTGGTGGCGCACGCTGTTGCGTTTTGGCCGCATGAGAGAGAAATGTGACCATTCGCATAATCATCCTGAAATCTCCATAAGAAATTAGGTGGTATTTGTTGTTTTACAGTAACGTTATACAAGCTATTATATTCGGTTCTGTTATGTAGAATACTATCATTATGATCTTGCAGGCATTGATTCAGGGTTGATCTAACTTTATTAAACGAGCACCTTTCTCCATTCATCACTGAAATTCACCAGAGTAGCCTGTTCTCTGGGCAGCCGAACGAGTAGAGCAGAGACTGCGTAAAGCTTCTGACTTTTAGCTGTCTGGAAGAGGGTTCCAGAGAATTCGTATCCGCAGCCACTCCGATAATGTTATTACACAGTACATGTTATGACATTGGTGTTTTTCTCTGTTCCTTCAGGCAAACTGAGTTCGCCAGTGCAGATACAGCCTACGTCCTGGCTTATTCAATCATTATGCTGACAACAGACCTTCACAGTCCACAAGTAAGTCTCTCAAGCATTTTTAATGAGTGTTTATTGATTAAGAGAGGTCATTTTCTCGTGTTAATACATGAGCTGTGACTAAACATTACATTTTTTTAGGTGAAGAATAAAATGACAAAAGAGCAATACATCAAGATGAACCGAGGAATCAATGACAGCAAAGATTTACCTGAGGAGTACCTGTCAGCCATTTACGATGAAATCGCAGGGAAGAAAATAGCCATGAATGAAACCAAAAAATTAACCCTCAAATCCAGCAAACAAAGTAAGTTGCTGGATGACAAAATGGCAAGGGTCAAGAAGAAACAAGCACACTAAATGGATCCAAAGCTAGTCTGTCCTCAGAGGCACAGTGATGGCATCAACATGGGGTCTTGTGTGGTTAGTTGTTGACAGTGTGTGTACAGTAGGTGTGTTTTGTATGTGAGAGCATGCCCACCAAGTCTCTGTTTCCTCTCCAGGTGTGGCCAGTGAGAAGCAGCGGCGTCTGCTGTATAACGTAGAGATGGAGCAGATGGCTAAGACAGCCAAAGCCCTGATGGAGGCAGTCAGCCACGTCCAGGCTCCCTTCACCAGCGCCACGCACCTAGACCACGTCAGGCCCATGTTCAAGGTAACTCACCTAGACCACGTCAGACCCATGTTAAAGGTAACCCACCTAGACCACGTCAGACCCATGTTCAAGGTCACCCACCTTGACCACATCAGACCCATGTTCAAGGTTACCCACCTTGACCATGTCAGACACATGTTCAAGGTAACCCACCTAGACCACGTCAGACCCATGTTCAAGGTCACCTACCTTGACCATGTCAGACTCATGTTCAAGGTCACCCACCTTGACCACGTCAGACCCATGTTCAAAGTCAACCACCTTGACCACGTCAGACCCATGTTCAAGGTCACCACCTTGACCACATCAGACCCATGTTCAAGGTTACCCACCTTGACCACGTCAGACCCATGTTCAAGGTAACCCACCTAGACCACGTCAGACCCATGTTCAAGGTCACCTACCTTGACCACGTCAGACTCATGTTCAAGGTCACCCACCTTGACCACGTCAGACCCATGTTCAAAGTCAACCATCTTGACCACGTCAGACCCATGTTCAAGGTCAACCATCTTGACCACGTCAGACCCATGTTCAAGGTCACCACCTTGACCACGTCAGACCCATGTTCAAGGTCACCCACCTTGACCACGTCAGACCCATGTTCTAGGTAACCCACCTAGACCACGTCAGACCCATGTTCTAGGTAACCCACCTAGACCACGTCAGATCCATGTTCAAGGTCACCCACCTAGACCACGTCAGACCCATGTTCAAGGTCACCCACCTTGACCACGTCAGACCCATGTTCAAGGTAACCCACCTAGACCACGTCAGACCCATGTTCAAGGTAACCCACCTTGACTACGTCAGACCCATGTTCAAGGTAACCTACCTTGACCACGTCAGACCCATGTTCAAGGTAACCTACCTTGACCACGTCAGACCCATGTTCAAGGTAACCCACCTAGACCACGTCAGACCCATGTTCAAGGTAACCTACTTTGACCACGTCAGACCCATGTTCAAGGTAACCCACCTAGACCACGTCAGACGCATGTTCAAGGTTACCCACCTAGACCACGTCAGACCCATAGAATTTGAATTCTAATTTTTTTAATGAATGAAAACAATTATAACACTCATTCTATTTCTATGGTTAGACCTATGTTCAAGGTAACTCACCTAGACCTTCTCAGACCAATAGAATTCAAATGAATTACCGGTAGGACAAACATTTGAATGAATCTCATTCTGTTTATGTATTCAGACCAATGTTCATATGTCACCATTACTCACAGTACTAATGCATTCCTTTCAGTATAAAATGGGATTGTAGCTGATGCTGTAACCAAATGCAGAATACCATTTTAAGATCGTATTACACATTTTTACACTCAAATGTAGTTATATCTTTTTATATTTGTTGCACCAGCATCCTTGGTCTGGACAACCCTCATAAAATCCTTCTTTGTGTACTGACTTTGTGTGTGTGTTCTTCCCCAGTTGGCATGGACCCCGTTCTTAGCAGCGTTCAGTGTGGGTCTTCAGGACTGTGATGACACTGGGGTAGCCTCTCTGTGTCTGGAGGGGATCCGCTGTGCCATCAGGATAGCCTGCATCTTCACCATCCAACTGGAGCGTGATGCGTACGTCCAGGCCCTGGCGCGGTTCACCCTGCTCACAGCCAGCTCTGGTATCTCTGAGATGAAGCAGAAGAACATTGACACCATCAAGACTCTCATCACCGTTGCCCACACTGATGGAAACTACCTGGGCAACTCCTGGCATGAGGTTAGTCTCATTCTGTCTTCTATAGCAGTGCTTCTTAATCCTGGTCCCGGGGACCCCAAAGTGTGCACATTTAGTTTTTTGCCCTAGCACTACACAGCTGATTCAAATGATCAACTGATCATTCAGCTTTGATGATTTGAATCAGGTGTGTAGTGCTAGGGCAGAACATTCAATGTCCACCCCTTCGGGACCCCGGGACCAGGATTAAGAAACACTGTTCTATAGCATATTGTTACTGCATTTCAGTGGTTCACCTCTTGATCAACCAGGATATTAAGACAACATTTTCATTGACTTCTCTCTCCCAGTATATTGTCACTGTTTTTTAATTGTTGACCGACTTGGTTGTTGTCAGAAAATACATTTGTTTTCAATCACTTACCTGGCTAAATAAAGGTTAAATAGTAGTAACTCTCACTTCTCTCCTGCTAGTTCACAAATGAGAATGAGAATGTTTTTAATGACTTACCTATCTAAATAAAGGTTGAATAGTAACAAACAGTATTAATCCCAACTCTTCTGTCCTCTTTCACAGATCCTGAAGTGTATCAGTCAGTTGGAGCTGGCCCAGCTAATCGGGACAGGGGTGAAGGCTCGCTACCTCTCAGGGACGGTCCCAGCCAAAGGGGGCCTCCTGGCCAGCCTGAGAGAGCAGGCCTCAGACAGCTCAGAGTACCTGGGACTGGGTCAGTCCTCTCGCCTCTCCAAGACAGAGGCCGCGTCCCAAATGGCACCCTATTCCCTTTTCCAACCTAACCCAATAGGGCTCTGGTAAAAAGTAGTGCACTATATGGGAAATACTACGGTGCCATTTGGGATGCACCCAGGCTTTTAGATTAGATACTCTCTGGGCTATTGTCACAATGCCTGGTTTGGTTGTACATGTATATCAATGTTTATCTTATAATTAAATGTCCTATCATGGTTGATGTTAATTTTTTTGATATTTTTTACATAATGTGTAATGTATCATTTTCTGACTATTGGGGTTTTCTTAAAACATGTACCTTCAGCTATTTCTCATTACACATTGTTTATCTTGCAGTTGGAGGTAATGTGGACCGTAAACAAATAGCCAGTATTCAGGAGTCCATTGGAGAGGCAAGCTCCCAGAGTGTAGTCGTTGCTGTTGACAGGTAGGCTGATAGAATGGGCCCTATGATGGAATTGATTCAATATGTTGTTTCCTATCTCCAGTTTTATAATGCAAAAACCTCTAAAAGAAGTCACTATTGCAAATGGAGAAAATGTAATCTTATGTTGTTTTTTTTCAGGATATTTACTGGTTCTACCAGACTTGATGGCAATGCAATAGGTTGGTATTGATTGAAATGTCTCTACAAATAAATGCTGTGTAGATTTAACCTAATTTGTGCTGAAAGTAATTGTTTAAAAAATAATGGTTTAAACAACTAAATAAATCAGTTTGAATCGAGGGAGGTAGTTTGTACACTGAAATTATACAGGGTAGATGCATGATATATTCAAACATTGTTTGAATATACATGGATATTAACAGGTTGATATGCATTTGTTGTCTTTTTGCAGTTGATTTTGTCCGGTGGTTGTGTGCTGTATCAATGGACGAGCTTGCCTCACCAACACATCCGCGTATGTTTAGCCTTCAGAAGATTGTGGAGATTTCCTACTACAACATGGGCCGCATCAGGCTTCAATGGTCTAGAATTTGGGAAGTCATCGGGGACCATTTTAACAAGGTACTGGTTTCGTATTTTTTATTACGGTAGCAATTTCTGTTGAAAGAAATGCATCATCTGCATGTATTTATATGGTGCTGTTCAATTGCTGGTTTTGGGGTGAGACAACAGTGGTTGAGATGCATTTGTATCTGTACAGGTTGGATGTAACTCCAACGAGGATGTGGCTATATTTGCTGTTGACTCCCTGAGGCAGCTGTCTATGAAATTCTTAGAAAAAGGAGAGCTCGCAAACTTCCGATTCCAGAAGGATTTCTTGAGGCCTTTTGAACATATCATGAAAAAGAACAGGTCAGCTTTGTTTTATTTTGTAACCTGCACTAATTAGTGCATGGAATGAAATTCCAATGCTTGTCAAAATTGCTGCAATTGTATCCTTTGTGGCCTTCTAAAATGATTCAATGATTCAAACTGTGAAAACTATTCAGACCTTGAAACGATTCAGTGATTCAAACCTTGAAATTATTCAATGATTCAAACCTGGAAAATTATTAAAACACTGAAATGATGCAATGATTCAATAATGATTCAAACTGTAATGCCCACAGGTCTCCTACCATTCGAGACATGGTGGTGAGGTGTATAGCTCAAATGGTGAACTCCCAGGCTGGGAACATCCGGTCGGGGTGGAAGAACATCTTCTCAGTGTTCCACCTGGCAGCCTCGGACCAGGACGGGAGCATCGTAGAGCTTGCCTTCCAAACCACCGGCTACATCGTCAGTAAGTGTTGGGTTATCTGACTAACACTAGCTACTCCTTGGTCAATGACATGACTTACCAATGTAAACATTAAGAATAATAGAGGATGGTAGTGCAAAGAGAAACTCAAAGACACTTATTTATTACCCTTTCCTATTTCTAGATTTTTTTCAAAGTATATTTTGTGCAAGTCATTTCTCTGTTTTATCTTTTTGTTTCTCAGCTAACGTATTTGAGAAGCACTTCCCGGCCACCATTGACTCTTTCCAGGATGCTGTGAAGTGTCTGTCTGAGTTTGCCTGCAACGCCTCCTTCCCTGACACCAGCATGGAGGCCATCCGCCTCATACGCCACTGTGCCAAATATGTGTCTGAGAGGCCACAGGTGAGCAGTGAGCACTATACTGTGAAGGACTTGAAATACTCCAACAATAAACAGTTTGATGGTGTACATCAGAGATAAAACTAAGATTTTTAGTAGTTGGACAGAAGTTATAAAGTATTAAATACTCAAAACAAACAAACTATTGTAGGGGAAATCAGTGATAATGGAGATCACCTAAACTAAAAGGGAATGTATGGATTCAGGTATAATTTATTCAGGAGAATCCAACTCTCTGAATGGACATGAGATTCCTCTCTTACCCATGGATGTAAACCTCTCCTCCCTCTCTTGCCAGGCCTTCAAAGACTACACCAGCGATGACATGAATGTAGGCCCAGAGGACCGGGTGTGGGTGCGAGGATGGTTCCCCATCCTGTTTGAGCTCTCCTGCATCATCAACCGGTGTAAACTGGACGTCAGGACCAGGTAAGCCCCTTCTCATCCTACCTGGAACAAACTTCTAGGGAGTTTTTCCAGGCCACTGTGCTTCTGCATTGCTTGCTCTTTGGGGTTTATGCCATTTATCTGTAAAACACTTTGTGACAACTTCTGATGTAAAAAGGCCATTATAAAATACATTTGATTGATTTGATTGAATACCAGTGTCCCTAGTCCTTGTCTCATCTCCTGACTGGAGAAAGATGAGTCAAATCAAATATATAAACAATGAACTAGCAGCAGTAGTCTTCTTTTTCCTTTGTCAACCTGACTCGAGGCATGAATAAATGAGTTTCACAAGTGATGTGATCATCCCTGCTTTTGTTGCCTTAATGAATAAAACAGCATAAAATAACTTTTTCTGAGTGTGGACCCTCTACTAATATATCATCCCTGTTTCCTTAACATTGCTCTAGGGGCTTGACTGTGATGTTTGAGGTGATGAAGACCTACGGTCACACCTACAAGAAACACTGGTGGCAGGATCTGTTCAGGATCATCTTTAGGATCTTTGACAACATGAAACTTCCAGAGCAGCAAACTGAGGTCAGATTAAGCTCACGATTTTCAGGAACTATGTGTCACAGCCATAAAATACATAACATAGTGTGTGTCCTAAATGGTTGGGCACTATGGGTCCTGGTCAAAAGTAGTGCACTACAAAGGGAATAAGGTGCCAACTGCTACACACTAATGAACTTCATTTTCCTCTTCAAACCCAGAAAGCTGAATGGATGACCACCACCTGTAACCATGCACTTTACGCCATCTGTGATGTCTTCACTCAGTACTTTGAGCCTCTCAGCGATATTCTCCTGGATGATATCCTGTCCCAACTGTACTGGTGTGTGCAACAAGGTGAGAGTCAAACACCTCAGAGTTTAGAACTCTCTCTTTCTTCCCTCTCTCTATCTTTGACCTGCTCTCCCTCCCCTCTCTCTCCCTCCCTCCTTTCTTCCTTTGACCCTCTCTCTCTCCCCCCGCTGTCTCTCCCTCCCTCTGACCTCTTCTGTCTCTCCTCAGACAACGAGCAGCTGGCGCGCTCAGGGACCAACTGTCTGGAAAATGTGGTCATTCTGAACGGGGAGAAGTTCAGCCCAGAGATATGGGACAAAACCTGCAACTGTATGCTGGACATCTTCAAAACAACCATCCCTCATGCGTAAGACGCTTTTTATTCACAGGGAGTTATTACTACAGTTGAACCACTGTAAGTGTGCAGAGTTCATAGCAAGAGTAAATTGACTCTGTTCTCTATTGGGCTTGCTCTCCTTAGGTTACTGACGTGGAGACCAGCAAGAGCAGAGGGGGAGCTGATGTCACAGTACGACCTCTCAAACCTGGTAGGTTTACTGCTCATCCATTTTGACCATTTATTTGGTTTATGTTTGAGAATTTACATTGACTTCCCAATACAGTACTTCTTAACGCTCAAATTAATCAAAACAACATGCTGAGTTGTGATCAACGTTCCATCTATTTTTTGGCACTGAGCAAATTTCAGGTCTGCTGAGTGCAAACTTTAACCTTGTGAAATGTCTGTGCAACTTCCAGTGCTCGTTTACTGTGAACACTGAGGCTGTACCCACTTTAATTTACTGTTTTAACAGTGGCCAATCAAGCTGCTGTGGCTAACTGATCATAATGTAGGCCTACCAGAGTGGCCTACCATAAAAACAATGGAGAAAATGCAGCCTATCATTCATCTACAAAAGCAGCTAATGTGTGGTGTTCAATGTAGGCCTACATTACATTAGACCTTTGAAAAAAACATGCAGGGCTTGACATTAACCTGTTTATCCACTTGTCCTTCAGACAAGGAAGTGACTGAACATTTTGTTGTATTGTTTGATGCAAGAAACCACTTTACAAAATGAAATTGATTATTATTCCCATACCATTATGACAGAGAATCAGACAAATTATGCTACCCTCTGCCTATTGGCTACTTAGTTTATTCAAGCCTGTCTCAAAATACAACACTGCCCCTTTAAGACATAAAAATAAGCTCTTTACCTGAATTGCTATAACTGGGCTAATAACTCACTAACTAGCAAATAATATGAACAAATGTGCACAAGTGGCTACATACAGCTCTCACTTTGATCTCAAAACAAGCGCATAATAATCGCGACCGCTCATGCTGTAAAACAATCCAGTTCAAAGTGAATGGCACAAATCCACATATGGCAATGGTTTATTTGCATATAGGCCTATTGCAGCTCTGATTGGTTACGACACACCGTTCTGTATAGAGTACGGGCTGAGTCTTGCCTGTCAATGCAATAGAATCCTACTCCGATGCGCTCTGCCTACAACAAAATCTCTTGCGTAGTTAGTTTTGCATACTAAGTCTTGCATAGTTTTTGTTTTGGTATGTTGCATTGAAAGTGGCTAATATTGCGTTGATTCGATCACAATTCCCACAGTAAAGGGAAGCGTTGATAGTGTTAACTAACGGGGAAAACTATAGAAAGTTGAGTGAAGTTCAATCTCGTGCTTGGGCTGATTTTTCTTCTGAGCGGAAGTCCCTGGGGAGCTGCGCGAAGTTTAGAGGAAACATTGGTTGAGATTATGTATGATGAAGTGTTTAAAATGTAGGCTACATACAGGTCCCTCTCTGGTGTTCTCAGGACTCCATATCCCAGAAGTCAGTGGACATTCAGACTCGTACGGAGGACCAGCAGTCAGTGTGCAGTGTGGACAGGATCTCCCTGGAGAACCAGAGGCAGAGGACGTACAGCGGCTCCTCGGGCACATATGAGGATGGCCCCAGAGCTAGGAACCCAGCCAGTGAGTTTGTATGGAGGTTTATGGGCAAGTCCTAGGCAGCCCTCCCCTGATAAAGTCTCTCCATTGTCAATGACCCATGCCTCTCACCTCTCCCCCGGTCCCTGTCTCTCACCTTCTCTTCCCCTGTCCCTGTCTCTCACCTTCTCTTCCCCTGTCCCTGTCTCTCACCTTCTCTCCCCCGGTCCCTGTCTCTCACCTTCTCTTCCCCTGTCCCTGTCTCTCACTTTCTCTCCCCCTGTCCGTCTCTCACCTTCTCTCCCCCTGTCCATCTCTCACCTTCTCTCCCCCTGTCCGTCTCTCACTTCTCTCCCCCTGTCCGTCTCTCACCTTCTCTCCCCCTGTCCGTCTCTCACCTTCTCTCCCCCTGTCCGTCTCTCACCTTCTCTCCCCCTGTCCGTCTCTCACCTTCTCTCCCCCTGTCCGTCTCTCACCTTCTCTCCCCCTGTCCGTCTCTCACCTTCTCTCCCCCTGTCCGTCTCTCACCTTCTCTCCCCCTGTCCGTCTCTCTCCCTGCCTCCTATTCATCTCCCCCTGCCCCTCAAACTGGCTGTCCTGTGTCTGTCAATGTGTTGCAGAGGTGCAGGAGCAGAGGTTATTCTCAGCGCTGCTCATTAAGTGTGTTGTGCAGCTGGAGCTGATCCAGACGATAGACAACATGGTCTTCTTCCCCGCCACCAGCAGGAAGGAGGACGCAGAGAACCTGGCTGCTGCACAGGTAACCACAGAGTTTTTACTGAAGTCACACTGTTTCAATAACTGAAGCAAAGCCAGTAAGGGCAAAATGTATTTTATGGCAAATAATATTTTGAGAGGGGCTATAAATGTTATTACAACTGAAAAAAGGTTGTGAATTAGTATGGCTTACTAGCATTTGGTTATAACTGAGCACTGTGTTGCTGTCAACCTCTCCAGAGAGACACAGTAGATGCAGATGTCCAGTTGGAGGCCCAGGACCAGGGAATGTACCACTATCTGACCTCGGATCAGCTCTTCAAACTGCTAGACTGTCTGCTGGAGTCCCACTGCTTCGCCAAGGCCTTTAACTCCAACAACGAGCAGAGGACTGTCCTGTGGAAGGCAGGTGGGTGACTCAGGACCCTCGATACCAGGGGTGTCAAACATGCGGCCCGGATACGGCCCTCGAGGGGGTCCAATGGATGGTTTGAGTAAAACATTTAATTAAACAAACAAATTGTATTAACTAATTCAATATACTTTAAAATGACTAAAACCAAATCAAAACTGTGTAGAAATGATAATGGGCCTTTATTCATACAGTTTCTTGACTGTCCAGTTCGCTAACAATCACTAGACTGTCAGGGATCATCAAAAATTCCAAACATTATGGATAGAGGAATTTAATTTTCTGTTGCCAATTTTGATGGCAAGGAAATCTAACAAATGTTTAGTGCGGCCCTCCAGACCTCGTTGAAGACCGAATGCACCCTCCGGGGCAAAATGAGTTCCACACCCCTGCTCTATACCTTCACACTATCACAGCAAACTCTAATCTAGAGCTGTATGTGTCAAGCGTTGTGTCTGTGTCTTTTAGATCATAATGAATAAGATTACATGGACAGGTAGGACCTGATCCCAGTTCAGCACTCCTACTCTGAGACACTTGATACATACGGCCTCAGACTAACATGCAGTTGTCTCACAGTATGTTGGTGTTTCTAAGGTTTCAAGGGGAAGTCCAAACCCAACCTGTTGAAGCAGGAGACCAACAGTCTGGCCTGTGGCCTCCGCATCCTGTTCCGCATGTACACAGACGACAGCCGCAAGGCAGCCTGGGAGGAGGTGCAGAGACGACTGCTCAAGTAAGAACATAAAGATAATGGGTTTTTTTACTGTTCTTTAACAAGACACTGTTCAAGTAAGAACTTAGCTAGAGGAAATGGTGCTATTGACTTGTGTTAAGAGTTTGTCTGTTCAGCACCTTTTAGTGCCTTATTGTGGACAAGAGTGAATAGTACAGACTTTGAGGCAAGAACCTATATTTTGCTAGCCTGGTCAATCAGACTGACTGTTGCGCTCACATTTTGTTTAAAGTGAAACAGAATGTGAGTTATCCCGAGATCAGGCTGGGTTCCACCAGGCTAATATTCTGCTGCTCGGATCTGGAAATAAGTGCCACACTCACTCACTCTTCCTTAACGTGTCTCTGTCTATTGCAGTGTGTGTGGGGAGGCCCTGGCCTACTTCCTCACTCTGACGTCAGAGAGCCACCGAGAAGCCTGGACCAATCTCCTCCTCCTCTTCCTCACCAAGGTCGTGAAGATCAGCGATGACAGGGTGAGTCAATCAGAAAGTATAGCCACATACACCTCTGATGTGAAGTTTCCCCTAGGTACAGATCTAGGATCAGCTTCCCCTCCCCCAGTCTTAACCTTAACCATAGTGGGGGGAAATGTAAAACTCACCCAAGATCAGCGTCTAGTGGCAATTTCACCCTAAACCCCATATACAACACAGTACCAAAAAAATAAGTTGTGATTTTCCCTTCCCATGTCTTTGATGGAGAATGAGCTAATCGGGTCCCCTCCTGTATCCCTGTACTATCCAGTTCAAGGCCCATGCATCCAGGTACTACCCGCTTCTCTGTGAGATCATGCAGTTTGACCTGATTCCAGAACTCCGGGCCGTGCTACGTAAGTTCTTTCTCCGCATCGGCAACGCCTTCGACATCTCACTGCTGCCTAGTCACCGAGAGGAGCAAGGGCCTGCTGGGAGCCAGTGACATCATCACTAGTGGACCAGCACAGGACACAGGCTGCTCAGTCTCTCTCTGGGGTGGGTGAGGGGAAGGATGCATCCCAAATGGCACCCTTTTCCCTGTGTAATGCACTACTTTTGACCAGGACTCATAGGGCTCTGGTCAAAAGTATTGCACTATATAGGGAATAGGGTGCCATTTGGGACACAGACGAAGAGGTGGAACCCTCTGTTACTGTGAACTCTGCCCCAGTGAGGGCCACAAGGGATTCTTAAAGTGGACTGCAGTTAGCTGGAAGTGGTGGATCCTGCAGAATGGTACTGGAAGCTCCTTCATGGATCCTCCAGGCTGCACACAGTGATGTTCCTGTCTGAGATTAACTATTGACAGTAGTGTGGTGAGTGGGGCCCACAAAAGCACTGAATGAATGGCTTCCTTGTACAGCATAGAAATACTCCACAAGATCATACAGATGGTTATAAAGGTGCAATTATTCTGGTCATTTCTCCCCCTCTGACCAGAGGGCTAACTAACATTATGGAGGGTGTGATGTGTGCTTTTTGGTATCTCTTGGCATTCTTTTATGGAACAGAGGTATGAAATTGTTAGTGAAAAGGATGAGTAACGTTAGCAGTGATTTTCTTTTGCACAGCCATTAGGTACCAAACAGCAGCCCTCAAACTAGACAATTAAAGTAGCTTTGTAGTATTGTAATATACTAAGGCTGTGTTTACAGACCAGACAGCCCAATTCTGATATTTTTTCCACTAATTGGTCTTTTCACCAATCACAATCAGATCAATTAGTGTAAAAAAGATCAGAATCAGGCTGCCGGTGTAAACGCAGCCTAAAACCTGTCATTTGTGTTTTCTTTTGAAATCTAACAGCACTTGTCATTTCATAAGCGCACTGGCATTTTCTCACTACAACTTATCCTTACCATGACACTAATGTATGAAAACGAGTAAATGTTATTCCATTCTGTATATACTGTAGTACTTTATTTAAATGTAAACACATTTGAATTTGCTCAATCTTGTCACCACACGTTTGATGTATTGTCATTTTCAAAAAGAAAACAATGCTGCATTGAATATATGGAGGTTAAATAGATGTCTGCTTGGGTTATGAAAACCAAGATGCACATGGTGTTTGAAGCTGTACTTTGAGGATAGTGTTTATTGGCGAGTCAGTTACATTAGGAAACAAGGTGTACATTAATGTTTTAATGTCAGATCAATACTGTACAACTCTGTACACTGTTGATTACCACCAAGAACATTCTCATTAGTCAGTCTTTGCATTGATGTTTAATAGAAGTTACTGACCGACAATTCACAGTTGCGTCACAATGCTTATTTAGGCTACTTGTCATGGCTTAGGAGCCTGTCGCAAATTAAACAGCTATCAGGTGAACTGAAACAAAGTACAAAACAACTTCCTTATTTAAAATATAATTTATTCAATCAAGTTGAAAAAGAGCTCACATCTAGGCCAAACATTTTCACACAATACTTATAAAAATATTTTAAAACATGCCATTTGAACAATTTACATTAAATGTAGTGCCATTATTATACAATGAATTAAAACATGAATAAATATTGTAGAAAGATGTCCTGAACTGTTTCAAAGACTAAGGGCTCTATTCAATCCGTATCGTGGAAGTTCAGCGTGACTGAAATTTAAACGCAATGTTCAGAGGCTGCATGTGACTCAATCGGAAATGTCTTGCACAATCAGCGATACAGAATGTATAGAGTCCTAAGGCAACCCTAGCACACTGTCCAATTAGCAGCCTTTTAGAGGATGGCAACTGAGGCTGCAGTGTGTGCAGGCTTATTCCAGCACACTTCTTACACACCTGATTTAACAAATCAACTTCAATAGTACTTGACTGGCGCAAATGCCTGCACACAGTGTCCTTCTAGGAATGGAGTTGCTCTCCCCTGTACCGACTAACCATTCTCAGACAAGAATCTGCATATTTTTCATTACAGGTCCATGAAAGTACAATCTATGCGTTTTTCATAAGAAGCTCATAATTCTGCATTTTCAGAGGTAGACCATGATACACAAGTCAAGCACTGCAAAAGTAAAGGGTTAAATTAGTCGACATCGATCTAGAAGCTAAAGCAGATGATCCTTCTGTGTTGAGGAGATACTGTATCTTCATGTACAGATTCTGCCAGCATGACCACTGATGTGGATGCATCAAGCCAAGTGACGGCAGTGTCCAAACGTAGGTCCCCTACACACTCAGGTTGTACAACTGATGTACAATGCATTTGACAGTAAAATACATATTTTACAGAGAGATGAATATTTATATATAGTTATATACTGTATAGAGTTGTGTATATTTTATACAACAGAGTTTTTCCTGCACAGAAATGTTTACACCACCATTATGTGGTTATTTTTGCACAGAAAAACTCAGGTCTAACACAGCTGTTATGTTAAAAGCGTTCAGTTGTACAACCTGAGTGTGTACGGGACCAAAGTGCTTTCAGTGACCCTGTTAAGGGGTAGAGGGGAGAGGTTTAGATTAGCCATGATAGGTAGAGGGGCCTTTCCAGTCCTGCACGGCCGACTCTCTGCTGGTCAGCCTCTCCCTGCGGGGGGTCTGACCAGTCATTAAGCGCTTCAGCGTCTCCGAGGTGTCTGGCCTCATCCACGGCTCCATGGCAACCGTATCCACAGAGCCCCGAGTGTCTTGGGCGCGAGGGGAAACCTGCAGAGACATGTCTTCATCACCAGACAGGTCTGCTGGAAGAGAGAGAAACCGTAAACAGAGACCTCCAACCCATCATCGTCATCAACCTAACAATGATTCATAGACAGATCTCCCAGGTAAGATGGCTGACAAATTGTTCCATTCCGGCATATTGGGGCACTGACAGCCTCTCAACAGTTGAATCTCTATCCAACACCCACCTCTTCTGAGGCCATGGCGGCTCATAGCCAGCAGCCTCTTGGTCCTATGGTGGTTACGCTCTCTGCCATGCTGCTCTGTGTTGAGACTGGCCTCTGACTGGCGGGAGTAGTTCTCTGGCTGGCCAACAGGCTCTCTGGAGCTCCCCCGCTCCTAAACAAGCCAGAGCACAAGGTATAATAATGGTAGAGGAATATATCATTTTCAATGGAAAGCTGCCACTGTCCTCTATTTAAGAAGTGAGGATATATTCACATAATATAGGGATCAGGGGTTGTATGTATCAAGCATCTCAGTGCCAATTTAGGATCAGTTTAGCCTTTTAGATGATGAAAAATATTACAAGGACAAGGGGTGCCTGATCCTAGATCAGCCCTCCTACTCAGATGCTTAGAGAATACTGTCCCAGATATCAGACTGAACTTTGAACTCTTTGAGGCAGAGGGTTCTTACATTGTGCATGTCTGCCCTCTTGGCCAGCCCCCTCCTCCTCCTCTCCCTGGCTGAGAGCTGGGGCTTCTGCTCAGGTGGGGGGGACACTGGGAAGGCTTCACCCATGGGATCTTGGAGCAAACCACAGATAAATAGTTAGTGGTGTGATTCTCAAGGCGCTCCTTCCCTTACAACAACTGGTGTGCGTCCCAAATGGCACCCTATTCCCTATAGTGTACTACTTTCGACCAGAGCCCATCTGCCCCCCCCCCAAAAGTAGCGCATTATTTAGGGTATACGGTGACATTTGGGACGCAGCCTTAGTTGTGTGATTCTCAAAGCACTACTTCCCATACTACACATGGATAGTAGTGAACCACAAGAGGCTTTACCAATGAAGGCACTGTCAGACTCCAACAGGGAACCTCTCATAGGATCCCCTACTGCATTCCTCTGGGGAGAATAGAGTGTACAGGCGTAGTGTCACACACAGACAAGCATGTACTGTACAGCAAAGAGACTACTCTGTGGTTCAGGGCACTAGCTAAACAAACTGGCCAGTAGAAACTCACCAAATAATGGTTTTGTTGCTGGGGTGGTGACAGATCAAAATAATCTGTAAAACAAAAAGACAAATGATTTAAGCCCTTAAAACGCAAGTGCTCCACCCGTAAATATCCTCACGTTAGTTAGTGATGAAGCAGTGAACAGAGATGTGAACAACAGGTATTTAATAGTGAGTGTTTAAGCAGTTGGGTTGATAGTCTATAGGCAGTGAGTAGAGGTTGATATTGAGTGTGCTACTGACCGTCGGCAGGTTTCCTCCTCAGGCTGTTGTTGATCCTGCGTTGCTCCTCCCTGTAGTCTGCCTGTCTCTGGATGTCCACACACTGTCCATCCCTGTCCCTGTCCCTGTCCCTAGGGGGCTCACAGTAACCATGGCCTTCCTCCCCTCTGGAGTCAACGTCTGCAGTACAAACAAAGACTTCTCCACTCAATACACACATGACAATACTCATCACCCTGGTCAAAAGTAGTGCACTGAAAAGGGAACAGGAAAAAGGGTGCAGACACAGCCCCACTTGCTGCATTTGTTTGAACACTGTGCTGTTAAAGGGCAAATCCACCACTTTTCAACCTCATTTTCCTTATCTCCAGCACTATGAAAACGTATGCACTCACTAACTGTAAGTCGCTCTGATAAGAGCGTCTGCTAAAATGACAAATGTTTACAAAAATACCAGTGGAAACATGTTTAAATGGCGCATTTCTACGTTTTGTAGAAAAAAACATTTTAAAGACAGTGATGTGAAGAGCAATAAAATACCATCCCGGGATGGAAACTCATTGCAGGTTTAGAAAATCACTTTTAATCCTACCCTGTGATGTGACCAAACTTTTTTTTGTAGGACTTTTCCTCTTAACAACAGATCATAGAAACACGTAGACACTGTTTTCGTGCTGGGAATTATGAATAGAAGGTTGAAAAGTGTCAGAATTGCCCTTTAAGACTTAACAATCAATGGCCTGGGTTACGTTCCACATGGTACCCCATTCCACATAGTGCATTACTTTTGACCTGACCCGATGGGCCCTGGTCAGAAATAGAGCACTACATAGGGCACGGGTTCTCAAATGTTTCAGGCCGGGGACCCCTTTTGTGATAGAAAATTAATCAGGGACCCCCTCACAACTCGAGTGAGATTACGATAGCAAAACAAATCATTTTACTATGACTTCGGCAACGCATGGCCGGACTAACCAAGTCTCGGGCCCTTGGAAGAAACCTTTTAAAGGCCCACCTCTTGGCATCGGAAAGAAAATGCTGCAGTTTTCAAGCTAATTCCCTGCAATTCTACACGCTTCTTTTGGTAAAAAGCTGCGGGATGGGCCTGGAGAAATGTAAGCACTCAAATTCATAGACAGAGCTATGGATGCAAGGACTGACCATCCATGATATCAACATTATAGTGTAACCATGTTTTGAGGCTATACAGTGTTTGTTTACATTTACATTGTTTACAAACATTGGAGTAAAACAAGCTTATATTTTGGGTTCTGATTAGATACGACAAGAACCAAACTCATTTATAAGTTATAGTCTTCAAGAATCAATGGGTATATATCATGGTATTCCATACCAAAAATGGATGTAGCAACTAAGGATTCTAGCTTTAAATTACCAACCCCAGAAAATGGGATGTTAAGTTGAAAAATGTATAATTGGTGGAGCACTGTGGATACCAACATATTTTTTTAAATATATTTTGAGATCTGTCCGCAGACCCCACTTTGACAACCCCTGACATAGGGAATAGGGTGCCATTTGGGACCGGCCCATTATTCATCAAACAGTCACTTTATTCCTTTACCTCTGTATCGGAGCTGTAGCGAGTCGTGGATTCTATGCAGGTTGTTAGGCTCCGTGTTCCTGGAGGAGGGTCTCCTGACGGGGGCCTGCAGCCGCAGTCTGGCAATGTCAAACACATCCACCTGGGGCCGCTCCCTGTCTCTGTGCCTGGACACCAGCACACAGCCACATCGATCAGCCTGGACACACAGCACTGGGGCTAACATACAGCCTAGACCAGGGGTTGGCAAAATGCTGCTTTTTTGGGGGGATTTTTTTTATTTTCTTTGGCCCCCAAAGGTTTTTGGTCAGAAAAAGACTAAAACCACCAGGAATTCAGCTAAAAATTAGTATAATTTCGGGAAAACTCTTACAAAGTATTCCCAGGAAGAAAATAAAAAAAGAGAGATGTGATCGTGTCTCAATGTAATCAAGATATGATTGTTATTTTCAAATACAATTTATTTTAGGGCTTAGTTGTGGTCAATTTGCAGTGTATAAATTATTATAATTATGTTCCGGCCCCCCGACCATCCACTCTGACAAAAATCGTCCCACGGCTGAATCTAGTTGCCTACTCCTGGCCTGCACTACAGCCAACATGCAGCCTAGACAACGGCACACAGCTCCGGTCAGCCTGGACACACAGCACTACAGCCAACATGCAGCCTAGACAACGGCACACAGCTCCGGTCAGCCTGGACACACAGCACTACAGCCAACATGCAGCCTAGACAACGGCACACAGCTCCGGTCAGCCTGGACACACAGCACTACAGCCAACATGCAGCCTAGACAACGGCACACAGCTCCGGTCAGCCTGGACACACAGCACTACAGCCAACATGCAGCCTAGACAACGGCACACAGCTCCGGTCAGCATAGACACACAGCACTATAACAACACACAGCCTATAGACAGGACACTGCAGCTATCACCTAACTTAAAGTCAACAAAGAGCACTACAGTTAAACGCACAGTAGTGGTGCACGGGTCCGCTGTTTGTTCACCCGCACCCGCCCACAATTGCTAATAACCCATCCACAACCGCCTGACTATGTGATAAAGTGAAAATCGGAGTTCCACCTGACCCTAACCGCTAATATAGAAAATGCGCTGTAAGCTACAGTCAAAGACAGCAGAATTATTTTGACAGGGGGTGCAGGATTTTTTTTGCCTGATTTAGAAATGTTTCTGCTTATAATTTCCGACATTTTGGTAGACTATTTGTTAGTCAAATTGTCTATAATTAGATACATGCAGCTTCTCTTCTGTCATTAATGCCCTAGAAGACTAAATAAACCCTTGCTCACCAGAATGTCATACATCAATAGAATGAATGCTTCAATCTACACTGAACAAAAATATAATACATGTAAAGCGTTGGTCACGTTTCATGAGCTTAAATAAAAGATCCCAGAACATTTCCATACGCACAAAATACTTATTTCTCTCAAATTCGGTGCAGAACTTTTTTTATATTCCTGTTAGTGAGCATTTCTCCTTTGCCAAGATAATCCATCTACCTGACAGCTGTGGAATATCAAGAAGCTGATTAAACAGCATGATCATTACACAGGTGTACCTTGTGCTGGGGTCAATAAAAGGCCACTCAAAAATGTGCAGTTTTGTCACACAACACAATGCCACAGATGTCTCAGGTTTTGAGGGAGCGTGCAATTGGCATGCTGACTGCAGGAATGTCCACCAGAGCTGTTGCCAGAGAATTGACTTCATGTCTCTAACATAAGCCACCTCCAACGTCGTTTTAGAGAATTTGGCAGTATGTCCAACTGGCCTTACAACCGCAGACCACATGTATGGTGTCATGTGGGCGAGCGGTTTGCTGATGTCAACGTTGAGAACAGAGTGCCCCATGGTGGCGGTGAGGTTATGGTTTGGGCAGGCATAAGCTACGGACAACAAACACAATTGCATTTTATTGATGGCAATTTGAATGCACAGAGATACCGTGACGAGATCCTGAGGCCCATTTTGAGGCCCATTTTTATTAAGGTATCTCCGACCAACAGATCCATACTGTATCTGTATTCCCAGTCATGTGAAATCCATAAATTAGGGCCTAATTTATTTATTTCAATTGACTGATTTCCATATATGAACTGTAACTCAGTAAAATCTTTGAGATTGTTGCATGTTGCGTTTATATTTTTGTTCAGTATAGTTGACAAGTTCTCTGTAATCTTCTTTCGTGGAGGACAGACGTTTAGGGAACGGGGAGAAAGTGCAATAACTCAACAACAAAAAACTTGAAAGATTTTCAGAGCAAAATGTCCAAATTACATCAGTTTGCCCGGTTGTAAAGAAATAGACATCTGGGGAAAAGTCCCAAACATGTTTCTGATACAATTTCAGTTCGGCTTGGATGCATATTTTATGTGGTTGAAATACTATTAGCTTTTATGATGCTGATAAAGATAGATATCGTCTCCGGCCTTGACCAGGAGTCCCATAGAGCGGCGCACAATTGGCCCAGCGTCGTCTGGGTTAGGGGAGGGTTTGGCCGGGGGGGTTTTACTTGGCTCATCGCGCTCTAGTGACTCCTTGTGGTGGGCCGGGCGCCCGCAGGCTGACTTTGATCGTCAGTTGAACGGTGTTTCCTCCAACACATTGGTGCAGCTGGCTTCCGGGTTAAGCGAGTGGGTGTAAAGAAGCGCGGTTTGGCGGGTAATGTTTCGGAAGACGCATGACTCGACCTTTGCCTCTCCCGAGCCCGTTGGGGAGTTGCAGCGATGAGACAAGATCTTAAATCACGAAATTGGGGCGAAAAAGGCGGCAAAAAAATGTATACCGTCTGTAGAGGTGCTAACTGAGCATTCGCATTCTCTCAAGATGCTGAAAGAAAAATCATATTTCTCCACTGCTGTTCCAGAGTCAAAATGTTGCCTACATTTGGTGTATAACTTTACTGCAAGACATGCTTAATTCTGCAGAAGTTAATATTAAGGCTATGCGATCGGTTATAGACCTACAGTCAGTGTCCAGATTTCACTTTCCATTTAACCCATCTGAACAGTAGGCTACAGTTCCCTTGACATGCCATAGGCCTATTTGAAGTCCCAGTCTTGTGACAATCAAATTTGTATAGCGCCTCACAATCACCACACATAACACTGCTATCATCCTCTTTTACCACTTCACCAAATCTTTCCCAAACATTACTTTTCTGCCCCTCCCTTCTATATAATTTCCAACGGGATTGATGTTAACTTTTTCTGCCCATTCCCAAAAGCATTTGGCGATTGGTGTGTAGGCTATTTGGCACGCGTACAGTTAGGCCCTAAAGCTCACTAGATATAAATTGTACAAGAATTATACATTTATTGATTTAAGGTATTGTTTTCTATTTTTTCAACCCACCCGCCACCCACTCTTCATCCACACAATATTTAATTACCCTAAACCTGTCCGCCCCACGGATATAACTGTGGGGACTGGGGGTTATGAGTCAAACACCGCATCACTAACGCACAGCACTACAAATAACACACAGCCTGAACCTTTGGATTGCTGAAGCCACGCGACCAACAGTGGAGGGTATCACCTCACCAGCCTTACCTGTCACTCATAGAGGAGTCCAGCTCCTCCCACTCTGACTGCAGTAGCTGGCCCTCCAGTCGTTTCTGCTCGCTACGCAGCTGTCTGCGCAGCTCCGACAGCTCGCTGATCACACCCCGCTGGTCCTCTGGCACACACATACACACACGTCAGCATCACAGACGTTGAGAGATAATGGAGTTTCTACCTGCTGTGTACTGTACAATAGTGTGAGGCAGTGTTACCGGCAGCTCTCAGCTGGTTCCTGCGAGCTGGGACTGGGGGGGACTGGAGGCCTGACAGAGAACGCTCCTACAGGGGGAAGAGAGGGTGGAAGACAAGATCCAGTCATTATGCTCCACTGACATCTCCTCACAGTCAAACGATTTCCCTCCATGGTGGTGTGGAAGAGGACATACTGTGTGCTCTGGAAGTCACTCACAGACAGGGGGACGGTAGTAGCGCGAGGGCTGTCCATGGACGGAGGTCTGGGGGTGTACTGGGGAGCTTGACGCCTCTTTTGGAGGGTGGGAATGGGGGGAGACGGCTCCCTTGGTACCTTCAGACAGACAACCACATGAATGTCATCACTTACCTCATATGAATCTCTCAGGGCCTGCTTCCTGACTAAAAAGCCCTTTCAATAGATATTCTTCATTTAGCATGCTTTTTAGTCCAGGACTAGGCTTATTTGGGCCAGTAACCGAAAGGTTGCTGGATCGAATCCCCAAGCTGAGATGGTAAAAATGTGTCGTTCTGCCCCTGAGAAAGGCAGTTAACCCACTGTTCCCCGGGCGCCGATGACGTGGATGTCGATTAAGGCAGCCCCCTTCTCCTCTCTGATTCAGAGGGGTTGGGTTAAATGTGGAAGACACATTTCAATTGATGCATTCAGTTGACTAGGTATCCCCCTTTCCCTTAATGTTCAGAGGGTCAAACAGTCTTCCAGTGAGCTCACCTCTAGGCGTGCCCGTCTCTCCTCCTCATACTGCTTCCTCAGGGCAGAGTTCTCCATCTCCTCTACCTCTTTCTTCTTCTTCTTCCTCTCCACCTCTTTCTTTCGCTCCTCAGCCAGACGGATCAGCGCCTCATTCTTGGCTTTTTGCTGGAGGGAGAAAAATGTTGCTCAGTCCCCTGAGTGAGTGAGTGTGTTGCAATAAAGTTTACTGAACTGAATGACTCATGTCAAACGATAGCATTCAGCTGATAGCAATGTTACTCGTAGTAGTAGATATGAGTATTGCAGTGTAATCTAATGCTAAAGCCCCCTTAGTGAATCCAAGCCCTGGTCGAGTTAATACTGACGTCCATCTCCTTGCGTTTCTTCCTATCCTGTTCTTCTTCATACTCTCTCTGGATGCGTTCCCTCTGCTCAGCCAGCCTCTTCTCCTCCTTCTCCTCCTCCAACCTCTGGCGCTCTCGCTCCTCCGCATCCTTCCTCCGCTTCTCCTCAATCTTAGGCAGCAGGACAGACAACCAGGGTCATCAGTGAGACAGTCTGTATGTGTGTATCCAATCACATATCAAAGCTGAGTGTAAGGTTAACCAAACCATCAATGCGCTTTAGTACAACATTGTGAGTTTAAGCTCTGTAATAAGCTTTTTTTAATGTGATTTCTGATCACGCTTAGGGTAAGGTTTATTTCAGCTGATAATATGAAAACGCTACTCTAGCCATCTTTCACACAGTAATAATAATAATAATATGACATTTAGCAGACGCTTTTATCCAAAGCGACTTAGTCATGTGTGCATACATTTTTACGTATGGGTGGTCCCGGGGATCGAACCCATTACCCTGGCGTTACAAGCGCCATGCTCTACCAGCTGAGCTACAGAGGACCAGCACTGATGTATAACATCCAGTACCTGTTGTTTGAGGTAAGCCTTGTACTTTTCCTGTTCATGGACCTGCAGTGGAGTGGGCAGGTTCCCAAAAATATTGCCTCTGGCAAACGAAGGGGCCTGAACAAAACCTGTTGAGAGAGAAACCCACCAGACAAAACAACATATTAGCTGAACCTGACAGTGAGTTGGACAGGTTGAGGCTGTAATCTCTCGTGGACAGACTACGTAAACATAAATAGTACCGTAGGTCTGTCATGATACAACGGGATGCGTGAGATAACGACAAGCATTAGTTCCGGTGCTTGGGTTTTTCGTCACTGATTATTTGGACAAATCATGATTTCGCAGGTGTTAGCATCTTTCGAATTTCCGAAGGGGAGGGGACATTTGGCCCATAGACTTGCAAAGAGAGAGAGGGTGGAGCTCTTCATTCCAGTTCCGATCCTCATTCTCGCTCGCTCTCTTCTCTTAACACGTATGGACCCAGACCTTAATCGTGCATCTGACCAATTACACAAGACTTTAGATCTGGGTTAACAGAGATTACTGAGGGTGCCACTACCACTTTGGGTTGTGTCCCAAATGGCAGCCTAGACCAGGACCCATAGGGCTTTGGTCAAAAGTAGTGCACTATGAAGGGAATAGGGTACCTTGTGGGACAGCTTTCCTCTCTGTCCTTAGACTCCTGATAGAGAATCACATCAATGTGAAAACCACTGTATCTACCTGAGACTCTGTGGGTGGAGGGAGGTCTAGTGTCCTCCTCTCGGAGTACTGCCATGGTGGCTGTTGCGCTCTTCTGCCATGACTTGGGGTTGATGTAGGCCTCTTCATTATGCTTGTGCATCTGGTGCAGATCGGCTGGTGACACAATTCACACGATTATGATTAGCAATAATCTTAACAAAGATTAAAAAACATTACACATTGGCTTTTCTCTGCTATCAGTCTCCAAAACGTATGTACTGAAACAAAGTTTAGAGAATATGTGAATCATAGTGTGGAGGGAGGGAAATAGCAGAGGGAACACACTGATGAGGTTGCCCCTGCTGTCTCTGAGAGGGGCTCCTCCTCCTCCTCTCCCCCAGGGGTTGTGGTTCTTCATGTCAGCCTCCAGCTTGGCCTCATAGCGATCTGCCTCCTCCCTGTCCAGCCTCCGCCGCTCCCGTCTCTCCTGGATCTGTTGTCAGGTTAGGATGGAACACTTTGATCAGAATACCATAAACACAAATAACGGGTCATCACCGGTCACACAAAGAAGGCAATGGAAGAGGCTGGAATGCAATAGTATATTGTTGTTGGAATGTCTATACATATTCAGTTAAACACTTTTTATAAACACTTGTAATATTCTATATCAATCTACAACTCATCTATGTTACCTGGCAAAAAATCTGACTCCTCTCTTTCCTGGTGTCTCCCTGCCGAAATAGCACACTCTGTGACAAAATGTATGTAGGCGAAAGACACTGCTGACTTCCACAATCACATTCAAAATGTACCTGTTGTCTTAGTGCCTCCTTGTAACTTATCGCACTCTCTTTAGATGGCTTGACCTGCTCTGCAGGGAATAATCCAATCCCTGAACCCATGGTAGCAGCATCACTGGCAGGTCTGCTGAACGAGAGTCTAAATGTTAATTCACTCATGTATTCCTTCTGTTCATTACTATAAAAAGCTGATCAATTTGAAATGATCAATACTATGCAAAAAGGTATGGGAAACACAATTGGTGGTTTGTCACTTTTCATGCCTTATGTAATGAATGTCAATGTATCACTGTGAAAGATGTTTATGCAGCCACTAGGAGGCGAGAGAGCGAGAGAGAGAGAGACAGCTCAGAGCAGTCCAGACCAGTGCAGCAGTGACTCAGCAGGGAGGGAACAACACTCCCATCTGTCCAGACCAGACCAGTGCAGGCTGCAGCAGTGACTAGGCAGGGAGGGAACAACACTCCCATCTGTCCAGACCAGACCAGTGCAGGCTGCAGCAGTGACTAGGCAGGGAGGGAACAACACTCCTATCTGTCCAGACCAGACCAGTGCAGGCTGCAGCAGTGACTAGGCAGGGAGGGAACAACACTCCCGTCTGTCCAGATGGCCAGTGGGCATGACCTTCTCATAATAGAACACTGGCCACCGATAGGGGGAAAAGCTCTCTGTTTGTAGCTTTAGAGGAGCCCCCTACTGGTGAATAGGGGATATACTCATTTGTAGGTGTTGAAGAGAAACAGTCCAGATTCTCTACCCTTCTACAGAAGTGGGCACTCGTTCACTCCCCCATATTCCTCACAGCAGTCCATTCCTTTTCAATCAATGAGGGGGAGTGTACAAGTGCATACTTCAGGAGAACGGTAGATAATCGGAATGTAGCCTAGGTGTTGAAGGGAAGAGAAAGAATGTAATAGGTACGGCACATACTGTGGAGGGGGCTCTGGATGGCTGCTCCCCCTGTGCTGGCTGTGAGGGCTGTGTTGACCCATCTGGCTGGGATGAGGCCCTGCAGGAGGCAGGCTTAGGTAGGACATGGGCTGCACCCCTCCTGTCAGCGGGATCTGACCATCTAACAATGAAACACAGAACACTCATTAGGCTGGATCAGAGAACACATGTATTGTATCCCAATGTCTAAATGTGTCCACTACTTAGTATGAAGTGACGCATTTCCTATGCATACTAAATAGTATGCTAGTATGGACATTGGGACAGTAAATTGCTTTCACTCCAATATCCATTTCCTTTTTTCTAAGTGTATTGTAACATGGAATCCTTTTCCTGTGTTAATATAGACTATATAATAGGCTGGTATGTAGGTGGTGCTTACAGTAGGCCAGGTTAGGGTCCAGTGGGTTCCTTGCACCATAGTAGAGATGGGCCTCGTCATAGGGACTTCTATAGGCATCTGCCAATGTGGATGGTGGATGAGGACGGAAACCTGGAATCCTGAAACAAATTCAAAATCATACAGCAATGTTTCATTATGTCAGACAAAACAATAATGTAGTGAATTTATCAGATTGTCTATTCAAAATGGCGCCCTTTTGATCAGAGCCCGGGTGCCATTTGGGAAGCAAGCCAGGATTACTGTCATAGCTACCTAGGTGACAGGTAGCCTAGTGGCTCGAGCGTTGGGACAGTAAGCGAAAGGTTTGTCGATTTGCCTTTGAGCAAGGCACTTAACCCTACTTTGCTCCAAGGGCGCCGTACTACTATGGCTGACCCTGTAAAACAACACATTTCACTGAACCTATCCAGTGTATGTGACAATACAACATATTTTCTTTTTTTACCTGGGGGTATCCATGCTCCTGTGAATGGTCTGGCTGTAAGAGGAGATGCCTCCACTGCTGAGCCCCAGGGTGTGGCTGTAGTCCAGCAGGGGGGACTGGAAGGCCACACGGGGCTGCTCAGGGGGAAGCCTCTCTCTGTTTTCCTCACTGGGTCTCCCATTCAACTCATCCCCTGGTAGGTCCACAGCTTGTCCTGGTGGGTACCAGCTGTCTTTTCTCTTTCTGGCATGGTCGCCAACATTCACTGCTCCAAACGGTTTGATCCGATCTGCCTGTTTCTCCGGGTCAGTCGCCCCTGTCACAGCAACTCTGAGCTCCAAATCCTTCTCCCTAATACGACAAAGGATATAACAGACAGCTCACATGAGGTGTCCATATCGGTTTGAAACCCTTAAATTGTCTATCTTAGTGAGATGGGCTACATGATCTACATAGACACATTTTAGCATCATTGTGGTCAGAGGTAGATTTGTTTATAAGCTGCGTTTACACGGGCAGCCCAAATCTGATATTCTTTAAAATTATTTTCATTTTATTATTATTTATTTATTTATTTATTTATTTATTTATTTATTTTACTCCATATACAAACGTATACATATGAACAACAACTTACAGACGCACACAACCAATGACTTCCTCTCATCTGCCCAGACCCGCATGCTCACACCCCCATCCCTAGTACCTGCATTATTGTTTGCCACTTGGCCTTCAAATGTTTTTCTCGTCACCCCATGCTATTTCAATAATTATTGGCAAAAGATCTGATCTGATTGGTCATAATATCAGAATTGGGCTGCCTGTGTAAAGGCAGCCTTATAAACAAATCTACCTCAGACTACAAAGCTGCTAAAATGTAGCCCATCTGACTAAGATGGAAAATGTAAGGGTTTGTTCTTTATCAGACAGCAGAATCAAACACAGATATTGACACCCACCTCTTCTTATTCCTCTGCTGTTCAGCTATCTGCTCCTGCAGCTCCTGCCTGTACCTCTCCTTCCTTCCCTGCAAGGCAGCATCTGCATCTGCAGCCCCTGTCAGATCATGCCATGTCACCGCATTTTAGAAGAATATCATCAAATGTTCAATTAGTCCAGAAAAAAACAATGTCGTTTTAATCTTAGTATTGAACTTCAGAACAGAGTTGGTCTTACCAATCATCAGCCCGGTAGCGAATTCAAGCTCTTCCTTCTTGGTAGAGGATCTGGATCTTCCACTTGGTCTCATCCCTGCTGGTACCTGCAGCCTGGCAGATAGGACGTCAATCAGCACTCACAGTACACTCATCATACCTCACAGACAATTATCTCTCTGTATTCTTCAATGTTCGTTTAGTGAGCGAGGGGTTGAATTGTGTGAGTGAAGCTCTATAAGGGTAAAACACGCTTACAGTCCACTATCGGTTTGTCTGATTTCAGGCTGGCTATGGGTTTTAATATGATCTTATTGTAGGAGCGGAATCTAAATCTCTACGAATAGCTGGCACAAGAAGCTTCAACAAGCCATGATCCGGGTACAGTGTGACATCAGACCTTTCATCTGTACTTTTCCATCCAATGTCCCTTAAAATTGAAAAAATAAAATGTTTTATCCAGATTAGATTAGAGTAGATACTTTGTCTACTGTTTACATACATTTACTTTACATAGAGATGCTTTATAAAATCCATAACAAAAAGAGACATGGCAATCAAATCGTGTTCACTTGTCCAAATTGGTTTTAGCAGAATCCTTTGGAAGTTTGAGTTATCAAAATTATAGGTATAGTTATTCAATACTACTTGACGTACTTGGGTTTGGGGGTTACAGATGATGTCCCCCGGCGTGCCTCCGAATAATCCTCATCAGGAGCAACAGACCCGTTAGTCTCCTTCCTGTCTGCATATTGACTACTCTCTGTGTAGTCATCAGGCAGTTCAGCACCCCTGTTCCGGAGCCTTGATATGTCCCTGGGCAAAAAATAGGAAGAAGATGAACAATACTTTTTCAAACAGACATAAAAACATATAGCAAATACCATGTCAGTAGAAATAGTTAACCAATTACATAGCTAAAAACGGAATCCATTAAAGGTAAGTGTAACATCATTAACAACTTGGGCCAACAGGGAATGGGTGGAGGGAGGGGATATAATGTGAATTGTTTTAATATTATTTTAATATTGTATGTTTTTGTGCCTTTTGCTTTGTTTGTTACTCAGTTAAGAAAAGAAATATGATATATTTGTACTTACTCATGTCAAGAATTGCATGACCATGGCAACGTGACTAGGAACATGGTCGTGTACAAACAGACCGCCTTTGACCTCCGTAAATCAAGAGGCTAAACCACAGTACAGGGACAAAGTGGAGTAACAATTCAACGGCTCAGACACGAGACATGTGTGGCAGGGACTGCAGACAATCACAGATTATAAATGGAAAGCTAACCATGTGGAAGACACCGACGCCTCGCTCCCGGAAAAGCTAAACACCTTCTTCGCCCGCTTGGAGGAAAACATTGAGCTGCTGACACGGGCCCCCGCCGCTCACGAGGACTGTGTGCTCTCGTTCGCCGTGGTCATTTAAGCGTGTTAACCCTCACAGGGCTGCCAGCCCAGCCGCGTCCTCAGCATGTGCAGACCAGCTAGCTGGAGTGTTTATGGACATATTCAATCTCTCCATATACAGTGCTATGAAAAAGTATTTGCCCCCTTTCTAATTTTCTCTACTTTTGCATATTTGTGATACTGAATGTTATCAGATCTTCAACCAAAACCTAATATTAGATAAAGGGAACATAAGTGAACAAATAACACAACAATTACATATTTATTTCATAAACAAAGTTATGCAACACCCAATTCCCCTGTGTGAAAAGGTAATTTCCCTCTTACACTCAATAACTGGTGTGCCACCTTTAGCTGCAATGACTCCAACCAAATGCTTCCTGTAGTTGTTGATCAGTCTCTCACGTCACTGTGGAGGAATTTTGGCCCACTCTTCCATGAAGAACTGCTTTAACTCAGTGACGTGTGGCTTTTCAAGCATGAACTGCTCGTTTCAAGTCCTGCCACAACATCTCAATTGAGATTAGGTCTGGACTTTGACTAGGCCATTCCAAAACCAAACTCTGCATTCCACAGTAAGAACATCATACCAAAGGTCAAGCATGGTGGTGGTGGTGTGATGGTTTGGGGATGCTTTGCTGCCTCAGGACCTGGACGACTTGCCTTAATAGAAGGAACCATGAATTCTGCTCTGTATCAGAGAATTCTACAGGAGAATGTCAGACCATCCGTCTGTGAGCTGAAGCTGAAGCGCAGCTGGGTCATGCAGCAAGACAATGAACCAAAACACACAATCAAGTCTACATGAAAATTGCTAAAAAACAACAAATTTGAGGTTTTGGAATGGCCTAGTCAAAGTCCAGACCTAATCCCAATTGAGATGTTGTGGCAGAACTTGAAACGAGCAGTTCATGCTTGAAAACCAACACGTCAGTTAAAGCAGTTCTGCATGGAAGAGTGGGCCAAAATTCCTCCACAGTGACGTGAGAGACTGATCAACAACTACAGGAAGCATTTGGTTGGAGTCATTGTAGCTAAAGGTGGCACAACCAGTTATTGAGTGTAAGGGGGCAATTACTTTTTCACACAGGGGAATTGGGTGTTGCATAACTTTGTTTATGTAATAAGTGAAATAAATATGTAATTGTTGTGTTATTTGTTCACTTATGTTCCCTTTATCTAATATTAGGTTTTGGTTGAAGATCTGATAACATGCAGTATCACAAATATGCAAAAGTAGAGAAAATTAGAAAGGGGGCAAATACTTTTTCATAGCACTGTACCAGTCTGTTGTCCCCACTTGCTTCAAGATGTCCACCATTGTTCCTGTACCCAAGAAAGCTAAGTTAACTGAACTAAATGACTATCACGTCGTAGCACTCACATCTGTCATCATGAATTGCTTTGAGAGTTATGGACCATATCAACTCCACCTTAACCGACACCCTAGACCCACTACAATTTGCATACCGCCCCAACAGATCCACGGACGACGCAATCACCATTGCACTGCACACTGCCCTATCCCACCTGAACAAGACAAATACCTATGTAAGAATGCTGTTCATCGACTACAGCTCAGCCTTCAACACCATAGTGCCCTCCAAGCTCATCACAAGCTCAGGACCCTGGGTCTGAACCCCTCCCTATGCAACTGGGTCCTGGACTTCCTGATGGGCCGACCCCAAGTGGTGAAAGTAGGCAACAACACCTCCACCATGCTGATCCTCAACACAGGGGCCCCACAGGGGTGCGTGCTCAGCCCTTTCCTGTACTCCCTGTTAACCCATGACTGCGTGGCTACGCACATCTCCAAATCAATCATCAAGTTTGCTGACAACACAATAGTGGTAGGCCTGATTACCAACAACGACGAGACAGCCTTCAGGGAGGAGATGAGAGCCCTGGTTGAGTGGTGCCAGGAAAATAACCTCTCCCTCAACGTCAACAAAAAGAAGGAGCTGATCATGGACTACAGGAGACAGCAGAGAGCATATCCCCATCCACATCGACGAGGCCGCAGTGGAGAGGGTCAAAAGCTTCAAATTCCTTGGCGTGCACATCACTGACGACCTGAAATGTTGCCTTCACACAGTGTGGTGAAGGCGGCACCACATCACCTCTTCAACTTCAGGAGAATGAAGAGGTTCGGCTTGGCCCCCCAAGACCCTCACAAACTTCTACATATGCACCATTGAGAGCATCTTGTCGGGCTGTATCACTGCCTGGTACAGCAATTGCAACGTCTGCAACCGCAGGGCTCTCCAGAGGGCGGTGGTGCGGTCAGCCCAACGCATCATCGGGGGCACACTTCCTGCCCACCAGGACATCTACAGCACCCGGTGTCACAGGAAGGCCAAGAAGATCATCAAGGACCCCAGCCACCCAAGCCACGGCCTGTTCACCCCGCTACCATCTAGGAGGCAGAGACAGTACAGGTGCATCAAAGATGGGACCGAGAGACTGAAAAACAGCTTCTAGCTCAAGGCCATCAGACTGTTAAACAGTCATCACTAGCCTGCCTCCACCTAGTACCCTGCCCTGAACCTCAGTCACTGTTACTAGCCGGCTACCACCCGGTACTCTACCCTGCACCGTAGAGACTGCTGCCCTATGTACATAGTCATTGAACACTGGTCACTTTAATAATGTTTATATACAGTTTTACCCACTTTATATGTATATACTGTATTCTAGTCATGTCTCATCCTATACAACTACTGCTGTACACACCTTTTCTATTAATATATTGTCTAAAAGTCACCATTGGTGACTTATCAATATATTGATAAAAGTCACCTTGTCCGAGAGAGATTTACATGGTTATCAAAACGTCACGGCAGGGTAAGCCTACACGAAACACAGCCCTTATTTTAAGTGTTTCAAAAATTCTCCATGGGAAAAATGAATGGAGGAAAAATGATTGGAACCAATTCCCTGTTTGACCGCTATGTTTTATGGGTATTATGACACCTCCACTGTGGGGTTCTTTACTCCATAATGTCAAAGTGGAATTATATTTTTAGACATTTTTATAAATTAATAAAAAATGAAAAGCTGAAATGTCTTGAGTCAATAAGTATTCAACCCCTTTGTTATGGCAAGCCTGTGAATTTCAAGCACAGATTTAACCACAACGACCCGGGAGGTTTTCCAATGCCTCGCAAAGAAGGGCACCTATTGGTAGATTTAAAATAAAAGAACACATTGAAAATCCCTTTGACCATAGTGAAGTTCTTAATTACACCAAGTCCCTACAAAGATACGTGCGTTCTTCCTAACTCAGTTGACGGAGAGGAAGGAAACCACTCAGGGATTTCACCATGAGGCCAATGGTGATTTTAAAACAGTTACAGAGTTTGATAGGAGAAAACTGAGGATGGATCAACAACATTGTAGTTATTCCGTAATACTAACCTAAATGACAGAATGAAAAGAAGGAAGCCTATACAGAATAAAAATATTCCAAAACATGCATCCTGTTCGCAATAAGGCACTAAAGTAAAACTGCAAAAAATGTGGCAAAGAATTTACTTTTTTGTCCTGAATACAAAGCATTATGTTTGGGGCACATCCAACACAACACATCACTGAGTACCACTCTTCATATTTTCAAACATGGTGGTGGCTGCATCATGTTCTGGGTATGCTCATCATCGGCAAGGCCTAGGGAGCTTCTTTTTTTTTTATAAAAAGAAAAGGAATAGAGCTAAGCACAGGCAAAGTCCTAGAGGAAAACCTGGTTCAGTCTGCTTTCCAACAGACACTGGGAGACTAATCCACTTTCAGCAGGACAATAAACTAAAACTCAAGGCCAATTATACAATGGAGTTACTTACCAAGATGACATTGAATGTTCCTGAGTGGCCTAGTTTTGACTTAAATCGCTTGAAAATATATGGCAAGACTTGAAAATGGCTGTATAGCAATGTTCAACAACCAACTTGACAGAGCTTGAAGAATTTTAAAAAGAATAATGGGGATATATTGTGCAATCCAGGTTTGCAAAGCTCTTAAGAGACTTACCCAGAAAGACTCACAGCTGTAATCGCTGCCAAAGTTGATTCTAACATGTATGGACTCAGGGGGTTGAATACTTATCTAATAAAATATATTTGTGTTTTATTTCCATTAAATTTAAAAAAGCTAGCATTTTTCTTCCACTTTGACATTAAAGTATTTTGTGTAGATCGTTGACAAAAAACGAAAATTAAATCAATTTTAATCCCATTTTGTAACAACAAAATTAGGAAAAGGTCAAGTGTGAATACTTTCTATTTATATTCTGGACTCTGACATTGCTCGTTCTGATATTTATTTATACTTTATTTGAATCACATAGGAAGTGTAAAAAAATACCTTAAGTCTGTTTTGTAGTGTCTTCTTTGCCACGTCCGCTCTTCTACTCTCTCTAGCCCCATCTGTTTTGGTCTCCTTCTCACCATCAGGTCCAGCTCTTCCTCTGTGAGGTCCTCCTCAGAGTCAAAGTTCACTCTCACCAGCCTGGCCCTCTCTCTGGGAAGCAGCAGCTCATCCTCAGGCCACATGCCCTCCATCTTCCTGCCATCCACTAGGCAGCGTCCTCCCTTATGCAGCCCCCTCCTTCCCTCTGTCAGCGTGTCTGCGTCTCTCCTGGAGGGGGCCCGCTTGGGGTGCACCGGGGGTCTGGGGCTGCAGTGGACAACAGGGAGGTCTGGAGGAGCTCTGAGAGAAGCAAGCTGCTCCTGTATGTATGAGGGGGAAAGGACAGTTTAAAGATGATCGACTTTTGGTTCCAAGCACCCTTTTTACTTGCAGAAGAAGATAGAGTTGAGCATGTTCTCTTCATTTACTGAGACATGTTTAAGATGACCTGAGGTCTAAAGTTTACCAGCTCTCTCTCTCTCTCTCTCATAAGCACTTGGCTGTCTGATTTGACTGGTTGGAATGAACTCTAAGCGGCCTCAGTTGACTGAGCATGGTATAATATAGGCTATATGCAGAACTGTCTAGGTTACCTTAGCAGCTCTGCTCTCACCAAGGGGAAGGGATGGGTCTGGTTCAGCAGCATTGAGATGTTTTTTCTATAATTAAGGGACAAAATTGGCCAAATCAGCCCAAAGCAGAGATTATTGTTAAATACGTTTATTGGTTGAAAAATATTTGGAAGAAAACTGCACTGACTCCTTGCACCCGTACCATTCCAGTGATCTTGTTTATTGCACTCTCAAGTAAATCTTGTGGCCCATGCATGGATGCTGACAGATTACAAAGTAGTAAAAACAACATAACTTTTGGCATTGGTAATATTATTACCTGAGCCATGTAGCATCTGTAGTCCAGACGGAGCTCTTGCTGTAACTTCTGTTTCTTCCTCTCATAGTCTTCACCCAAAGGTAAACTTACACAACAATTCTCCTCTGAAAAACAGGATGGCATACATGAAATAAAAAGACCTCCCAACAGTCAGGATTTAGATCTACCACAAAGTGCTAACAAATTGGGTTCATAACTTCAAATCTATACTGTACCCTTCCCTTGTGCTGTGGACGACTTAAATGTCGGGATATTTGTGAGTGTGGGGTCATGGGCCTTGTGGTCTTCTGTCTGTTGATCAGTAAAATCCAGTCACAGGTCAGAAAATTGCAATAATTTGCTCAGCTGTCACCAAACACAAAGTAGCATGCATTGCACCCATGTCCAAGTCCAACATTTTCAGTATTCTAGCACCACAGTAAAAAAGGAGTATTGAAACACACCCTTATTTCAAGGTAAGGTGGATCCCGTTCCAAGCTGGCTTTATCCTCTGCCACTCTGGCCTTCTGTTGCTGGATGAATTTCTCAAGTTCATCATCCATCTCCATTTATAATACAGGCTCACTGAAAGACATTAAGTGACAAAATTAAATAATTTCTAAATACAGCTAAAATGTACTAGCAACGTACCCACATTATAACGTTATCTAGCTAGTAAACAGCCACTTCAATGGTTCTGTAAAATGGTTAAAATAATAGTGATGTTGTTGACGTTAGCAAGAAAGGTCTTGAATTGTAAACATGTAGGCGCTACTAGTAGCTAACTGGCTACATTAGCTACAGCGTAGTAGCAGCTAGCTACCCCAATGCTAGTTACCGGTACCGTTACCGAAACAGCACGTCTTTGGACTCAACAAGTCTAACGTTAGCTATGTAGCTAACGTTACTGTAACTAAACCATCTAACTTATGCTGTTGTAATATCATCTGATCATCTCATTGACATTGGCAAACTTGAACTATCTAGCCAGAAATGGGCACCATGTAGCTCAGTTGGTAGAGCATGGCGCTTGCAACGCCAGGGTTGTGGGTTCGATTCCCACGGGGGGCCAGTATGAAAAAATAAAAAATAAACAAAATATATACACTCTAACTGTAAGTCGCTCTGGATAAGAGCGTCTGCTAGATGAATAAAATGTAAATGGCCCACTGTCTCTTTAATTTCCGTTGTCAAGCAACCACTGAACACAAAAACCAGGTTTTAGCGAGAGCCATGTGATCGTACTTCGTAACTCTTGCTTTGTGTAAAAAAATAAAGAAAGAATGCCCAGTCAGCGGTCCCCGTTAATTGGTGTTTATTCTGACGATAGACACAAGGAAGCGCATTAGAGTCAGACACTCTGGTTTACCTAGCTAACTATCATTTAGGCCATGCCTAGCTAGCAAGCAAACTGTAACGTTATGTAATGACATTACACGCAAACATTAATACTTTTACACGAGTTAGATAGCATGCCAGAATCTCATTATAAGCTCAATTAGTTAGCTAACGTTAGTAGCTGGCTAGCTAACTAAGTTACCTGCTGTCTCTAGTTAACCTGTTGGCTAGCTAGCTAACGCTACAACGACAAATAAATGCAAGTCAGGCGTAGACTAGAAAACTGTTGCTGGGCTGGTTTTCTAACACGCCAAGCGAAATATTAAAATGCCATAAACAATACTCACCATTTGAGCAACGAAGTTAGTTAGCGAGCTTGCTAACCTTTGCTACTCAGGTAGCTAAAGCTACAAGGCAACAGCAAAGATGATGGATATACTGACAAGATACACGTCTCTCCGCCCTAACAATAGAGTACCACGGTATGAGTCATAATCAAATGTTCCCTCTAATATTTAAATGTCAGGTCTGCTGAGCGCAAACTTGAACCTTGTGAAATTTATGTGCAACTTCCGGTGCGCGTTTACTGTACCCGCTTTAATTTACTGTTTTAACAGTGGCCAATCAGGCTACCTGATCATAATGTAGGCCTACAGGGGCCTACCATAAAAAACAATTAAGAAAACGCATCACATAACATTTTAACATGGAAATAGCGGTTCTATCATTCAGCCTACAGTAGCAGCCAATGTGTGGTGTTCAATGTAGGTCTACATTCGATGTGGCTTCCCTTCCAACATCTCTGACCCTATCAAACAACCTCTCCCTTTCTACATCATAGATTTCACAAAATAATAATACATGTTCAACTGTTTCCTCTACCATACATCCATCACACATTCCAGTACCATGTTTCCCTATCAATTTCAAAGATGAATTCAATACCTTATGCCTTAATCTCATCCTACACAACATAATCTCCTCCCTTCTGTTCCCATTATATGACACTATCTCCCGTACAGATTTCCTTGTACTATAAAACATGTCTGCCCTTACTACTTTCATCCCATTGTCTCTGCCAGCAATCTAACCCATTTTCCCCTCTACCCAACTGCACCTGTATATCAACAATATTATTTTTCACTGCTCTTTTTGCTATTATATCATTTCCATAAACACCTGTATGAGCCGGAATCCAACATTACTGAATTTCAATAGCATTTCTTTGTAACCTCAAATGAAACGCTAATTAGCTGCTAATGTGGCTATCATAAAGAACTACAAATGCCATGATGATCTAGACGAGACTGCCGAATTGAGGCAAAGGTAAGACTCTCTGGATAACTATCTAATGTTTGTTAAATGTAGTAATGAATAAATTGGCTACATTTCTTTAAATTGACAATTATGTGAACTGTCTTGTGCAAGTTTTAAATTGACACAATACCTGTTAGCAAAGGTGTCAGCTAGAGATGACGTGCAGGAACTTGCAGGGATTTGTATGATGTCTACTTTGATGCTAGTTAGCATTTTCAAATCTGAGCGTAAATAGAGCCAAATATATTGATAAAAGTCACCTTGTCCGAGAGAGATTTAGGTGGTTATCAAAACGTCACGCCAGGGTAAACCTACACGAAACACAGCCCTTATTTTAAGAGTTTCTAAAATCCCCTATGGGAAAAATTAATGGTGGAAAAACGATTGAAACCATTTCCCTGTTTGACCGCTAGGTTTTATGAATATTATGACACTTCCACTATGGGGCTCTATTGGGAGTCGTTGTCCACAAAGCGACATATTCAATGGAGAGAGATGCTGTAATAGAAATAAGAATGAATAGAACGGGCTTGGAAGCTCTAACCCTGGCAATTGACTGGTAAACTCATGGGTACACTCGCAATGGCTGCCTGGTATTGCGATGCAATGATCAACTGATGCGATGCAATGATCAACTGATGCTGGATTGCCATGGTAATGTAGAATGTTCATTAAAATGATGCTAACTGAACAAACCACTGGACAGATTGAAGGGTACACTTCCTGCTTTTACTTCTTGGCATGGGTACACTCAAAATGTCTGCCAGTCCATCCATTATGCCATCATTTACTTGAATGGAGACGCCCTTTCTATTAATTATTATTTATATGATGATACTAGCCTCATGACATGAATATGCATAGCCATCTCGAGACAACTCCGATATTGTGTTTTTGTCAAAGTTGCCGGGATGTCACGTGTCCTACTTATGTCAGTACACTCTTAACAACTTAAGCATTACGAAACTTCTATTCGATCAATTAAACCTCATGTAGCAAATAAGCCATTCAATTTTTTGTTGACCAAATTCGACACTGTCATTGACCTCCTTACAAAAACTTGCTTGGTGGGCGAAACAACGAAAAAAACGTCACCTGCTGGAAGGAGACAAGATTTTCCGCCGAGTTGGGCCTCTTCCTATTCCTCTCTGAACAAAAACCCAACAAAACCAAAATACATCATGGTACTTGTAGTCAATTTGAAGCTAAATACACAATTAATTTATCAAATGTTATTGTAACAAGCATAGTTACGCAATAAGATTGACGCAATACGATAATAAGTCTTGCTTAGTATTTGTTAAATTATGGTATGTGCCTGGTTTGGACTATTATCAAAAGATAAACTCTAGCGCACCAACGCGCAGTTTAGAAAACTACATGCACCACAATCCATTGCAAACTAGGTTTCGCAACAGAAAAAACCAACCACTTCCGTGTTGTTATTCTGTTATTCTGGCAAATAGCTAGCTAGCTAAATACGTGAGTCAAAGTGCAATTGCTAGCCAGTTAATTGGTGATTTAACCATAATGGTTTTATAAGATCAATACCTAGTGTAGTTTTATTCGCCAGAATGTCGTTGCTACAAGGCTCCAAGAAAAAGGACAAGCGTATTTTGTCCGGTACCTGCCCAGACCCGAAATGCCAGGCGAGGCTATTCTTCCCTGCTTACGGCTCGATCAGCATTGAATGCACTGAGTGTGGCCAACGCCACGAACAGAATAATCTTTTAAATGTGGAAGAAGTAACTGATCCAGACGTTGTACTGCACAATTTATTAAGAAATGCCCTACTCGGTGTCACTGGGGCCCCAAAGAAGGGAACCGAGCTGGTGAAAGTGATGGGGCTTTCCAACTACCATTGCAAGCTCCTCTCTCCTATTCTCACAAGGTATGGAATGGATAAGCAGACGGGAAAAGCGAAACTTCTGAGGGAAATGAATCAAGGAGAGATGTTCGACTGCTCACTTCTAGGTGATCGGGCGTTTCTAATCGAACATGAGCATGTATCTACAGTTGGCTATGGCAAGGACAGATCCGGGAGCCTGATATACCTTCACGACACTTTGGAGGAGATTAAGAAAGCTAACAGCAACAAAGAATGCCTAATTCCTGTTCATGTGGATGGAGATGGACATTGCCTTGTTCATGCTGTGTCCAGGGCCCTGGTAGGCAGAGAACTGTTCTGGCATGCCTTGAGAGAGAATTTGAAACAGAATTTCAAGCAAAATCTGGATCGCTACAAGGCACTCTTTCAGGATTTTATTGATGCAGCCGAATGGGAGGACATCATCAACGAATGTGACCCCCTTTTTATCCCACCGGAGGGTGTGCCACTGGGACTTCGAAACATTCACATATTTGGCTTGGCCAATGTGCTGCACCGCCCCATAATCTTGTTAGATTCACTGAGTGGAATGAGGAGCTCTGGGGATTACTCTGCAACTTTTCTCCCAGGGCTTGTACCGGAAGAGCAGTGCAAGGGGAAAGATGGGAAGTTCAACAAGCCTATATGCATCGCCTGGAGTAGCTCAGGGCGTAACCACTACATCCCTCTAGTCGGAATAAAAAACACCGTCCTCCCCAAGCTGCCGCCGAAGCTTCTCCCCAAAGCATGGGGGGTCCCACAGGAGCTCATCAAGAAGTACATTAAGCTGGAGCAAGATGGGAGCTGTGTCATCGCGGGAGACAGGCGCTTACAAGACAAGTATGTGATGAGACTGGTCAATGCCATGGAGGAGATCTTCATGGAGAAGCATGGCATCCACCCCTCCCTGGTGGCAGACGTGCATCAGTACGTTTACAGACGGACCGGTATGATCGGCGTCCAACCCGAAGAGGTGACGGAGGCTGCCAAGAAATCAGTCATGGAAAACCGGCTACATCGCTGTCTGATCTGCAATGCACTCTCTGAGCTTCATGTGCTACCTGAGTGGCTGGCTCCAGGTGGTAAGCTCTACAACCTGGCTAAATCCACCCATGGGCAGCTCAGACCCGACAAGAACTACAGCTTTCCATTAAACAATGTGGTCTGCTCTTACGACCCTGAGAAGGACATCCTCATTCCTGACTACAAACTGAGCACATTGAACACCTGCAACTGGTGCCACGGCACCTCAGTGCGTCACATCCATGGCAATGGCTCTGTGGTGTACCTGGATGGAGACAGAACCAACACCCGCTCCCAGGGGGGGAAGTGCGGCTGCGGCTTCAAGCACTACTGGGAGGGAAAGGAGTACGACAATCTGCCAGAGGCTTTCCCCATCACTCTGGAGTGGGGTGGGCGTGTCGTGAGGGAGACAGTGTACTGGTTCCAGTATGAGGTTGAGGTGACCCTGAACAGCAACGTCTATGATGTTGCCATGAAACTGGTTACCAAGCATTTCCCTGGGGAGTTTGGGAGTGAGCTCCTCGTGCAGAAAGTGGTGAACACCATTTTACATCACACTGCCAAGAAGAACCCAGACGAGTATAACCCAGTCTCTATTGACGGGGCGCATGCTCAGAGGCTCACAGACGTGGTGGAAACCCAACAGGCTGTTGACACACAGCCACCGACTAAGATCATACTAACTGGGCAGAAATCAAAGACCATTCACAAAGAGGAGCTGACCATGAGTAAAGCAGAGCGGAGCCTTCAGCAGAGCATTAGCGAACAGGCCCTAGTGACCCAGAAAAGGAGGACAGATCGACTGAAGCAGGAGCAGAAGGGAGTCCAGGGACACGGGCGGCCATCCTCTCCAAGTGCTGCTCAGGAACCTTCCTCCTCCGCCCCAGCCACGCCCACCAAATCCTCCTTCACCCCCACTGCCAGTAAGGAGAAGAAGATCCGTGTCACCACTAGCGACGGGCGGCAGGCCATGCTCACTCTACAGGCTCAGACCACCTTCTCTGAGCTCCAGAGGAGCATTGCTAACGAGTTCATCGTGCCTCCAGCCCAGCAATGTATTCGACATGGGTTCCCTCCCAAAGAACTTTTGCCTCCCAAGGATGGAGAGGAGAATGAGCCTGTGGCCCTCCAACATGGGGACAGGGTGACTGTGGAGATCCTGAGAGGTCCAGAGGACCACAAGGTCTCCGCCCCAAGTGCTTCCAGTTCCCATTCATCCCTGCATTCCCTCCACTCTGTGAAGAGTGATGATCCAGTGACTTCCAGCAGAATGAATACTAGCAGAGAGCTGCAGGACAACATTGACCTTGAGATGTCCTCCCTCTGTCTCCTAGCAACCTTAATGGGTAAGAAAGGGGAAGGGTGGGAAAATATTTTCTTACTCAAATCAGTAGTAATCTTTACTTTACGTCATTATTTACTGTAAAAAAAAAAAGACAATCTAGCAACATGTAAGTGGCATACCTGTTTGAGTTATGCAGAACACTGCTGTGATGTCATTACAAAAAGTAAAACATGACTTGCTGTACAGGGGAACCTGTTTGTTGATTCACCTTTAAGACTATAGTTACAGGCATGCCACCTTAGATCATCCCCTCAGTAAATATAAGGCTAGCAACAGAATGTGATGGGTGTGATTGTGAGAGTGAGAGGCTAGTAACTGATAGGCCTATAGGCTTTACAGACGGTAGCGTTACACAGCATAAGGGCATGCTGTTCTTGGATTGGTTACAAGAAGCAGGATGAATGACAAAGTACTACAGGTATTGAGTGACTGGTGGGCTTACCAGGGATGGATCAAGGCCTAATCTTTGGGGATAATGACTTTTTTCCATTTGAAATAATTATAATATATCCAAGTGCTTTCTCTGTACCTCAGCGACGTGGCATTTGGATTTCATTGAAACGCATGCAGCAGCAGTCTCGAGGAGAGAGGAGAGGGTAGACTGTATGAAAGTGCTGATGCGGTCATCTCCACTCCTTCACCTACCAACAGAGTCTGAGTTCCAGTCTCTGGACACTCTTCCGCCTTCACCGTCTTACTAGCATATTGCAATGCAATCTTATCTGGCCCGTAATATTAGGGCCAGTAATGTAAGTTGGAATAGAAGCTAATTGCAAAGGGTGGCAAGGCAACCTATTTTTGCTGCATAATTAGAATTTTGATCTGAGGAAAACCACATGATGGCTTGTATTCTATTAATTTATTTTCATGTTTCACATGCTAATTGCAGTATTTTTTTTTCCTACGCAGGAGAAGATGTCTGGTCATATGCAAAAAAACTGCCCCACTTATTCCAGCAAGGTGGCGTTTTCTACAACATAGTGAAGAAAGATATGGGTATGTAGACATGTTTTCTGTTATTGTGCCCTTTTCATTTTGCATAACTTAAATGACAACTACAGTATATTTTTTACATTCAACTTTTGCATGTGATATGTACTGATCTGTGTTAACCCTACCTATAATGGCTCTTGTCTCGTCTGCAGGCCTGATGGATGGCAAACACTGCACCCTCCCACACCTGACTGGAAAGACGTTTGTGTACAACGCAGCAGAGGAGTGTCTGGAGCTGTGTGTGGATGCAGCGGGACACTTCCCCGTGGGCCCTGATGTGGAGGACCTCGTCAAGGAGGCCCTGGTGCAGCTCCGCTCTGAGGCTGCCTCCAGGAGCCGGGAGGGAAGCCCCTCTCACAGCCTGCTGAGGCTCGGGAGTGGAGGCGTGGTGCGCAAGAAGGAGCAGCTCCAGAGTGTCAACGCCTTCCAAGGTAAGGGCCACTCCCTGGGCACCGCCCCAGGTGGCTCTCCCCCTGAACACAAGCCCATCACCCGCCAGCACAGCAGCGGGGTGGACCTGAGCGCCAGCGTCTCAAAGGGACCCGACCTCTCTGACATCTCAGAAGATGCAACCAAGGAGCTGGTGCGCATGGCTCCCGGTTTCGTCACCATGAAAGACAGCCGACACCTGGACCCTAGTATGATCGAAGAGCAGAGGAAAAAACTACAGGAGATGGTCTCATCCATCCAAGCCTCCATGGACAGGCACCTGAGGGAGCAGAGCAATGCAGGGGCAGGCACTGGGGGCCCTGCAGAGAGGACAAGTGGGGCTAAGATGAATGCTTCCCAATCTGCCCCAGGGGTAGGTGACCAGGAGGCCTCTTCTATGGACGTATCTACTGCTGGTGCTCATGGCACACCACATGGCACACCAGTGAAGGCAGGGAACAAGCCTGATGGAAAGGATGCAGCGTCAGAGGAGCTGGAGGAAATGGATAGCCAGGATGCAGAGCATAGCAACGCCCTGGAGCCAATGGATCATTCCTGATGGGAAAAGGGCCCGGTCCTATAGTTTTCTCAGTCATGATCAGTCACCCCTCTATCTGGTTGGCATTTGTATGTGAATGCTTCAGGTTGTATCAATGCTTTGATATTCATTGTGTTTTGTTGTCTTTACTGCATGATTGACAGAGGTTGACCATTTCTGCCTTTGGTGACAGACTAATGTTATTATACAGAAACATGCACCAAGCTCCAAGGAGCGAAGCTGGTTCTCATGTGTGAAATGCATTACTGTAGATATCCTCCATGTCTTAAGACAAGAGGTACAGCTTGAGTTGATGAGATCCCACGCCAGTATTGTAATGTCTGCAAACATCCACTTCAGCAAAGTGCACACTGTAAATGTAACATGAATACCATCATCACATTTTCTGGTTTACCATCATATTTGCTATAAACAACAACAGTGAAATATTCCAAATTAGTTTTTTTTTCTTGAACTTTGCTCTCCATGTGAACGTTTGCTGTCTTAATTCCTAAAGGAAGGAGTCACATGCCCTTATAAGCATATGCATCAATTGACATTTGTTGTCGGAAAACCAAGTGATCTTTTTTAGTTTGCATTTGGGCCATTTTATAAGAATTTAAAGATTCTGTTTAAAATGATAATTTAAATGTGAGTGCCATTTGAAAGAAAAAGTGTAGCACTGTTCTGAAAATAACCAAATTGATTGGTGGAATTTAGAGATTGACAGTGAAGTGTGTGCACTGATTGGGGAAAATGACTGTTGATTCTTTTGGGTTCAAGGTTCATGCTACTTACTGATGTTTGAAGAGTTATTTATGTTACTTTTGATATTTCTCATTAAACCCAAACGAGTGGCCCAAGTTAAGTGTGCTGTGCAAGTGCTGAACTACTTGATGTGATGCTGTATTCTGTTGGAAGGACCTGCATAACATACCATACACACCTGGGAGTATATTCCATTACTCAAATGCAATTTCCTCAATCACTTTTTTGGCTTTAGTGAAAGATGGAATGCAGCGCAGGATTATACTTTTTTGAAACACACAATTCTAAAGTAAGACTTGATTTGTGAATTTTCCTTTACCATATCATTTTTTTTTTACATAGTTCAGGTTTATAGATTATCTTTTTAGGAATGATAAATCCAAGAATAGCGAATAATTATTTTTCCATGAACTGCCTGCAGTTTTTGTTGTTTTGTAAACATGCAATGCTGGCATTTTATTGTTCAATCTAAAAAATACATTTATGTTTGTACTTGAATTCCAGAGATTGAAATCAACAATAAGGCATGTTGTTGTGCAGGGGTGTGTTGAGCACTGTAGGCTCCCTTTAGTGTTCTTACCATTCATTCAGATATAAAATTGGGATGAACAACCATAGAAATATAATGATTCATTCTAATTTAATGGAAACCACAATCAGCTGGTAATACTAAGAATTGTACTGTATGTCTAGTTACTTTATGGCTATTCAGCTCTAGAATTTCAACACAACATCCACAATTTGAATTACTCAAAAGACAACTTGAACAATGGGATATTTTAAAGTGCTGTGAACATTTATGTTGCCGAATGTGACATGAGATGTCGTATCTTTTGGTTCCCTTGAGAAATCCTTGAAAGAGATGTCATGGAGGTTGTACATTTGATATCTCATAAACAAAGTACTACATCTTTCAGTGGTGTGAAGTATATTTCCAATTGGTTGTTCATCCAATCCAGTTGATTGTAAAGTTATAAACAAACCGTGTAGTACCATGTTGCATTCAGATCAGTTTTTGTGGCATTCAATTCCTCTCCAGACATTATAAAACGTAACTCTTGGTTTGTTTGTTGGAATTTCAACAAAAAAGTGGGTTGGGGTGTTTATAGACCCTCACATTGGAAGGCAGAGGCCTCACTGTTAACTCATTTAAGTGGCCATCAAAGATATAGGCTTAATGGGCCACATAGAGTTTACACTTTTGTTGCCAACCCAGATTTTGGAGTATTCCAAATCACCTTGTTGTTCTAGAATGACATGGTATCTTTGGATGCTGCCATTATCAGCTTATGGCCTTAAATCCTTGAGTCTTACTGATTCTTGTCCTGACTTCTGGACAGGGTTTCGTATTATGGCAAAAAGCAGTTCTATTTGTACCTGCTTTGAAAAAAGAAAGAAATTGCAGGTAATTAAAAAAAAAGCTCCACAGCTTTTCTTTCTAGTGAACAAAATGTAAAACTTAGCACTTTCAGAAAAATAGGAAATATTAGAATAGAACATATACTAGATATACTCAAATTATAGATATTGTCAGTCCAAGGAAACATTTAAAGGAAATATTACACTCAGACAACACTGTTTTGACAAACTTGAAGTTTGTTTCTTTGTGACTGCTGTACTAATTACATGTATTGTAAGCCAGTTGTATTATAATAGTATATATTGTAGTATACTTTGATCTGTACAGAAGTTGTTCAGTTCTTTCATTTTTTGTTAACTTTTTTTCTTGTTTGCTAATAAAAGATTGAAGATATCATGGCTACAACATTGCTGTTTGCATGTGTGATGACCTTTCAACCCAACAATAAAGTAAATGCTTCACAATGTTGTATTGTGGTCACTAATACTGTCTTAACTACTTGCCTTTGAATTCACTTACACTTTTTTCTTTTAAAGAATCAATCATGTAGACCCACTTGATCAATAGCATTCGTTTGATCCCATCATCTTGAAGTTGGTTTCTTATCAAAAGTTTGCCACCCTATCAAATCACATTTTATTTGTCACGTACACAGGATACAACAAGTGTAAACAGTACAGTGAAATGCTTACTTACAAGCTCTTCCTCAACAATGCAGTGTTCAATATCAAAGGTAAAGAAATATAAAATTCTGAATAGGATCTTAAAAAGAGCACGGAATCAATACAAGGTCAGATAAAATTAAAACACAAAACAATGTATGCTATATACATGGCCAGTACCATATCAATGTGCAGGGATACGGTGGTAATTGAGGTAGATATGTACATGTAGGCAGGGGTAAAGGTGACTGGGCAGCAGGATAAATAACAATAAATAGTAGCAGCAGCGTATGGTGAATGTGTGTGTGTGTGCATAGATAGAGTCAGTGCAGATAGTCCGTGGGTGAGGGTGGGCAGCATTGATTCAACCATTGATTGCCCTACACATCGGATGTGTGTCTGTTATCTACTTGACGGGTCTATCTTCATTTCACCAGGGATGGGTAACTGCATTGTGGCGCACAGCCATGAACGTGACAGAATATCAATTAGACTCATGACAGGCAATAATGAATTCAAGGTTCTCTGTTATCTGTCGTCCACCAGGTGGTAGCATTGCGTCAACTTTAAAATATCAGAAACGTTCCACGTTCCATCTTTCCCCTGTCATAATGTAATTGTAAGATTTTCATGAATGACTTGTTGACCAACAGCTCAGTTAAAGATACAGGTGTTGTCGTGGGCTTTGTAAAATACCTGGCTGCTTGAAAATTATTTTGATATCTTTGACAGGGCTGATTTGCTTTGAGATTCTGAACAATGGGAAGAGAGAGCGCGTGGGGCTGCTGATCCAAGCACCTCTCTCGAAGGTGTTGGGCGCATGAGGGCTACCTGCAGGACGTCCCGACGCAGGTCTACAAGACCCAGGTCTCCCATCAAGAAGGAACAAGTCCTCCTGCTCCTCTAAGGGACTGCTGCGGAGCCAGAATCATTATGTCATGACTATCCCCACAAAGGTGATCACTGAGCACACATCTATGATTTTTACCGGTCACCACTGAAATCTATGATTTTTACAAATCACCACTGAAATCAGGATGAAATCAATCCCAAACTGTTTGTTCATTTTATGACACAAATGTTGTTTGTCTTGTGAATGTATGTTTTGGTAGATTTTAGGATATTCCCTTGGCTTGTTGGATGGCCAGTACATGGACAGTGTTCCTGAAACCTCTTACTTTGACCCAGTGAGTGTCCCCTCTCTGCACTCACTCAGCTTAGCTTAACCATGTTGCAAGTGAACCCCTTCCCTACCACCATCGTACAGTAGCTCCTCTGTAATTCAGCATCCGTTGTAAGATAAGAGAGGAATAAGACTTGTAAATGAGTAAATTAGCTGTTTTTCCTTTTCCTGACCTCCAATCTCTCCCGGGAGTTGTTCACTGATGGCTCTCCCAACAAAGAGTAGAGAATTAAGGAACTCGAGCTGCTCCTTATGGCAGCCAAGAGTGAAGTCAGGAGACGGGCAGCTTCATGTGTAAGACAGAACCCTTGTATGCGTAGTCAATAGTGTAGTACGCTCTAGAACACAGCCCCACCACCCTCCCCATCCTCCATCTCACTCACCTCCGGTTAGCTGCCCCTCCTAGCTGCTACCATCCCTCCCTGCTTCATACTGTAGCATCTAGCAGTGAGTCATCATTAACAGCTTCTCATAGTAGCAGTGGCTGTTCATCTGTTTCTGCTCTTGCCAACTCCATTGTTGTCATTATCAAACCAAACATAATCTTGGTTAACCTAGAGGTAAAATCATGTGTAATTTGGTCAGCTGCGTGATGAACTTCTGTGTTAGAAATTGACCGTTCCGGCAAAAACTAAGTCACCACCCGCACAAAATGAAACTCTCAGCCAAAGCCCCCCCCCCCCCCCTTCCCATCCATGTGGGCACACGCACTAAGCACTCGAGGCGAAGCAGTTCAAGCACCGCCTTCGCCCAATCCTGATAATCCCATTCAGTCCTGGCAGATTCTTTCGGTCTACACGCAGAATCTACCCACGGGAGATTAAGCCAAACATGACAATTGGCATGACAGTTGCATGAGGAGTTGGCAGGGCAGAATCAGACTGGCACCCTGGCTAGCTGTTCAAAACACCTGTGAGGCCTCTTTGGATAGAAGTGGACCTCTAATGAAAATCATGTAGATTTTCACTACTGTGCAAAAATGCACAGTTCATGTTAAAGTTTTGGAATGAAACTGAGGCTCCTGCTCATGTCCACCCTTAGTCTCATTACATTTATATTGGTAAATGTACGTCTCGTGGTTAGGGCCAAGAGTTTTTCCCTGGCAGATTATTTAATCTGGGAAACTCCTGGCCCTCACATCCCTACTCATCTCTGGTTCTGACCTTCCCCTAGCTCTGGTCCAGGGCATTACGTACGGCTTGCTTACGCTGAGCCTTCAGCATCAGCAAGCTGCATGTAACACCCTGGACCAGAGCTAACCTTTCCCTGACCTCTCGCTTCCTCCCGCTTCATAGCACTCAGTGTCACTACTCCAGCTGCTCCAGCAGTCTGACAGACGACTGCCTGACCAACACGACCCTGAGCAGCTTGGGACACCAAAGTATGGAGGGCCATGGCTCGGCTGTCTACATCCCAGCAGGATCCTGACCGTGGAGACCAGCGCTGTCCTCCACTCCCTACAAACCATCCCCGAGTTTGCAGAGATCCTGAAGCTCATAGACTCAGTCAGTGTTCCTCTAGTCTTCCTGTTCGTGACATTTCTGCTCTTTGTCCTCCTGTCTCTTTGTCGTGTTGATTGTAAAACTGTAAAACTATGGGCCCTGGTAAAAGTAGTACACTGTATATGGAATAGGGTGCCATTTGGGACTCAGACAGACCACTGGCTCAGTTTCTTCCTCCAAGGAACTGTGTCATGATTGAGTTTATTGAACATACACTGTTAGGTTGTATAATTCTGGTTAACAATCAAATACAGTTAGTGATAGTCATTGTGTTATAATCACGTTTATGTCATTAATATCCCATTGTGTCTGGTCTGACCCTGTAGGACCCAGTGGCTTGGAGCGAGTTTACCAGTTTCAGCCTGAAGGAAATGACCTCACCCCTGAAACAGGAAGTGATGGCGTCTGTGTCCCAGGTGGCGATGCCAGAAGGAGCTAGCTACCATTTTGATGACTCAGCCATAATTGACCTGAGTAAGAGCTACACTGAGCTGATGCCTGCCTCTTCACCCACCTTGACCATGCTGAGCACACCTCCCTTCATCCTGAAGAGGAGGAGGAGGAGGGAGAGGGGGGAGCAGTCCCCTGCCAGTGAGTGTCACAGCACCTCCTTTTTGGACAACAGCGCCTCCTCACCTAGGCTCACTCCTGTCAAAGCACTGCCATTCTCTCCCTCCCAGGTAGGATTTCCTGTTCAAATCATGTCTAATCTAATACCATCAAGTCATTATGCAAACCACTGATCTATGATATTAAAGTGTGTTTGTGAAATACAGCAGAGTACGTTTGTGATATATGATATAATAATAATATAATAATAATAATAATATTATATTATTATTATTATATTATTTATTATATAAGTACATGGTGCAAAAACTATAAATCCCTATTTACTTGATGGTTATGTCTGTTTCTCTCTGTAGTTTTTCAACGTGTCTGAAGTTGAGGATTTGACTCTAGACAACCCGGCTCTGACGTCCACCCCAGCGCGTGGTCACAAACGTGCCAACACCACCCCCCTCCACAAGGACTTAACACACAAGCATCGGAAAGAGAATGCTGGGTAAGTATGTTTTCTAGGGCAGTTCTGTGTTGATATTTCATTACATCCAGAAGTTCTCATATACACCATACATGTACTGTCGGTGTTACAAATGTTCAGGACCCCCAAGGCTGGTAAAGCCGTCATGCTTCCCATGCCACTAACTCCAACGCCCTTCAAGATTGCCACGGCCACCCAAGAAAAGATGCAGGGCCAGTTGAAAATGATGGTATGTTTATTATAACACATTAATGACACCTTTTAATGTCTTCAGTCTGTTTGGTGTATTGTGTTCAGTGTGTGAGGGGATGCTGTACTCTGCAACTGTACCTGAGTGTCTGTGTGGGCCCTTGCCCATGCTTCTGTGTGTGTGTGTGTGTTCTGTTAGATGCAGCAGCCCCAGTCCCTGGCCTACCTGGAGGAAGAGGTGCTGAGAGGAGAATAAGGTGGATATATTAATTCATGGAGAGACACAGGCTAGCTTCTGCTCCTCCTGGAAACATGAGGTATCCTAACCCCATAATCATCCATAGAGATTTGTATCCAGTAATTATGAAGTAATTCAATTCAAATAACTTTATTTGTCCCCTTAGGGGAATTATGTCAGGGTTATAGCTGTGCTTCAGACACATTCAACAAACAAAAAACAAGCACTAGAGACTAAATAGAACATGAGAGGTAATGACTTCAAAGTGCTGTCCAATAAATATGAGTATAAAACATAGATGGAATTAAATCAATGTTACAGTCCTATCCATTCCATGTTTTATAACCCAGGTTGACGCATCATCCAGGAGAGTTAGGAAATCCCTGGCTGTGGAACCCTGGAGTAAGGACTGCCAGAGTGCTCAACTCTACTCCCAAGAACACCTCAATGTGAGAGGAGAGGATCAGTGAGAAGATCATTCAGTATTCAAGTTAACATCAGAAACACTGAAAATGAGACTCATACAGACTGTTGTAGATGAGGGTGGCAAACTAGTGTGAGAGGTGAAGTACATGGAAACACAGGAGAGGATTGAAGAATGAAACAGTACTGTAAAACAGGTCTCTCTCTCAGATCCATGGGGAGAGCCTGATGACCAATGCCCCCCTGAGGTCATCAATGCTGGGCTGTGAGGAGCTGGTAACACTCCCTATCCCCCATAGCAGGACCAGGGAGAGAGGAGCCATGATGTTACCTGCCCCACAACACCGTCGCCATCAGGAGAGATGGCAACCCCGATCTGATCCGGATCCCTCCTCTACACCCAGACGCTGCATACAGCCAATCAGAGGTGAGTCAAGAGAGACGTCTGAGAATATCAGGAAATCCCCAAGTCATTGAACTCCCTAGTATTTTTAAGAAGGAAACATCACAGTTGAATTTAAATGAAATGTCAGAGATTTGTACGATGAGCATAATATCACAGGTGCAACAGTTGCTTTTTTTCCTCACTCACAGTAGCAACCAGCTCATATAAATGGAATTTATCCAGCATTGTTTGCTTTCTGAAAGACACTGAACTTTATTCTAAGTTCCTGTGTTTCTCATGAGTGTTTGACTGCTTGTTGACTGGGTTGTATTTATTAGTGCACATCGTAGCAAAACATTTAGCAACGGAAAACAAAAACAAGTGTTTCTTATTGGACAAATGTGTTGTCGTTTCAGGTGAGCTGTGAGTGGGAGGCTGTGGCATTTGGAAAGACTGATGACCAGATGATCGTAGCTGAGCAGGCCAGACAGTTCCTTAGCTCCCAGACACCTGGCTGTGCCTCCAGAACCTTGGTGCTCTGACAGGACCTAGCTCCCAGACACCTGGCTGTGCCTCCAGAACCTTGGTGCTCTGACAGGACCTAGCTCCCAGACACCTGGCTGTGCCTCCAGAACCGTGGTGCTCTGACAGGACCTAGCTCCCAGACACCTGGCTGTGCCTCCAGAACCGTGGTGCTCTGACAGGACCTAGCTCCCAGACACCTGGCTGTGCCTCCAGAACCTTGGTGCTCTGACAGGACCTCAACACTACTTAGTAGCTAACAGTTAGCCTGGTCCTACTTTTTGTGCTGTCTGGCTTGACACTGAGTTGGCAAGAGAGCACAAACAGATCTGGGACCAAGCTAGCGACCAGTCACTCAGATCATTTTTACCCAGATGTATAATACTACTAGACAATCTTACTGTAGGTAGAAAACATCAGATTTCCTAAAAAAAAAATGTGTCCATGGATTCACACAAAACAACCAGCTGTATTATTTATTTGTCTGTTTTTCGCTTAGAGGTTGATATGAAAATTACATGACCACATGTAGCCAATGGTACTTACATACTGGTACTTACCATACTTAAATATTTCTATGTAAAAACCTTATTCTGAATGAGGTCCATTTGCACTTATTATTTAAAATGTAAATATGAAGAGAAATTCATCAATTTAAGTCTTAAAGACCATAATTGTCACGTTGTATAAGGATTTGAAGACAGGCGCAGGAATACGCAATAGGGGTTTTATTTTCTCCACCCAACACAAGGTACGTCATGAACAACGACGGGGACGAAGCCCAAAACAAACACGTGTGTGTATATATATACAGTGAGGGAAAAAAGTATTTGATCCCCTGCTGATTTTGTACATTTGCCCACTGACAAAGAAATGATCAGTCTATAATTTTAATGGTAGCTTTATTTGAACAGTGAGAGACAGAATAATAACAACAAAAAATCCAGAAAAACGTATGTCAAAAATGTTATAAATTGATTTGCATTTTAATGAGGGAAATAAGTATTTGACCCCCTCTCAATCAGAAAGATTTATGGCTCCCAGGTGTCTTTTATACAGGTAACGAGCTGAGATTAGGAGCACACTCTTAAAAGGAGTGCTCTAATCTCAGTTTGTTACCTGCATAAAAGACCTGTCCACAGAAGCAATCAATCAATCAGATTCCAAACTCTCCACCATGGCCAAGACCAAAGAGCTCTGCAAGGATGTCAGGGACAAGATTGTAGACCTACACAAGGCTGGAATGGGCTACAAGACCATCGCCAAGCAGCTTGGTGCGATTATTCGCAAATGGAAGAAACACAAAATAACTGTCAATCTCCCTCGGCCTGGGGCTCCATGGAAGATCTCACCTCGTGGAGTTGCAATGATCATGAGAACGGTGAAGAATCAGCCCAGAACTACACGGGAGGATCTTGTCAATGATCTCAAGGCAGCTGGGACCATAGTCACCAAGAAAACAATTGGTAACACACTACGTGAAGGACTGAAATCCTGCAGCGCCCGCAAGGTCCCCCTGCTCAAGAAAGCACATATACAGGCCCGTCTGAAGTTTGCCAATGAACATCTGAATGATTCAGAGGAGAACTGGGTGAAAGTGTTGTGGTCAGATGAGACCAAAATGTAGCTCTTTGGCATCAACTCAACTCGCCGTGTTTGGAGGAGGAGGAATGCTGTCTATGACCCCAAGAACACCATCCCCACCGTCAAACATGGAGGTGGAAGCATTATGCTTTGGGGGTGCTTTGCGTTTTTCTAGATTTTTTTGTTATTCTGTCTCTCACTGTTCAAATAAACCTACCATTAAAATTATAGACTGTCAGTGGGCAAACGTACAAAATCAGCAGGGGATCAAATACTTTTTTCCCTCACTGTATATATATATATATATATAGATATATATATATCACAGGGATTTAAACCAAACAAAAGACTGAAGTGTAAACCTCTAAACAATACAAGGGACGAGACCCGTAATAACAAGAGCACAATACACGGTACTCACGAGACCAACGGACATGGGACAATAATCCACCAGGACAATGGGTAACAGAGCGCACATATATTCACATACTAATCAGGGGGAATGGGAACCAGGTGTGCGTAATGAGACAAGACAGTCCGGGGTTGGTGGTAATGATCCAGGTCAGTGATGCCTAGAAAGCCGGTGACGTAGACCTCCGGAGCTGGTGAACGGAATGAGCAGCAGTACCGGGGGGATCCGTGACAATAATTCTGTTGAGATTGCACTATATGAGATTCATCTGTATATGATGGATACTGTAGCAAGAGAAAGGTGGAGGCATTTAATGAAGGTTTTCTGCATTAAAGGTGCAGAGAAATTGGAATTGGTACCTCTTTAATGTGTTGCGCAGAAGCTTTTGAAGATTTTCTCATCCAAAATAATATTTATATTGGACATCTGAAGGTGTTAATGCTGTTTTACTGCTGAACAAAACCCCACCTGATCTTAATTTGTAACACTTAATCAGTGAATAATGTTGAATACTGAATGTATAGTTGCAAACAACGATGTATCTTTAAAATGTATTTTATAAAAATAGAATATATACAATATAATTAAAGTGAAGCAACAGTGCAAATAACAATTGATTAACAATTAGGGGATCACGTATGGATATTAACTGTAGAAAAGAAGACTGACAGAAAAAGTGCCTTTGCTTTAGTCTGATGGCTCACACTTAATTATTCTGCTGCTCTGTCATTCGCTACATACTTTAGTCTGAGACTGCCATCATTGAAGTCGTTTGTGGTGACGAGGGGCACAAGGGCGTTGTACAACAATAGTTTGTCATTGGATCGTCTCTAACCAATCATAATCAAAGCCAATGACACATTTTCAAACCGCCACTCTACCCACGTGTGTTCTGGCTCTGGCTCAACCCATCGGTTTCTGGACCAATCAGACGGCCCCGAATGTGTTCGCATTCGGTGAAGTTTCGTGGAAGTAAAACAATCAGTCGGGTTTGAATGCTACATTGATGGAGCCATTGATGAAGCAATTGATATCTCCCAGTCCCTAGGTGTCACCCCTCATCCGGTGACCCTTGGACAGCACAGGGTGCAGCAGGCTGGGGGAGCTGTGGGCTGAGCCTGACCCTGAGGAGGCCTCGTGTCCCAGAGCCAGGAATAGGCCCTCTTTCCCAAGCCTGGGGAAATGTTGAGTACTACAACCCCTACATACATAAAGAGGGAGACACAAACACAGAGGCCCTCTTGTTGATTCTCTGTAACCCAATTTCTATAAGTTTTTTTTATATTTAAAACTGTTAAACAAATGACTATACTGAGGAAAACTACAATCAACTGAAGTAAATTAAATTGAATCCTCTATTCATACCACTTCAAGGACATTATAGGAGGTACAAAGAAAATACACTATTTCCCCTCTATGGGATTTTGGCTCAGGTTTGTTGAATAGGAAGGAGCTGGGGTGGGATAGGATAAGATGTTCTCACCTTACAAGCTTGGATTAGCTTTTACTGGCTCATGATCATCACTCTGAAAACACAAACAGAACAATGTCAGACATGCCAAAATTAGACCACCTGGTCTACCTCCATGACTACATCATCAAGGTTTTGTCCAACAATTAGTTGGGAGGGTTTATTTATGTTGTGTTAATTGGCAGTAGGCTATATTCTATCTACATGGTAAGTTTTAGACTGTAAAAACATGGTTGAAATCTCTTTTTAGTGCAAAGTCTGGATGAGGAACCTTAAAATGAAGGGTGGTTTGCACCAAGAAATAGACATGATAAAAGTTGGGAAGGACTATCAAATACTTGTTCTCCCCACTGTATGTGCACCTGTGTGCGTTTGAATGAGAGTGTGTGTATATGTATGTGTACACGCGTACAAACACCTGCACGGCATCAGCCTCAGGCAAACAGGCATTAGATGTAACAATGCTACATGCTGTGATGTTTAACATACAATTTTAATCTATCTAATCGAGTAGAATCCACAGATTGCGAGTTGAAGATAAATAATTTTACTAAGACTATTAGTATATTAGTAATTGACTGACCAGGTCTCTCCAGATCTCCCAACAATGCTATTTCTAGAGTCAATTTTAGATTCATGTTATGCTTTTTCAGCCATTCCTGAACCTGAGACCAGAAACATGCTACCTGAGGGCAATACCAAAACAAATGGTCTATCGACTCTGTATCCTCACAACAAAATCTGCAGAGCTGTGATGATTGTATGCCCCAAATATTCAACATTTTGTTGGTGGCAAGAATTCTGTACAATCATTTTAGCTGAAAAGCACGAAGTCTTGAATCTTGCGTCATTTTATATATCAACTCATACACCCTGTACCATGGAATCGGTACATCAGAAATCTCTTCCCAACTATTTTGCTATCTGTATGGCACAGCTGTCAACATCCTGGTCCTCAAAGGAAACTGGTACACTTTCCTATTTATACTATTTTTATTCCTTTGCCAGTTTTGATCCTTTATATTGGGCAGACAGACCAGTTCCCTAACTCTTTCCGCTGCCACCTGCCTCCTCCATTTTTGGGGTAATGCTGTAATCAATTGGTTGTAATCTTGGATTGAGCAACCTTCCCATACAATTCTGATAACTCCATGAAAGACATAACTATACCATTCCAATTTACAATATCATTTAAAAATGAAATACCCTTTTCCCATAAATACAGGTACTTTATCAACCAGCACATTTGAGTTCAGCCATAATATTTGTTGTAATATTTGTTCTATCTTTTCAGGGGGATGAAATTGAAATTGTAATCAGCTCTGCAATGCTTGTTTGAAAAACAGAGATACTTTGAAAAAGGTTTCATTTTCAATTAATCGAAAATGAGACATGGCAATCTGCACAAAGGCAAAAAGGCCATGTTTAAACAATGGATGAGCTTTTCTTAGTCATCTACTTGAGAACCATTTAGGGTTCAAGTAAAACTTTTGTATAAGTAAAGCTTTTAGAGAGAGGTTTAGTGCTTTTATATTTAATAATCTCAACCCACCCAGTTCATATTCATTATATAGATAGGCACGCTTGATCTTGTCTGGTTTAGCATTCCAGATAAAGCGAAATATTTTTTGCTCATATGATTTGAAAAACTAATCATCAGGAGTAGGCAGCGCCATAAGTAAGTGAATAAACTGAGTTATGACTAAGGAGTT